CAACCCGCGCGGGACTTATTTTATTTCAACCCAGTTAAAGCAATTCGCTCGCCGCAGTCGCCGTCGGTTCGAACGCGAATTTAACTAGTTGTTCGGCCGTCACGGAACGAGGTAAACTGCACTTCGTCGTTTTTCACCGCCTCGTACGAAACATTAAGCAAATCCCACGGATTTATATCACAACCAAACTTTGTAGGAACCGTTTACCCCACTTCGATCCGAGAACGGTTTATTTTACGACTTACCACTCGTTTATGTTTCTAACAAACGTTGTCAAGAAACTATTAAAACCTTCGATTTCCTCACATTATAATTCTTTAAACTTTGAAATAATAAACGCAGAAGTAAACTAATTTAAATTGAACGCGACCGGAATTAAGAATACGTCTCGTCGCGTGGACCTGAAAACTTTCGAAAACCCAATTAAAGTTATTGAAGTAATTGATTCGAGAGTTTGATTAATGCCGAAGTTGGTGAAACGCTGTGAGGACACTTGATTAAGTCGAATTGAAATGAACCGGAATCAATGCGACCGGATCTGAAAAACCTGAATTGAATAAACCGAAAAAAACCTAAAATAATTCCAAGTAAATCCAAAAGAACGTGAAAAACTTTTTGACGAACGCCAAACATACATTGAAGAGAAACCGAGCACCCGGTCGTGTAGTGAAAAGAACGAATTGTTGTAAGGGGGGAAGGGTGTCGCATGCATTTCGCGTCGTGATATTATATGGGATCCGCGCGGAATTGGAATTTCGACCGGGCTTTGTAAACAGGAAATTTACGGGACGTCGCCCTTCCGAGGACTAAATAATACACCAGCTTTTAACGAAACAAAAAACGTCGGTATTTAATTACTGCAGCCCCGAGTTACGGCTTCAGCAGGAGTTGTTTTATGGGGAGTCGTTGAAAACGTAATTGCTACTTTTTTATATACCCCGCTAACATCACCTTCGTTTACTGATCGTGAATAGTTACACCGTTTCGCATCGATTTCACACCTAAGTCAATTTGTATTAGTGAGCTTACAACGCTTCAAGCTACGTAAATAAATCATTACCCTCTTTTTTTAGCAACAAGGTTTTTTAGTTTTTCTTAAAACAATAGTTCAAAAACTTAAAATCACATTTGAAAATTCAAAATAATTATTTTATTTTAAACTAAATAGCTGGTTTTGACATATTACTGTAATAACATGGTATATCATTGGTTCCTTTATAAATTAATTTTTATTTCATGATATAAAATCCCATTCTTGATGATATATTATTAAGAAAAATCGTTCAATTTTAACATTTGGTGATTTATGCTATATCTCAAGAAACTAACTGGTGATAGCTAAATATGAAATAAGTATGAATTATGATTTGTTAATACATTAGGAATATTTTTTATTCATAACGTCTTTCTCCATCAGTTTTGGTACTTACGTTAGAGCTGATTTTATTACGAAAAATCGTCCAATTTTGACATTTTGTGCTTTATGCTATACAGGGTGTATCTGAATGACTCCAACAAACTTCAAGGGGTGATTCTTTAGTGAATTTTAAGGGTACTTTGATATATGAACCATGGGCGACTTCGGCTCCCCTAAGGAGCTACACCCCTCCAAAAATGGCGGAAAATTTTGGTTTAATTTTTTTTTCTCAAAAACCATAAACGCTAGGAAAATGAAATTTGGGGAATATGTTTAACTCATAATAGGGCACGTTTTGACCCTATTTGTACTTTCAACCTACCCTTCTAAACTACTAAACGTAACCACCCCCGTTCAATTTATGCCTAGATTTTTTTTATGAAGATGATAAATACATTGGAAAAATTTCAGTTAGATAGATAAAACTATTCTAAAACTTTTTTGTCTCTCTGATGTTCTTCGAAAATTTAATAATTTCTGAGAAAAAAAATAATTAACCAAACACTAACTGTTAAGCTGTAGGGTTGTTAATCGAAAGTTGGAATGAATTTTTAATGAAATAATCTTAGTAGGCTTTGCAATCTTTGTCAGAAATATTTTTGATGTTATGATTTTATAAGAGATTATGATTTTATGATGCATTAGGAATATTTTTTATTCATAACGTCTTTCTCCATCAGTTTTAAGACTTACGTTAGAGCTGATTTTATTAAGAAAAATCGCCCAATTTTGGCATGTTGTGCTTTATGCTATATCACAAGAAACTGGTGATAGATGAATATGAAATAAGTATAGATTATGATTTTATGATGCATTAGGAATATTTTTTATTCATAACGTCTTTCTCCATCACTTTTAGGACTTACGTTAGAGCTGATTTTATTAAGAAAAATCGCCCAATTTTGGCATGTTGTGCTTTATGCTATATCACAAGAAACTGGTGGTAGATAAATATGAAATAAGTGTGGATTATGATTTCTTGATGCATTAGGAATATTTTTTATTCATAATGTCTTTCTCCATCAGTTTTAGTACTTACGTTAGAGCTGATTTTATTAAGAAAAATCGCCCAATTTTGACATTTTGTGCTTTATGCTATATCACAAGAAACTGATGATAGATGAATATGAAATAAGTGTGGATTATGATTTCTTGATGCATTAGGTATATTTTTTATTCATAACGTCTTTCTCCATCAGTTTTAGTACTTACGTTAGAGCTGACTTTATCAAGAAAAATGGCCCAATTTTGACGTTTTGTGCTTTATGCTATATCACAAGAAACTGGTGATAGATAAATATGACATAAGTATGGATTATGATTTTATGATGTATTAGGAATATTTTTTACTCATAACGTTTTTCTCCAACAGTTTTAGTACTTACGTTAGAGCTGATTTTACCAAGAAAAATGGCCCAATTTTGACAGTTTGTGCTTTATGTTATATCACAAGAAACTGATGATAGATGAATATGAAATAAGTGTGGATTATGATTTCTTGATGCATTAGGAATAATTTTTATTCATAACGTCTTTCTCCATCAGTTTTAGTACTTACGTTAGAGCTGATTTTATTAACAAAAATCGTCCAATTTTGACATTTTGTGCTTTATGCTATACAGGGGGTGTATCTGAATGACTGCAAAAAACTTCAAGGGGTGATTCGGAATATGTTTTATTCCTAACATCTTTCTCCATCAGTTTTAGTACTTATCATTATCAAGAACCATATGATCTCATTACAAATGTGCGAAAAGTACGATATGATCATATCATATTGCGTTGGAATCCGTAATGATTAAGATATAAAAGATTAACTAATAAATAAATAAATAAAACAACTTAATCTATTCAAAAGTTACAACCTAAAAATTAAATATTGTGTGCCACTTCACATTCAGTTTATTAATTTAGGTTTTTATGATATGAAACGTTTAACTAGCACAAAATTAGATTTTTCCTTCATGATGAATTTTTTATGACGCCTAAAAGCTTTTTACCTCCCTATATTTCCGTGATATTTACCAAAATCGTTTTAACAATATACCAATCTAATTTACATATTCAGTTGATTAAATCGATTATTGATTAACTGTCCCTATTAATAATCTATACAGTTGATCGTCTAAGTACAAGGCATGCGTTATCCAATAAGCCTCGCGGACCATTAATATAATTACACGAGTGACATAAGATGTACTATGGTATAATAATCCGAATCGGATTTGATAATAAACCTACAGCAATTAGCCTGCCTGCGGAAACTAAACGTTTTAAATTTACATTCGTCCGTAAATTTGCGCAAAACGACGGCGACGCGACGTTGCGACAAAGTAAACCGGCGTTTGCAGCCGTGATTGCTAATTAAATCCTTCGAAACTGCCTGAAAATTAAATTCAATTTTAATTGAAAATCTCGTCGCACGGTGTTTGGCTTTATCGTCTCACCGGTCTGAATTTAACTACTACGAAAGCGTAGCATACATTGTTAAGTTAATCTGAGGGGTATCGTTAATGGGTAAATTATCAATATTCAAAATCATTCGATTTTATATTTTCTTTGGTAGTGAATCAAGTGGAAAAATAAACATTTTCTAAAAAGGAATGTGCGCTTGAGAAATCGCATAAAGACTCCAAACGAAGTCAACATGTACAAGTCTGAATATTTTTCGGGCTATTGAATGCATCGGGATTCTAGAAGGCAAGCTGATAAATATCTAAATATCCCGGAGGCTGGAGCCAAAGCGCCGAATTTATGCGCAATCGTGCCTCCCCCGTCAAAACAAGAACTCCAAAATCTCTATTTTTGCATACAATCGTATTACTCTCAAAAACCTTATCTGATACACGAAGTCTTCGTGCAACTGATGGAAATTTGGTTCATTAATATTTAGTTTCGCGGCGATCGTATGTAAAATATATCTTCCAAGTCATGCCACCCCAATTATTCTAATTCGAAAACGTTGATGTATGTTGTTGCTTCGTCCATCCATTTAACTCAATTCGTTAGTTGCTAACAAAAAACATACCGTTTTATTTAGGCTCACTCAATCGACGAATCTATTTGGTGAACGCGTTAGATATATTTATTTTTCGCGTTTGATCCTTTTCTATCTCTCTACGTGGCGGGTGTCGAGTTCAATTGAAACGCACTGGAACGAATCTGTCCATTTCCATCGGCGTGGTGTCCAACATCAAAACATTTCCAACAAGGATACGTTCCATTCAGTTCTACCACACGTTGCTGCGCGCCATCGATCTTTCCATTCGTCCCATTTACAACGGGAGGCGATTCGATTTCGTCGCCTATTAATTAAATTCATCGTCCTTACTTAGCACGGGCCGACATATTGGCTCGTCTATTGGACAGCTTTGGATCGTTTCGTTCCGATTTAAATCATATTCGAATTAACGCATCCAATCGAGTAAACGTATAAAGTCCATTAATATGGTCAGAGTAAAATAGAACTCAATTTGATTTTCCATTCTAGAACAATTTAAGATTATAAATAATTTCAGTTTTAATTCTTAATTTATTTTTGGTACTTACCTTATTACAATAATATAATTTATGTTTGTTACAGTTTCTATCTTTTTTGACGTCTCCATCATCATCAGCTTTAGATGATAATTATACACTTCCAGAAATTCAACAGGATTTGACCATAACAGCAGAAGATGATTCTGAACAGGTAAATTAAATAAATTGTACATAATAATAATTTAAAATTGCTAGCTGAAAAATATCCCAAACTCTATCTTCCCTTTTCAGATCCTCTTCAATCTCTCTTTTATTACAAGTTTCTTCCCAATCGCTATCTTCTCTGGTCAGTCTCTTTCTTCACATTTCAGTCTCTATTGAATCTTTTGCTTCTATTTCCAGTCTCCTGATCTCATCCAGGTCTTAATCTTTATTTCCCAGTCGTTCTTCACGGTTTTTCTTCTATTACCAATCTCCTTCTTGTCTCTGTTAAGACTCTTTCTTCTATTATCAGTTAGTATTAAGTCTGTCAGTCTCTTTCCAGTTTCTGTATTTCCTTTCACGTCACTTTTTGTCATCTCCTTCTATATCTTTCCAGTCTCTGACTTCTCTACTCAATCCATTTTCTTCAATTTCTGCCTCTATTGAGTCTTCTTCTATTATTACCGCTCTATTTCCAGTCGCTATCTTTTTTTAGACTCTTTTCAGTCTTTCTTCTACTACCAGGCTCCTTTTTAGGTTTTCAGTTTTCGTTGGATTTGTTTCTTCTAATAGCACTCTCTCACACTCTTCCCAGTCTTCACTTTCCAGTCGCTATCGAGTCTCTTTCTACTATTACCAGTCCTTCTTGTCTTTCCAATTTCTTTTGAACCTCTTTCATCTATTGCCATTCTCTTTTTAGTTTTTATCTTCTTTGTCCATTTATTAAGTGGTTAACAAAGTTATCGTAAATTAATGTATAAAACTTGAATACTAATTCAAAACATATCAATAAAATTTGTGAACATAAAAAGGTGTCTATGATATCCAAAAAACGCGATTCGCTCATTTACAAAAAACTAAAAGAACAAAATAAAACAAAGCACCACTTTATAAAGTTGTACCTTGCTGTTCCAGTTCTCAGCTGAGGAAAAGAAAGCTAATAAAAAGCGTTGTTGTCACGATATTCTCAACAAAGAATTTGAAAACTTAAAATGAATTTTGGCGTGCGAAACACGTCCTCCCTCGGAAGTGTTTGATAGCACGCGAACCTCCTCTTCACGTGATGCTATCGTCTTGAAGTGCTGTTAACTATAACTTACACGTCCGAATTTACCAGATTTGCCATACAATCTTTTAATTAAAAAAGTATTTGTATATATTTTTTTTTTCAATTAAGTAGATTTTGTAAAATTAATTAATTTTTGATGTCAAAAAAATGGACGTGCAGTAAATTTTAAATAAAAAAGTTTTTTACCTTCTCAACCTCTTCATATAACCGAAGAACTCTGAGATTACCGTTCGAGATTGTGTTCATGCCTTACCGAGACCGAAAAGGCATCGCAAAAGTGGGAAAACTTTTCGCATAACACGTACCGGGTAGACTTTTTGGAAATTGATTTCGCTTTCGACGTCAAGGAGAAAGGAGTTTACGTCGAAATTTATGGACGTTCAGGCGCCGTAAAATATTACGAGCCTTATCTTAGATTAAAACTTAAGGCCGTTACTTTGTACAGGACACGAAAGAATTTAGATATATAAAAAATTAAGATGTAAACATTTTTTTGTAATTGTTTTGTGGTCCCCATTAAATTTTATGCCATAAAGAAATTATTTTTATTTATTTATTTATTTAGTTACCTAAATACTTGGAATAAAATCGCTTAAATCCAAAAAAGGTCGCAGATGCTTTGCCCCTAAAACTTATATAGCAAGGAGTAATAAATTTTATAGACGATTTTTACTGCCAGTTTTACAGATGTTATGTTTTGCAAGCGTATAGTATCGGCCGTACAATAAAGTTCTTTAGGATGATGATAACCCCGGGGCAAATTAATTCCGTCTAATCGTAAAAGTGGTATCCTAAAATTAAAGCTTAGGAATTTTATGCTTACGCATCATAAAGTAATACTACTACCTAATGTTGAATAGAAAGCTATTTTTGGTCATAAAAATATATCGTATTACTTATTTATGTTACATTAATTATTTTTCTTTTCAGGTCTTCTTCAATTTTTCTCTTATTACAAGTTTCTTCCTAATCACTATCTTCTCTGTCTTCTCTTTTTCTTTACATTTCAGTCTCTATTGAGTCTTTTGCTAGTATTACCAATCCCGTAATCTCATCCAGGTCTTAATCTTTCCTTCCCAGTCGCTCTTTACTGTTTTTCTTTTATTACAAATCTCCTTCTTGTCTTTCCAGTCTCTGTTGAGACTCTTCCTTCTATTATCAGTCAGTATTAAGTCTGCCAGTCTCTGTATTTCCTTTCACGCCACTGTTTAGTGTCTTTCTATGATAACCGATCTGTTTCTAATCTCCCAATCTCTTCCTAATATATATCTGTTTGCAGTCTCTGACTTCTCTGCTCAATCCATTGTCTTCCATTTCTGCCTCTATTGAGTAGTCTCTTTCAATTATTCCCGGTCTATTTCCAGTCTCCCAATCTCTATCCTTTTTTAGATGCTTTTTCTGCAAGCTTAGCAATTTTATGCTTCCGCATCATAAAGTAATACTACAACCTAATGTTGAATAAAAAGTGTTTATATTAGATTAATTTTCGAAATAAATTAAAATTACTTAAAAATATCAAGTATATTAAAATTTTAAATTAGATTCTGAATGCTAAACATTTCATTGCAGGTAACAAATACTTACTAAGAAATTTAATACCTTTTTTAATAAAACCCCTTTTTTGAAGAGAAAATTTTCAACGCCCGCAATCTTAATAACCACAGTCCTTCCTTACTTTCTTGCTCTAGTGGTATTTTCATTAAAATTGTAGCCAAGGAAATAAGAATCCCGTCGTGTTTAAATTCCCTTGTGTTTAAGGTTAATTAGAAAAATATCCAACATTTAAATACTTTTTATAGCAATTTTTTAGAACGATCCCATTTATTTTTATAACGACCGATCGATATTAGAAAGTTTAGATTAATATCAGTTTGGTGTTCGACTTGGACGAATGGCGAGTCCAAAACGTTGCAACAAAACTTTTAAGTGGCTAAAATTAAGGAAATAAATCATTGGTCGGCGACAACAGACTTGGTATTGGTCTCGAATCGGGAAGACGACAACGCGGAGAGACTATGAACTCGGAAATGTAGTTTGTGTTAATTACCGGACTAACTTATCCCGCATAGGAATTTGCATGTTCTTCGAAAGTTATGAACAAAAAAAAGGCAACCTCGAGAGATCATCAATTACGTTAGCAACGAGACTCTCGCGTTTCACCCAATTTCATCAACATTTTAATTAGCGAAACAATTCAAATACAAAAGACGCGATAGAAAATTCGACGATCAATTCTCCAGTTCAATTTGAGGAATTAGGGCTCGTTTCGACGGTAATTCCTGAAAAGGGGTCTATCTCGAAGAAGGGGTCTAATAAAATTATCCCTCGTCTTTTTTATGCCTCTATACGGTAAATCTAAAAAATCTACCCTCATCGAACCTGATCAATCCATCAGGTCGTGGTACTCAACCGTCCAAAAACGTATCAAACGTCAAATGGGCCGAAAGCAATTAGCATTGTTCCTTGCGAAGAGCAATGTCTTCGAAGTGAAATTAATGACTTTAAGTGATCGGTGCTGTATATAAATTCGGTCGAAAGGGTTCGGAGCTTAGGTGCTAATGTAGTTTTTGTCCTCCGGCGACGCTTGCTCTACGGGAGGTCTTATTAAATTAATCCCGATAGTAGTAATTCCCAGGGCGCCATTAAACAGGACCTTTAAACCGATCGATTTAAACTGAAGGGAGACCTGATGAACGAGCTACCATTAATAATTTTTATTGATCCGTTGTTATTTATAGAAACGGTTCTAGATTACAAGTTATTTATGTATTCTAATTTATTAAAATCTCTCGTAATTTTCATCGTATTATTTCTTGTTAAATAAAACAAGCGTTAAGTAAAAGAAGAACGAAGAATCTCGCTATGATTGATTTTGAGAATGTTGGATGTTGATTAAGCCGGGGACGTTTGCGGCCGAGGTGATACAATATTGAAACTTAAAGATAAAATCAGATTGAGGTAGCGCCTCGAACGCAAGCGGCCTCGGCTAATGTATTGGTTAATTTTCGAATTATTTATTATGTATGTAAATGTATTACTGGCAACAAGATAAAAAACTTTAAAAAATGATCCTTTAGTATAATGTAAGTCAAACACGACACTGCTGCAGCATAAATCAATCACACAGACTGCTGTACCACTTAAAAAATACTTCCTATTTCAACAAAGTAAACCACCACGTTTGGCTGCATAATAAGCAATAATTTTCCGTTGACATGGTAAAGCGGTCGTGCATTATTTTTAGTTTGGAGTTAATTTATAACCGTCAGGACAAGGCAAGAACCGGCCTCCTGCAGTTCTTGCCTTACCCGTTTGTTTTTCCCTGCATCATCCCTCTGTTTAAAACCTTCCCCCAATGTGCGGACGATGTTTCTCCTTCTGCAGTATTGCGTTTTGTGTCTGCAGGAACTGTCATCTCAACTTCACGACGTTGACTCCAGAGGAGCCGGGGGCGGTTGGTCTGCGTGGTCTGAGTGGTCGCCCTGTTCCAGGTCGTGCGATGGAGGCGTAGCCCACCAGCTGAGGAGGTGCCAGAAGGGCGGCTGTAGAGGCGATAGAGTGCGCTATAAAATCTGCAATATGCAGGTAAGGTTATGAAACCGTAATTTTTTTGTACGTCTCTCCCCCGAGGGGTTAATTATAAAATAGAACTCTTTGTTCCGTTTCTATACGTTTGTAATCTCAAAAAGAAATAATGAACTTAAAATAATTAAATGTAAAGAACCAAAACTAAAGATAAATTTTTGTTTAATCACTAAATCTTTGGATTTATTGCGGTTTGTGTGTCGATGTCGTTATGAATCGAGAGGTCAAAACGATTTATAAGGTTAAATCCCGGAAAAGTCAATCAAATCTGATACTCCACTGATTCACTTAAATAACTGTCTGTTGTCCGTCCAATTATTATGGCAATAAAAACCCGACCCACCGATATAAAAAATAAAAATTGATTTAAAAATAGATCTTATTTTGGTTTTATATTTATATTTAAATTTAGCGAAAAAATAATGAATAAATTGAGTTTTATCGATGAAGTTTTCGTCCACGTGTAGAAAACGGGGTTGTTCGTATTATTGTCGTCGAAGGTCAATGGCACTGGAATGTGCTGGACCGTTTCCCAAACACATTTGTCACACTTCGATTGCTCGAGATTTCACGCTCGCACACGCGCAAACGTTGAAAGAGGTCCTTTTCACTTCTCTCTTATATATTTTTCCTGTTCAAAGTTTGTACCAAGAAAATAATATGTAACAAATAATGTAAAAGTTTACATTGTCAAGAAAAGGTATTTCTTCAATGGATTCAATTATTATTAGATTAAAAAATAGTATCATATAAACATATTAAACAAAAATCTTTAAAAATACTCTGGAAAACAAACTTTTCTATTGAGTCAACTCGATAAATGACTACAAAAGAAACTAATGAATGACATACTACAGCGGCAGCAGGTAACCTCGGCTTAATTAAGGATGGTATCGTTGAAAACTGTTTAGATTGTGTTAACTCTCCTATAAAAAGTATATATCTATTATTATGCTTTATTAGCAGTACCTAGTTCTCTACCAGCAATATCTAATATTTTGGTATCATTATTTCCATTATTGTTCTTTTGTCAGTAATAGTCTTCTTCTAGCAGTATCTATTTTTTTTTTGTCATCAGGACCTAGTCTTTTACAAACAGTATTTAGACTTCAATTAGTTGTATCTAGTCCTCTGCAGAAGTATCTAAGCTTCTATTAGCTGTATCTAGTTTTGCTAACAGCAGAACCTAGTTCTCTGACAACAATATGTAGTGCCCAGCGGTAACTAGTCCTTTGACAACAGTATCTAATCTTGTATTAGCAGTATCTAGTTCTCCGAATAGTACGTGGTCTTTAGCCAACAGTATCTAGTCTTCTACAAGTAGTATGTAGTCTTTCATTAATAGTATCTAGTCTTCTGCAAACAGTATCTAGCCTACTATTGGCAGTACCTAGTTTTCTGACAACAATATTTAGTCTATTAACAATATCATATCCTCTGCCTACAGTATCTAGTCTCTTACCAACTGTATCTAATCCTCTGCTAACAGAATCTAGTCTTCTATCAGCAATGTGTAGTCCTCGACGTAGATTATCCAATCATTAAACGTTTTATTTATTAATGTGTTATTAAGGTACCAGTTGTTGATTTCAGTATCTAATGGATGATGTGGTAGATATTTCCAATATCTAGTGGATTTAGTGACTGATTCCAGAGTTCAGTGAATGATTAAAATATCCAGTTATTTGATGCAGTATTCACACTGGTATATTTCAGTATGCGGATGATACAGTATGATGTTACAACTCTTTCGGCCGGATATCCGGCATATCTATCCGGCCATTATGGTTATAATTTCTGGTACCTTTCTGAAGTGATACCCTATATCGTCACATTATTGCGATATTTGAATAAAAATGAAATTAATAAGAAAGCTGATAAGATATGTCATCTTATTTGGATCCAAGATACAAAATGATTTTATATGATTTTATACAGGGTGATTCATTAGCTCTATGACAAACTTTGGCAGATGAAAGGTGATGCGATTCTAAGGAAAAAATGTTATATGAATATGGGTCCGATTCATTTTGGTTAAAGAGTTACAAGCCTTTGAAAATTTTACACAGTTTAATAGGCAAATGAAAATGTAACATAAAAAATAAGTTTAAAAATTACAAAAATTGTTCGAAATGTCCGCCTTCAGCTTGAATGCACGCTTCACATCGACGAAGTAAAGATTTGCAACAATCGCAACAATAATTATGAAACACAAATACAGAGTTGGCTGTGATAACAAAACTGAGTTCTTTATGTCAAACATTTCAATTTACTCTATTCTGTGTGTTTCAAAGTTTATAATTGTCAGAGTTTTGATCGAAAACGAAAATGCATGTATTTACGACTGAAGAATATGCAGATATTATTTTTGTATACGGGCTTTGTAACGGAAACGCTCGGAGCAAGAGAATACCTTCGTAGGTCTCCAAATAGACATCAACCTGCCCATACAGTGTTTAGTGCATCATTTCGCAGACTGAGAGAAACATCATATTGGAATTCTTACAATGAGGTTGCTAATGATAAATTAAGTTGTATTCAATGAAAAACGTCCTATTGGTGTTGAACTTGATTATTATCTGCAGTGTCCAACACCTAAAAGAGATACTAATTCCTCTCAATGGTGGAGTACTAAGTAATAGGTTTTTAATATCTGGCCAAAGCCGGATATTAGGTAACTATCCGGTATCCGGCCGGATTTTAATAAATGGCCGGATAGCTATCCGTTCCACCACTAATATAGATATTAGTAAAAAGATTATATTTATTGATTTAATTCATTTTTCTTGTATTTCTAGATAAAAGGAAACATAAAATTAAACGATTTTGAAAATACGGTTCATAAAGTTCCAGTCGACTCTTTCATTCCAGCTATCCTTGGCGAATATTCTCCTTCATTTAAGTGAGTTAGGGGCCCTGGACAATCGATGTAAATAATGGGTCGCAATAAAAGAAGCCACAAAAAGAGAGTATATGAGATAATCGCAACGGTCATTTTCTATTATTCTTTAAATGGAATTGTTTATTTTAAATAAATTGATATAAATTAATTTGGCACAATTTAATGCAAATCTGGTAAAATTTTTTGAAGATAAACTTAAATGAAAATCAGTCTAATCATTAACTTTGGGGTTTTAGAGCGAATCGGGTCTAATTTCGCAAATTGAGCGACGGAATTTTCAGCTTACGTCGATCGGTAGCCGCCAACGCCACCACACCACCACCGTTGAAAAAAAAAATAAAACGCTTCCCCCGAAAGCTCAGCTTTTTCGACTGGGAACTCGGGCCATGTGGGCGCTCGTTAGCTAGCTCGCAATTAACCGACTTTCCGTTTATCCCCGACCCTTCGACCGACGGAACTCCTCAATTTGCTTCAACCACCCACCCCCTTCACGACGTCTTCTACCAACATTGAGTCTCCAAAAACCGACGTAACGAAAATATTTGTCTAATTATCAATGAAAACTTTACCTTTTAATTTCCGTTTTAAAGACTTTTAAAAAGATTGTCGTCGTCGACGAAGAGTTTCCTTTTAAACTGTTTTTATTTAAAAAAAATCTTCACGTTAATATATATTTATAGCGTTAGTGACCTAGTTTGTACGTTGAACCAGTTGATGTAGACATGAACATGTTAAACAATGTTCGCAATACTCGACAGGGTCGAAAAAGCTTTTTGCTCATCCGAACAATCTCCGAGCACCCCGCAAAAATAGGTCGCAATATTTCCCGATGGGCGTACGGCCTCCATCTGCCCTCGGCAAGGATTAAGACCGTTCTCAACCGGCCTGGATTTTAAACGACGACGCCAACGTAACTCGCACTCTTACGTACATCGTTCAATTTTCCGCGATATCGACCCCTCATTTTTATCAGATTTCAACGTGCTTGTGCTCTTTTCTAGCACTAGTGGTTGTCGGCGCCTTTTGTTTTACGCGCTCTCGTTCTCGACAACTGTTATCTTTATTTTTATACGGCGCCTTCGCCATAGCACTTTATAACCTTGTTATTTTTATTTCCCCGCCTTTCTGGTTAAAGCCTATCAGTGTTTCCGGCCTCTTATTATTTCTTTTCAACGCAAAAACGTTTTCTGCTTTCTGTTGTTATCGGCTAATAATAAAACCTAATATTTTTTTAAGGCCCAAAAATTATCTTTTACTTATCTTTTCTTTATTTTTCTTTGCAGCCTTGTCCTGAAGCAAGAGATTTTAGAGAAGATCAATGCGCAGCGTTTAATGGGCAATTATACGAAGGAATCTCTTACACGTGGTTCGCCCATTACGACGATTTAAACCCATGCGTTCTCGCTTGTAAAGGAAGGTCCTTCTCCGAAGAAAACGATCAAAGTGACGACGTTGTGGTGGTTGCTAGATTAGGAGAAAAAGTTCATGATGGTACTAGATGTCGTCCGGGCAGTTTGGACATGTGTATTGACGGGAAATGCCAAGTAAGCAAGCGGATTTGATTTTTCTAAAATGATGTTTTCACCGATTAGAACTTTTACAAATCGCCGGCGTCCCGACGGAGCTTTCCGCGTCTCGAGACTATGCAAATGATGGAGCCAAACGCGACGTGTGAAGGCGATGAGATGCGAAACCGGGGATGAATAAATGAACACTCTCCATCAAAGAGCATCGTAAAGCTTTTATCCGGCTTTCATCTTCTGACGAGGAACTCTCTTCCGTTTGGGAAAATAATCTCGGTCCTGTTTGTGGCTCCTTGATAATAATCGCACAGCTAAATCTTGGTCAAATGACATGAAATCCATAAAAGAGATATCTCTCTATTTGTTATCTTCAACATGTTTTTATACTTTTTGATTTGACAAACTGTAACGATTTTATTTCAATTATAATCATGATTTTTCTTATTTCATGAACATTTTGGAATTTTCATGATTACAAACCAACTTTTCTCCAATTGCGACGATTTTAGACACTTTTTTTAATTGTCCATTTCATATTGTTAAGTTACTGTAACAGGTATAGGTCGACACAAACAACTTTATGGGTGATATTTTTGTACGTTGAAAAGTATTACCAGACAAAGAAGCTTATTTTTAGACTCTTAATATAGGGAGAAGGGTGTCATCATCGACTTACATGAAAATAAGAAAAGACTCCAAGGATAAAATAGCAAAATCAAGCCAACGAATATTTCTCCGGAGGAACAGAAACTTCCGCAGAAATAAAAAGGAGAAAAAGTTTGTAGTATCAAAGAAAATTCTTTGCACAGCTTCTATATTTATGAGACCAATAATTGAATGTGCTGGTCTTAACGGACTTTATTCAATCATTAAAAATAATTAAACTGGTCATATTGAAAGTGTGGTTTCTGCAATGAGTTATTACCAACTCATTGAAACTTTTCAATATTACTTGATGAATGATAAAGAGGAAAGATAAAGAATGGCTAACAACAGGACAAGATGTTTCTCAACATTCCGAATATCTCTCGTCGAATATATCAGTGACATCATTCCAAACATATTGTAATGTTTCTTAGATATGGTCCGAAAATTGCCCCTCTTCTTTTGAAAAGATTTATTTTGATAAAAATAACATTTCTAAATTTAATAATAAATTGGTTTTTATTAAATTGAAAAAAATTTAAATGTTCAAATAGAATTGTCGAATTATCTCAGGGTCAAAAGCAGGTTCTGGCAACACTGTCTAGTCGAACACGTGCACACCTTAAGGTGCAATTAAAGTGAAATATTGTCGACAAAATTAACAATAAACAAATTCTCTAGATTAGTTAATACGAAGTAATATTTATCAATTCGGATATTGTTATGGTTTTAAACTCGTGAAAAAATTAAAATAATTAAGGAATTTGTAATTCTAACCTCAAAATTTTATAGTAAACTTATTAAGGAAACGTTTCGTATTGAAGGTAAAAGAGTTTTTTTAAATTTGTATCAACAAAACAATAAATTATAAAAAAAAATAACTTAACTTAGCCAATTTGTTTTTATGAAAACTTTGGAGGTCAAACTCAGGAATGTGACAGGAACGGTTGGATTCAGGATTGAGAACCAATTTTTCTCTTCACCAGAAGATATTTTAAATACGGGACCAAATTAGTTTCTTCGATAGGAACAGGATCGATTGTTTTTTCAATGTGAAGGAACGGATATTTTTTTCTTTACACTCGTTAAGCGTTGATTTAATTTATTTTTTTGGAGAGCAAAAAAAAATGCGTGCGTCTCTTCAGACAACAAAAACCACTCTTTTTGTTGATAAATTTCGTTTTTCGGATGTTAAATTTTCAAATAACGTCTCCTGATTGGTTAAATTCATCGATTTGAAATTTGTACTTTAGTTTTTTCAATGTTACCAACTTTGACATTTGAAATATCTCTAATTTAATTTGTCAAATTAATATTTAAAAATTTTAAAATTATTTATAATTATGTATGATATTTCGTAGTTTTGATGCTCTTTTAAAACAATTTTCAAATATCCATTCATTTTCTTCTGATTTCAACGATAAATTTTCCAATATGTTCAAATTAATTTTGTAAATTTTCATTCAATTTTCATTATTCCATACAAATATTGATTATTTTCTTTGTTAACTAAGTTAAGATTTTCGTTCTTAATAGGTTTGAAGTGGGTAGATGAAGATTTAAATAAATAATTTTGAAAAATTTAAATTGAGGTTATCTGATATCGAGAATGATTAAAATTACTTCGTATCGACTTTACAAGTGATATATTAGAATTAGAACATTAAAGAACAATAAAATGTATCGAAAATTCACTAGTATAGTATCTAACATTATTTTACAATTGTTCATAAACAAATCAAATATGACTAAATTACTGGTAATCGGTTATTTTTACAATATCTTAATATTGTCTATGGCAACTCTTAAAATCGTCCCAAACCTCTCCTCATATCTTTCCAAGCATATACATAATCATTTAGGTCACCCCCCAATATTTTCTCTCATCTCATAATACTATCATATTAGTTTTAGCTTTAAACTAGCACTATCACTAGAACTAACATAAGACTCATTCAGGTTAAGCCATCATGAGAGACGTGTGGCTAAATCCGAATGTTTCTAGTTCTCGGTCTAGTGTTAGTTCAAGTTTTACACCACCACTATCACTAGAACTAACACAAGACCTAGAACTAGAATCATTCGGGTTTAGCCGTCTTGAGAGACGTGCGGCTAAACGCGAATGTTTCTAGTTCTAGATCTAATGTTAGTTGTAGTAACAGTGGTTGGTAGCGCTAGTTAGCATAAGATATCACTATGTTGCATATTTTTATTGCACTAAAACTAGAACTAACACAAGACCTAGAACTAGAATCATTCGGGTTTAGCCGTCTTGAGAGACGTGTGGCTAAACCCGAATGATTCTAGTTCTAGGTCTTGTGTTAGTTCTAGTTTTAATTGTTATTTAGCGTTAGATTGTAGTATTTTGTTGAACGAAAAGTAGAAATAACACTAGACCTAGAACCAGAAACATTCGGCTTTAGCCGTGCGTCTCTTAAGACTGCCGAAAATTTAGGATTATAATGATAAGGCGAAAACAAAAACGATAGTTTAACGGACAACGAATTTAGGACAGCCTGTACATAGTTCAATATCATCCCTGACATTCCTCAACACCGTACCGGATATTCTTCTGCGCGTTTAACATTCTACCCGTTACATTTAACTACGTTTATTAAAACTGTTTATTTATTCATAATATAAATTATACTGTAAAATTTTCATTGGAAAATAATTTAATTTTATCTGTTATTAATAATAATCTTCATTGATTTAATTTAAATATATTACCAACGTAATGAAATGAAAATGTGTAATAAATTAGAATTAAAATCGATTTTCATGAAAAATTTCGGAATATTCAAATGACGTCATTTCACGGTAAGAATATCCTAGGAATTATCGCTTGAATAGTTTCAACCGCACCGCCTCCAACGATCGATATTCTCCTGGATAATAGCAATTTTCCGGTGGATAATTAGAAAAAAGACTTCAACGTTATTTGCCTTTATCACCGAAAGGTATCGCGGGGAGCTCGTTAGTCTCCCGTTAAGCGGGCGCTAATTAAATCGAATTAAAGTCGGCTTTAAGGAGGTTATCCGGACGCATTATCCGACGGCGACGACAGCGGTGCTGCTGCGGTTCCTGCTACGGCCCATTATGGGGAAATTCAATTTTTCGAGGAGTCAGCGAGCACTAAATTGGCCTCGCGCTCGATCCGCACTTTGTCGTAATTCTTCTCCAACGGGACGAGAATTATAAGAAAACATCTTCTGATATTATCAGACGATTAACTATTTTTGCAACGTAATCATTTTTTACCTTTTCAAAAATCAACAAGTTATTAAACTAATAGTACAAATAAAAACTTTTCAAACCAAATAAAAATGTCGTTTTAGATAATAATAAAGCAATTTAACTTTTCTCAATAAAAACGTCTTATATCTTTCAGTTTACGGCGTGTAAAATTTTTATGATGGAGAAATCTTTAAAGAAAGAGCAGAGAATCAACAAAATAAAAAAAATTCTAAAGAAGTACCACTCAATTCTTTTATCATTTGAAGTGCCTTTGATGTTTTAGTTAACGTTTTTAATACCTCTCCCACAAGCAATAACATTTTCTCTTCTATTTATGAAACAGTCCTTTCAGAAACGACATAAAACCCTTTTAAAAGGAATTGATATCGGACTGCAGAACGATCTAGAATAAACAAAACAGATAAATTGATGGTAACATATCCTCACGTCCATATCGAAAAGAAAAAGTGAAAGAGCGAAAAACGACGACAAAGAAGAAAAAACAAAAACGATAACGAGAAAATTCTCTATCTCGCGGTAACGTTCCGACCATATTGATGCTCGCACGGGTTTTCTCTGACACACGCTCATTTCACCCTGAAAGGCTCACCCCTGACGAATAGCCTCTTGTATACGCGCCAGCTTTTATCTCATCACGTGTCAACCAAACCTTTATTCTCTAAATATATTCCGACGGCTACTTTATACGGCTACTTCATTTTTTCATTAAAAAAATTAAATAAACTTTGTTCATTTTAAAATCTCACAATCTTTTATTTGATGATTTTTTTCAGAGAGTTGGTTGTGACCTGCGAATAGGTTCTACTTTACAGGTCGATGCGTGCGGTGTTTGCGGTGGCGATGGTTCCAGCTGTTCAAGACCTCTCTACCATTGGACTTTAGCGTCCATGTCACTTTGTTCAGCGACTTGTGGCGTCGGTGAGTAGTTGTAATTAATCGCTCCCATGCAGAACTAGAGAAATAACAATCACCAATCTGTCCCTTGCAGGCTATAAGATGTCAAGACCAGTTTGCCAGAATGTCGTAACCGGCGAGGAAGTTGAGGAACAGCTTTGTAACGAGTCTCAAAGGCCCGATAATACAGTAATCGAATGTAATATGCATACGTGCCCACCAAAGTAAAACGATATCCGCGATAAATTTATAATCAATATTTTCAAATTATTTCTTTTTTGTATTTTTTAAGATGGCATGCTGGTGATTGGGGCCCTTGTTCGGCAAGTTGCGGGGGTGGTTCAAAACTGCGTCAGGTTCACTGTACGGAAGAGACGAACAGCACGAAAATCAAGGTAAGGTACATTTTTGCCACGCTTCGGTCACGTACATCCTCTTCACCTCGACTAGAAGACGGCGGCAATTCGAGCAATTTAGTCACGTAATTAAGCCGACGGAAAGGAACTAAGGGGGCGACCCGAAAGGGTAGTAACGATAGTAACGATTTTTATTGGTCCCAATTGCACCATGAACTAACGTTCGTTCTACTTGGCTACCTTTCTAACCTCCTTTTTAAACGCATCGATTTTGAATCAAAAAAGAAAAAGTTTTATTCACCATTAAAATATATACCTAGTATTAAAATTTGTTATTCTTACTATCACCTTAAACAAGCTTATTAAATAAGCCTTTTTCCAATCTCTCTTCGTTCTGTGCAGTCTATTTCTTCTCATTTCCATATTTTCTTAGCATTTTCCTTTAACCACATTGTTTTTGGTCTTTCTTCTATCTACTTAGTTTCCTTTCAATCTTGCTTTCTTTGACCTGTTATTTTTTTAATTTTCCAGTCTCTATTGCGTCTCTTTTTAGCATTGCTAACATCCTTCTTGTCTTTCAAATCTCTACTTCATCTATGTCTTCTGTTACCACTGTCTTTCCAGTTTTCTATTTTGTGCTCAACTTATTTCTTCCATTACCAGTCTCTTCCAAGTTCCTGACTCTTAATCCAGTTTCTTGTTTCTCTTTTCGATCTCTGTCTAGTTACTTTCTTCTCTTTCCAGTGTCTCCTCAGTATTATTTTTCTATTATCAGTCTTTTACCATTATTCCATTACCATTACCAGTCTTTTCCCGGCCTCCCTAATTCTTGTCTACCCTATTCCTTCTATTTCCAGAGTCCATTTAATTGACATCTTCTATTACCAACTTTCTTCCTGTTTTTCCAGTTTCTGCTCAATCACTTCGTTGCAATACCAGTCTCTTTCCAATATTTCTCTCACCTGCTTCTGTCTCATTTTTATTTTCCAGTCTACAAGTCAGTTTCTCTACTTTCTATTCTGTCAGTCTATTTCCAGTTTTTGTTTTCTGTGTCCATTCTCTTATTTCTCTTTTTTTCTTTAGAATCTTTCTTCACTCCTTCTTAAGATATTTTTTTGAATTAAAACAATTCACAACTTTTATTATAGTTTTTACAGCTTAACTTACTTACTGCACTTTTTAATAATAGAGTAAATCAGCTGTAAGTTAATAATAACGTCTGACCGAACCAGTTTGAAGTATAAATCCCGAAAATTTATTTAACTCCACCGAAACTCTCCAGCAACTTTCACTCCGTCTTCCTTCAATTCTTAGTGAAACTCCGCGGAGTAAGTTTTGGCAAAGACCGTACTCCTTCGAATAACTCCCAATTACCGCATTAAATTAGAAAATATAAGTTGGCTGGTAATTAATGGCGACGGTGCCGTCTCTTTCGCGAATAACTCACCGGCGTCGCGACGCCCATAACCACCACCACCTACAAGGCGCCGGACCTACGCCGGTTCATAACGGACAATGGGCGAACTTGTGCAGTTAACGAACTTCCTCCGGATTCGGTACCGAAAATGAACCGAGCAAAGTTCCTGTTGAAGCCGCTTTTGCAGGAACATTGGGGGGTTGTCTCCATTAAAGCGGAGTGTGAGTGGGTGCGCCGATTTAAATATTGAAGCTTATTTTGTCTTCACGGGGTATTTCGACCCGTATTAATAAAGCAAGATGGGTAAAGTGCACCTTTTTGAATACGAAAGACAATGAGACTCGTGTTGGTGCTATTTTAATCATAAACGGTGAAAAATTAATTTATTTGTTGCAGATTGAAGACGAAAAATGTTCAGGATACAAACCTAGGTATCAAGAATCATGTAATCAAATGGATTGTCCCAAATGGCATTCATCATCATGGTCTGGAGTAAGCATATATATTTTTAATGTATTACTTAATCTATTTTTTTTTTAATTTTTAGTGTTCGGTGTCTTGTGGGGAAGGTATGCAAGTAAGGGTGGTGGAGTGTCGTGACCACAATGACCAGCCAAGCGTTTTATGTCCTTCCCACCTAAAACCGACCACCACAAAACCGTGTGCGACGGGAATTCAATGTCCGTACTCCGTCGACGAGCACAGCGAAGAATTAATGCCCGGACTGTACCATACTCAACCCTTAATACAACCGTATCCGCCATCAGGTCCAGCAATAGCGGAACGATTAATCGGCGAACCGGTGGTCCCGTCAGAGAGCACGTAAGTGTGCGGCAGAAGCCGTCGTACGAGTTTAGTTCCACCTCCGAAGGGTTAGCTTTAGGTGTTGCTTCTCGGCGCCCCCCTAATCCAAAATCCTCCCCCAACAACGACCCGATTGCCGGGGAATTGCTTTCGTTGAACGACGCGGTGTTAATATGTCGGCTCGATGAAAGTAATAATTCAGTCGGGTTGGCGCTAAATTAGGCCATAATAGTTCGCTCCCATCTCTCAACCTGTCCTCCGGCCGTCCTACTCGCTTTTATTTAATTAAAGCTCTCTCTACCCGAACACCACCACCACCACCCTCAATTCTCTCGTTCACGCCGTGGAAGGCGAGCTACACGCCATATCTGAATTAACCCATTCTTCTTCACACTTACATATGTATACTTTATACATGAAAAACTTACGCAGGTTTTTCAAAAATACTTTGATCGAAACTGTCATTACATCAAATTTTTATTATTAAACTTGATTATTTAGATAACGTCCATAAACCCAATATTAAAACGTATTCATTATTAACGGTAGTTCGCCAACAAACTTATATTAATACAGCAAACTTATATTAATCCGTTCTTTGCTTTTATGAAAACCCATAAAACTCTATCAACTCGTTTGTTCGAGGAGGAGGAATTTTAGATGACCGCATCATTGAAGTTTCCCGTTAATAATTTAATACGATCCGTCCCTATATTAAATTATTAACTTCCGATGTAACAAGTTCACCAGTTGTTCGTCCAAGCAATTTCGCAACAAAATAATGACAGTTTCGATCTTATCCTCAAGTCCGAGTATATAAACCTGCGCGAGTCTCCGAATTTCGTTACAAGACGCTCAGTGTGCTTGTGTTTTCAGCAAATTCAAAGTGTACTTTGCCTGCGGTTGGGTGTATGTGAGGTACTCTCTATTCTATACATTTCCTAGAGCAACAGTTTTGATCACACCGTATACAGAAACTTTACATATTTTACTCGTTTTGTTTTATTTTCCTTTTATTAGTTTTTTGATTCAAATATATCATTATATCAAATAAAAATGATAATAAATTTTAAATATTTGAATCAATAAACTTTTAATTTAATTAATAAAGCTTCTTATGATTTAGTTGTTTTTATCGTTTATTTAAACAAAACGTATAACAATGAAAAAGGAGACTCAAATTTTAAAAGTTTACATTTTCCAACTGGAGGGCGGTAACAGTGGATTGTTGATTTTACGAATTGAGTCAAATTCGTACGGTTAGTTACAGTTTGGAATATAACGCTGCTTATGGGAATGCAGTGGCATAGTTTTGTAATTCGACGGTAGTTAGGTCGGTTAATGTTTTCGACGCCAAGTCGGCGTAAATAACTTAATTTCTAGCTATTTTCCCGTTAAACTATTTAATTTTGAATTTCATTAAACTATTAAATCACATTAATTATAACTTTATAATTAATTTCATTCCAAAGCAAAATAATCCATTGTTATCAAAATCCAAAATTACAACATTAAAGTAAAAGTAAAATAAAAATTTTATAAGCGAATTAACTTTAGTAAGCATAAAAAATGTGCTTATTAAACAGACTTCGAAGTTGGAATAGGTTAACGTATGGCGTTTCTCTAAAAAAGAACCAACACCACATCCACACACAATTTAGTTTCGTTCTAGCACCTGGCAGAGTTTTTGGGAACGTAACACCAACCAAGTAACACCACCTTTTCTTATTGTTCTTCTTGTATCTTTTTTTTGTCCCTCGTTATACCCCTTTCGTACTCTCTATAATTCTGTATAATATTATGTATTTAAAAGTAATTAAACACAACGCCTTAAGTGTTTTGCCACTTTTGCACACCACGTTTACACACTACCACAATTTTACTCTTTTTTCTCTTCCGACAACTTGTAATTCACGACCGTCACGACACGAATACCGCTTACACGCTTTAGCCGATGTGTAAGTATCAATTAGTGAGTATTTTATCGTGTGTTCCATATGCCAAGTATAAAAACACCATTTATTCAAAAATGTTTTAAATGCTTTTTAAAAAAAAATAATAAACCGGCGCCTTCGCCATATTTTTATTTAAACTTTTTATTACACAAAGTAATGTGAAAACCTTTCCACCATGCAGGGTGTTCATATACATATAAATTTTAACTATTTCCCAACATATCATATCCATTAAGGCGTCAGCTCAGCGTTGATACGGGTAAATGACAGCTACAGGTTAATAATAACGAACGGTTTTCCTACGATAACGGACATTTTGGCATGAATTCGATCGGAATAATTAGATTAACATTCCTCTGATAAATCACATATTCATGTCAAATGGTTATTTGGCATATCGGAAGTGTATGTGTGTACATAATGAAATCGTTTATTCTTGACAGCATGCAAAAAGCACACATTGATTGCTAGATTTTGTAAGGATTTTCTTTAAGGATTATTATTAAATCGTTGACGTTAATATTTGTTACGGGGATTTTTGCAGATTTATAGCGGATGAATGGGGGCCGTGCAGTGTAACGTGCGGGGAGGGTATAAGAAAAAGACAGGTGCACTGCAAAATATTCTTAGAGTTTTCACGTACCATAGCTAAATTACCAGATAATAAATGTAGCGGTGAGAAACCAGCTGAAACCGGAAGCTGCTTTCTCGAACCCTGCTCATCCGAACGTTTAGATATTAAGGATGATCCTTACCGACAAGACACAAATCAGAACATCAAGGTCGGAGGTGGTAGCCCTCGCAGTACGTATTCTTGGAGGGAACAAGGATACACTCATTGCAGTGCTACTTGTTTAGGTGGCGTCCAAGAGCTGATTGTGAATTGCGTGCGCGATGACACGCAAAAGGTCACCTCCCCGTACCTTTGCCCCCGCGAAACCAAACCGGAAATCTTGATCAGAACCTGTAATGACTACCCGTGCCCGCCGAGATGGAATTATTCCGATTTCTCACAGTGCACGCAGTCCTGCGGGATTGGGATACAAACAAGGGAGGTCAACTGCATACACGAAGTGACGCAAGGTGGTGGTAACACCGTCGTTGTTCCCAACAACATGTGCCCTCAACCACCGCCCCCGGATAGACAATACTGTAACGTACTCGACTGTCCTGTTAAGTGGATCGTAACCGAATGGTCCAAATGCTCGAGGGCCTGCGGAACCGGCGAAAAGACACGTAAAGTCGAGTGTAAACAAGTTATGGCGCAAAATCATACGGTAGATAGACCAATTTCTATGTGTCCAAGTCCTAGACCTTCCGAGAAAAAGCCATGTAACACTAAAAGTTGCGTATTAGAATCTGATAAACCGCATATTGACGTTTCAAATTCGACTTACATTCAACATAGCGTTAAAAAGAAAAAGGTAAGAGTATAAAACTATTTCTTTTATTTTGTAATTAAAAGGACTTTATTACAACTTCACTCTAAGTTGTTTACTTCGTGGAATTAATATACGGAATGTAACCGGGACGCAATAACAGATCACAACTCAATCTTAATTAAGTTCGCACAGCCGGTTCACGTCCGCCACATCAGTTTCCATAAGCAACGAATCGTTCGCGAACTAATATCGACTAGTAATCCCGATCGGAATTATTCCCAAGCTAATCCCAAACCATCCTACGTTGCAGGTATTTCTCAAAATTGGCGGTGCTGCAACCGTCTTCTACGGAACCGTTGTTAAAATCAAATGCCCCGTTAAGCGATTTAATCGGACAAAAATTGCTTGGACTAAAAACGGAAGGATGTTACCCAAAACCAAGAAATTTCGCGTATCGAAAAAAGGAGCTTTAAGGATTCAAAATGTTGCTTACGCTGATAAAGGAACGTATACTTGCGCGGCTGGAAAATCGGCAGCTAATTTAACGTTAACCGTTAGAGCTAAACCGGGGGAGTTTATGAATTCTGAAGAAATATCGAAACAAAAAAGTGATACTATTTATGATTCCCCCGACATACAACCTAGAAGAGATGATGATAGGGTAAATCCTATGTTGAATAACGATGATCACTCGCACGAACAAAGACCGGATAATATTAAAAAACCGAAAAGTAAGGTTTTTACTCCTACTTCACCGTCATTAAAAGCAGATTCAAATAGCTTAAGCGGTTGGGCAGCGGGAAGTACTGTTGATTCAAAACGAGATCAGGTAAATAATTTTATATACAATTTTTCCTTAAATATTAACTCATTTTAACGTTAATTTTTATAAAAACTCTCTTCTCTTGTCTTTTTTAATCGCTGCTTTTAAAGAGTAAACTTTCGGCATCTCAACTGCCCTCTTCGTCTGACTCACTCAGACCAGAAGGCTCTACTAGTTCAGCCTCCAGGGCATTACCATATTTTCAACAACTTATTTCAAATTTACAGGTAAGGATTACAATTTTCTTTTCAGTTTCTCAATCATCGGGGAATTTCACCAAAAATGTCATCTAAACTGCGTATAAACTTGTAACATTACTAATTTACTCATAAAATTAACACTATTTTAACTCGTCTAAAAAAACCTCTATAAGTAATTATCAATAATTTGTGTAGGGCTTATGGCCTTTTCAGGCATATTCAAGAGGTCACCGCACAATTTCCTTCCCAGAGGAGTTAATTAACACTAAAGATTCCGCTCCGATTATCCTAGGAAGAGGACCACCAGAAAATCTTAAATTCGATTGGGTAATGACTGAATGGTCTAAATGTTCAGAATCATGCGGGGATGGATTCCAAACGCGACAAATCCACTGTTTAGTTCGTCTACATAACAACACGCAACGTGTGGACGATAACATGTGCGAAGATGCAGGGTTGGAACTTCCGGTTACAGTCAGAAAGTGCGGGATTGAAGAGTGTCCGAAATGGGTGGTTGACGAATGGTCCACGTGTTCTAAATCGAAGTGTTATGCGTTACATACAGGTAACAAAAAAATTATTAAATTACATAAGAAATAAGATTGCCATTACATTTTTTTTGTGAATAGCTTTGCAAAGGCGAGGAGTGAAATGTCATCTTTATAACACCTCGGTTGCTGCTGTTAAATGTAAGGATTTCGAGAAACCTGTTGATTTGCAGGAGTGCGAAAATGTAAAATGTATAGGAAAGTGGAAGATGGGATCTTGGTCAAAGGTAAATATTAGAATCATTACTGGACATAAAGAAAATGGTATGGTTTAAATTAATTAGTAATGTATAGAGTCAATAAAAAAATAATAAATCAAGTTGTGTTCAATAATTATTATCTCGAGAACAAATAGAGATTTTGCAATACGGTTTAGTTCTCGAAAAAGTACGTGGTTTCCTCTATAAATCGCCAACATTTCATAAAGATATCTTAAGAAATCGATTTTTCCGGATTTTTTAAAAGTGATCATATTATGATAAAGCTATAAAAATCAGGTTGTGTTTAATAGTTATTATCTCAAGAACGAATTAAGATTTTCAACTATGGTTTAGTTATCAAAAAAGTACATACTTTCCTCTATAAATTGCCAGCATTTGATAAAGGTATCTTAAGAATTCGATTTTATAGGATTATATAAAAATCATAGTACTAAATTGTTAATTATAAAATCATAAAAATTTAGGTTGTCTTCAAAAATTATTATCTCAAGAACGAATAGAGATTTTGAAATACGGCTAAGTTCTCGAAAAAGTTCACACTTTGCTTTATAAATCGGTAGCATTTCATAAAGATATCTTAAGAATTCGATTTTTCACGATTTTTTTAAAAGTGGTCAAATTATGATAAAGCTATAAAAATCAGGTTGTGTTCAATAATTACTATCTCAAGAACGAATAGAGATTTTCAAGTATGGTTTAGTTCTCGAAAAAGTACATACTTTCCTCTATAAATCGCCAGCATTTGATAAAGGTATCTTAAGTATTCGATTTTATAGAATTATATAAAAATCATAGTACTAAATTGTTAATATTATAAAATCTTTAAAATTTAGATTGAGTTCAAAATTTATTATCTCAAGAACGAATCGAGGTTTTGAAATACGATTTGGTCGTTTTAAACGAATTTTTTTATCACTGTACACATCCTTATGGTACACCTGTTTTAATTATTATATATAGTATTATTATTAATTTATAGTGTAACGCACCTTGTGGTGCAGAAGGAGTAAAATACAGAATCCTCCAGTGTGTTTGGTACGGAACCAAAAAACCGGCCGGAACAGCTTGTAGAGATCTCCATCGACCACCTGTTACTAAATCTTGTAAGGGACCTCCATGTTTAGAAGGTAAAATTCTTATCTTTTCAAATTTATAATAACAAAATAACGTCCCATAAATTAAGAAAAAGAAAATAAATTAACCCTAATTTATTAAATTCCATATTTCACAGTATAGCTAGTCAATGGATAAATTTTTATCAATTTAAAAGGTAAGATGAAAATAATTCAAACATAACCAACTTAAAATACTAAATCTTATTCAATTTTTGACATAACATATCTTTTTAATTTACAGAATCCCTTTGCACAGATAAGTCGATGTTTTGTTCAAATGTAAGGATGATGAACTTGTGCACTTCTTCGACTTATAAAACGACGTGTTGCAAATCTTGCGCTTCAGTGGAATAAAAGCGTTGATAAGAAGATAAAAAATTTGTTAATAAAAATAAGGACAAAATATAAACGTTTATTTCATCGGCCACAAAACGGTACCTAGCCAAGAGATATAATGCGATAACAAAACCAAAACGATGATGATTCTATAAATTATTAAAGTTAAACAAAAATATATATTATACATAAGAAGTCTATTTCCGTGTAAAGTTTAAAGAAATTAATTAAAAAATGGGAAAACGCACGTGTATAAAATAAGTGCTGCGTTAGCAATACTTAATGATTTAAAATCATTTCTTTTATTTTTTGATTGATTCTTTTAATCGGCTTGTACAGCTGGTCTGTATATAATTAACTAAGGGGAACGTAATTATTGTCTAAGACTGATGGTTTTTTTTCCTACGTTTGTCACTCGCTTGTTTTTAAATGATTAATAAAGAAACCGAATGGGTATGCAAAAAAAATTAAATAAAAGCGAGATTAGTTAAGATACATTCCAGGAGAGATGGAGAAAAACGTATTCTATAGGAAACGTTGGTTGATAGCTTTATTAGGTTTATTGTAAAGAAAGAAAATAAGTTATAGTTAAAGATGGATTTAAAGTTGACTGTTTATAGTGTAATAATAAAAATTAAATTAAAAAAAAATAAAATAATAAATCCAAAAAATGTATAAAAACGTTTATTTTAACTTCTTTTGTAAAACGTTAAAGTTTTTGAATCGCTTTAAAGAAACAAATCCCTACACAACTGCCAAACGTATATCATCAACTTTCTAACTTTATCGTTTTACAAAATAAAATCAAATTTTACATATAATTTAGAGTTATTGTAATTATTTAATGATTAGATTTAGGTGGACACTAATTTATGTATATGTATCCTTTTTATATCTTAAGTTACCACTATATGTATATTTTATACTGTTGGGCTTATGTATTTTATTAATGAGCTACGTATGTAATATTGTTTTGTGTTGATTATTTATTAAACTCTATAATTTATGAATTAGTATTATTAACCATTTAATCCTATTCTGTTATTTATTTTCGTTTCACACATCAACAGTTGAAGAACTACGAAAACCCCATATTTTCTAAATTACTGTAAATTTACTAATTTGGTTTTAGGGAAGGTAGAGAGAGGTACATCAGATGCTATCGCAGAATTGTCTAAATGTACAGACAAAGACTAAATATGGTGGTCTCGATGATTCACTCTGTACTATGGCAATATTTTTAGATTTGCATAAAGCGTTTGACACAGTGGATCAAAAGCAACTTTTTTAATCTTACCTGCAAGATCGAACTCAGAAAGTAAAAATAAATTCTAGTTGCAGTTCACATGTAAAACTATTCTGTAACCCAACCCAAGGTACAGTTCTGGGCCCACTAATTTATATCAATAATTTTTTGGAAGTAGGATTAAATTGTAAAATGATATCTTACGCTGACGATATGTTTAAAAACCCAACATGGTCAAATCTTTTATCTTTAGCCAAAGACATTGTGGGAGTCTTGTTAAATTGGTTTGATTCCAGTAAACTGTTCCTCAACTACAGTCCCTAACCTTGTTATACACAACGACTTCTGCCAACAAACTGATTGTGATTGTCCTAAGATTACTATTAGAGTTAGTTCTGTAAAATATCTCGGCGTTGCTGTGGATCAGTATTTCAGGTGGGATGTGTATATTGGTAATATGTGCAAAAAACTAAGATCAATAATGTTCTAGATCAAAAGACTGCGGTGAGCATGCGCTTTCATGAGGATATATTATTTTGCAATGGTTGAGTCAAATTTGAGATACGGCATTATTGCTTGGGGAGCAAACTCAGATATCTACTTAGAAAAGTTACGCACAATCCAAAGGTTGATTTTAAAAACTTTACTTAATGCGACACACAGTTTTGACAAAAGTAAATTGTACTTTTGCAGAAGTCCATAAACAGCATTGAAAATATCCTTCCCAATTGTTGTATCATGCAATGGTACTAATTCCAGTATTTCTTCATAAACGTTGATATCTCTATCAACAGCACGAAGAAAAACAGTGAATTGCGCAACACCTCACACATCTATAGTTTCATCACAGGCAATAAAAAATGCAATTAAATTTATGTGTTTATAGACTTAATTTTACGATTTGATTGGAATTTGAGTTTGATGACCATTAATGGTCTAATGTACTGTGGTAAACTACGCACAATTCTGTTTATCAGAATTAGTGGTGCAATCCTAATATTACAGTCAATATGCCAAAATATTTATTTACTTTTTGTGAGGTTTTGGGGCTCTTGCCCGTTATTGCTAGCTAACCGCTTGTGTTTACTCATTTTCTTATTTATTTATTATTATTATTATTACTATTGTTTTGTTGTATTCATTTTGTGGTTTCAATAAAGTACATTATTATTATTATTACCTATTTACCAAAATAAATCCTATTTAATTTTCCTGATTGATAAACGATGGCGCCACTTGATTCAATAAGAAGTACGCGTACTTTGCATTCTATTTCGTGAACTCCAGTAGCCGTGATCGTCTAGTGGTTAGGACCCTACGTTGTGGCCGTAGTAACCCAGGTTCGAATCCTGGTCACGGCAATGTTCAAAACATTGTCACGGAGGAGTTTCACTCTTTTTTCCATTTTTTTTTTAACTAAAAAAATTTATTAACAAAATACTAACATGATAAATAGATTATTTTGACCTTTAACCCATCTGAATAACAAGAGTACATTTATCACAGTTTATTGGCTCTTGTCGCGCTCTCAATTGATTGATGTTTCCAAATTGGTGCAATTGCTACTTGAAGAAAAGAAATTTGTTACAAGTGTTCTCCGTCAAATTTAATGTGTGCTTTTTCGATGCGCCCAACAAAGACAATTCCAAATCGACTTTTGTTGAAAGAAGACGTTGTTTTACATAAGCAGAAATTTTTAGTAAAATTTGAACTTTGTTCTAATTTGCATCAAAACAATGAATAATGAAGATGTTTTATTAAAACCGGGGCAGTCCATAAGACCGGTAATCGAACTAAATGAAATCGAAATGCTTTTAGAAAACATTTACGGATTAAAATGTATTCATATAAAAAATTTGGAGGGATACGATGATCGAAATTATCACGTTAAAGTTGAATTAATTGACAATAGAAATATAAATGATGTTTATGATGATGGATATGTTTTGAAAATTTTAAATTCTTTGGATTCTGAAAAAACATCATTTATTGAAGCTCAAAATAATATTTTATTAGAGTTATGTAAGTATTATACAGTGAATTTCACTTAAGATGCAATATACAAAAATATATTTCCATAGAAATCAGGGCGTACCTACTTACTTCTTTTAACATTTTACGTTAACAAGACTAACACTAGCACTAGAACTAACACTAGACCTAGAAACATTCCGTTCAGCCGTACCTCACTTAAGATGGCTGGTAGGTGTTAGGTTAGCATAAAATATCACTGTGTTGCATATTTTTATTGAAGTAAAACTAGAACTAACACTAGACCTAGAACAGGAATCATTCGGGTTTAGTCGTCTTGAAAAACGTGCGGCTAAACTCAAATGTTTCTAGTTATAGGTCTAATGTTAGTTCTAGTGACAGTGCAAAACTAGAACTAACACTATGCCTAGAACTAAAAACATTCGGGTTTAGCCATACGTCTCTTAAGATCAAACTAAGTTATCATAAGGATGTCACCTTTTCCAAGTAAAACTTTTCCTTCGCAAAATTAACCAATGCCTGTACTATTAAGCTATGTTGCATTTTATGTGGGACAGTGCAAGTACATAGTAGTTTCGTAACTATGGTTACTGCATTAATATATTGCGAGTTATATGAAATTCCAGGTATAAATAAAAAGAAAAATCAACAATGAAATTCTTGTTATAGGTAAAAAAGAAATTTCTTGCCCAACACCAATCCCAACAAAAACCAACAGTTATTATTCATTAGAAAAATTAAAAAGTGGTATCCACGTCGTTAGATTAATGAAATATATTTCTGGTGAAGTTCTACACAAAGCGCCAACCCCAGATTATATTTTCTATGAAATAGGAAAATTTGCAGCACTTCTCGACGAAAAACTAACAGTAATTATTTTTTAATTATCTACCTAATAACATCTTTTTTATCATTTAATTATTTAGCATTTCCACCAAGAAGCTTACATTCACCATAAAAGCTTATGGATGTTAGATTCAGTATCAGAATTAAATCAATTTTTATTTGCAATTAATGACCCAGATAAATACCAAACCATCTCAAGAATAATAGAAGAATTTACCAAAAAAGTATTAAAACGTAAAAATGAATTCGAACGTGGTATAATTCACGGCGATTTCAACGAACAAAACATTTTGGTGGAAAAGTCTAACGAAAGATGGGAAGTAAAAGGAATTTTGGATTTTGGAGATAGCCAATTCTCATGTTATCTTTTCGAACTCGCTATTTTAATGACTTACATGTTAATATTAGGTAAACGAATGGAAATTGGAGGAATTTGCATCGCTGGTTATTACAGTGTTAGAAAGATTCCGATGAAAGAAATTGAATTTTTAAAGGTAAATAAAATTTTTTAATTATTTTAAATTGTTTAATTTTTTTTAGCTTTGTATTGAAGCTAGATTGTGTCAGTCTTTGGTATTAGGAGCTTATTCAAGCTTACAAGACCCTGACAATGATTATATTTTAACAACAGCGAAACCAGGATGGAATTTGCTCGAAAAATTAACCTCAATGACCAATGATGAAGTTTTAAAAATATGGATTGAAACTGCTACTAAGTATTGTGAAAATGTTGAATTTATTGAATGATAATTCTGTAAATTAATTTTATTTACTCTTTTATGTTGATTCAAATACTTCTAAAATAGTAACTTATAAAAACTTAAATTAACTTTTATTCATCATCCTCCTCCTCCTCTTCTTCCGGTTGTTCTTCTTCGCCTTCCTCTCCTTCACCCATTACTTTAACAGGTTTCTCAACAGGAAGATGAGCTATTCTCCAAGCTTCCTCTTCGGCACCTGTAGGATCCATCATCTCCATAATTTCAGGTCCTAAAGGATATTCTTGTTCAACGGGCGGTAATGGACGAGGAGAAAAATTGTAAGCAATGTATTTTAAGCCATTTCCCAAATAAACATTTTGAAATAATTTCCCTTGTGTTGAAAAACAATACGCACCCGGCCATATGTTAGATCTGACAATCGCGATTGCGTAATCTTGAAGTAAACTAGAAGAAACTCTAACCGACCATGGTGGGACAGCTTCTACAGAAGCATCTTCAGATAACGGAGTTAAAAGAGGTGGGCCAGTTTCTGGTTCTAAATGAGGACCTTGTGGTTTTTCTGGTTCCTCTTCTTCCCCGCCTTCCCCTTCTTCTTCACCTCCCGCACCGCCAGAGGATGGATAAGGATTCCACCACGAAGTTCTACCTTGCGGTAAAATATAGAGGGTGTGGTGAACCCAAAATGACATAGAACCATCTGTTAAATCTCTAATCGGGGGAGGTTCATAACGTTTATTTTCATTATAAGTAGTTTTTTGTTCACCACCTGTAGGCGCTTCTTCAGCTTCGGCTTCTTCTTCTTCCCCACCGCCTCCTTCACCGAAAGTATAAAAACCTAACGGTGATATTTGAGACCCCGCTGAAATTCTAGCGATTTGAGCTCGAAGAAGATCTTTTTCGGTTCCTTGGAATTCTGGATAAGTTATAATCTCTTGTTCTAAATTACCGGTGAATGATTTACATATCAATCTAGCAACTCTTATCTGTATTGGAATAAGATCGGGGAGCGGTATCCATTCATCTCCAACTTCATTACAAACGAAATAAGTTTTTTTATTAACTCCAGTTCCAGGTAGTTCTGGTGGACATTCAGGAACTTCTTCGAAAAGATTTAGTGGAGCCGGAGGTAACTGTCTTGGAATCTTCGAAACTGGTACATCTTCACCTCCCACCTCTTGATTTGCGAGGTCATCTAACTTCTGCTGTGCTTCCAAAGCTTCTTTTTCGTCCATAATCCGTTGTTCCTCCGCTTCTTTTTCACTTTCAATGGCCTCGATCTTTTTCATAATCTCTTCTTCCTTCAACTCGGTTTCAAGAATAATATAATTTTTATAAGTCCCATAAATTTTTCCCCAAAATCTTATTGCAGCGAGTTGTGCCTTTTTAGCCAACACTCTCATCGATAACATTATCGCAAACATTTCCTCCCTTGGTAAACCCACTCCGCACTGTTCAAAATAATACAAAAGTTGTAACATATCATTTGTAGACATGTCAGCCGTTTCAACATCTTCCGGATCAACGGTACTTGCTTCATCTGGTGGTGCTGGTCTTAAGAAGGGTAAAATCTTCCTTGCAAGACAATATCTTAAAGGTGATACGTAAATATCTTCTAAATGGTCCGTCATGGGTTGAAATCTTTTTTCTTTCACCTTTCTACTATATTCTTCGAAGAAGTCAATAACATTTTCTGGCCGTTCTGCTAAGATTTGATTTAAGACTTCTGTTAGGTGATCATACCTAGAAATCAAAACTTAAAAAAGATTTAAATTTGATTTGGATTATTTACATACAGATTATCTCCTGTAAAAACACTACTTTTTTGAAGAAAAGTTTTTGCTTTAATAAATTCATTATCTAAATCAACTCCTGATACATTATCTGGATCAAGATCGAGCTGTTTATCATCAAAATCGGTAATCATTGCGAATGTAAGTTGTAAAAGTTAATATCTTTTATTACTTTTGCTGTTAGTGACAAGTTGAAATATTTTATTTGTCATTTATAAATGAATTACTTGATTTTTTTTTATTACTGGAGTGGAAATAAAAAGCTGACGAATTGGCGAACAGGGGACACTAGGAGGAGGTTCACAGAGTAAAAATCTATGTAAAAGAATTATATCGGCTGATATTGATGACATAAACCATCAATGGGAACAAGACTGGACTAGAAGTAGCTCAACTAAAGGGAATAGGTATGTTATGCGCCAACACACAGTACAAAAAATTCCATGATTGAGACCTTTTGACCTATCTGTTTAAAATTGGAATTAAAGATACCCCACAATGCAGATGTGGCGAAGAGGGTCTAGACTATATCTTTTTCGCCTGTCCAAGATACTCTAATCAACGACAGAAACTATTTGCAGATCTATTTAAGAAACATATATATTTATTATTTAACCTGGTATCATTGCTAGCTACCAGCTCATTTGAAATAAATCTGATATTGTGTGAATATGTTACATCTGCAGGCATTCTACTGTAATATGACTTTGTCTGTGATATATTTAAAGTTTTATTTATGCTTTTATTGATTTAAAATAAATTTTTAAGGGTTTTGGTTGTTAACACACATTGAACAAAGAATTTTCTTACAGCTTACAAAAAACACCAAGCCTACAAAAAATATTTATATAGTTAAAAATAGTTACTGAATTAAAACTAATAAATTTACCAAAGAAGAACCTTTATGGTAAAGCACCTGCTCAGCATGTTTCATTTTGTTCATATTTTTTGCACACCATTTTTCTTTATGAATTGCCCCTCATTACATTTTAAATTATTTCTTATCCATTTATTTCTTATCCTTTAATAAGTCTCTACATCATTATATAAATAATAAGTGGTGATTTCTCCCAGTAAAATTGTTATGGCAATTGAATCGGTTTGATGCTGGTACCATACAACATTGAACAAGCTATTTTAAGAAACAAATAATATTTGGTAGTAATAAGACGATAATTCAATACATAATTCATATCGTTCTCAGTAAATAGATAAAGTTCCATCTTAAAAATAGTCCAAAAAACTTTTAAAAATTGATTATAAAAAAAACAGTACATAACCTCACTTAATAACCTAAAAATGCTTCAACTTTGAAATATCGTAAATAGATGGCACCCCAATTGTTGGTAATGATGATTTCGATATGTAGTTTTATTTATTGAATTTAAAGTATTTACATTTATTTATCTATATTTATATTGAAAATACAAATTAAACAATTACCTAACTTTAAAGTTAATTAAAATTTTAATAAATGTAATTAATTGTTACTGAAATTATTAACAATTCTAAATCTAAACAATTATCAATCAGTTGCAGTGATTGCAGTTTTGGAGTCGCATGTAAAAGTTAAAGAAATCCTTTTAAATATTTTTAATAAGTGTTTTACAAGAAAAGCAATAAGAACCTCCAATTGATTTAAACGGAAAATATGGACACGATGGATTACGATTATTTCCAAAGTTACGAAGATTTAGAGGTGAGTTTGTTTTTATTTCAAAAAAATATTTGAGGTTATGTCGTGTGGATTCGGTTTAAAAATTTAAATCAAAAATTGTTTAAATGAATTTATTTTCAATTAAAAAACACATTTTTAAACTTTAACTATTGATTTTCCGAAATTACCACCGTTTAACATATTGATAAACGCCTTGGGCATATTTTCAAAACCATCAATTATTGTTTCTCTACACTTTAATTTCCCTTCTTTTATCCATTTCGCGTTTTGTTCAATACCCTCATTCCAACGATTCAACCATGTCTTCACTATAAAACCAGTGACAGTTAACTCATTAAAAACTATTGTTGGTTGTAAAATTGTTGCTAAAAAAAATTTAATTAAGAAAAACGAAGGCAATATACAGGTGGTGTGTTAATAGTTCTTAAATTTTTTATAATTAATTAATTTTTATTTATATTGTTATTACAAAATCAGTTGAGTGGTGTTAATTTAATGATTTATTTACCCTTTGGCATATCAGTTGCGTTGGAATTGTAGGAGGATATTGATCCACAGACTGCAATGCGTCCATACCTGTTCATGTGTTGCATTATCACGCTACTTATTTCACCTCCAACCTTAAAAATAAAATGCATCAACCGTACAAAATCATTAAAGCTATAAGAAATATTTACACATATAAAATAATAAGTTTATACCATGAATATATTTGAGTTTTGTTGATAAAGGTAATTGTAAATACTATACATATAAACCTAAAATTGGCTAAGATGACTGAATCGGCTGAAAAACTTATCTCTCGCTCTAGATTACTTATACATAAACACAGGAATAAACAATAAGCAGGAATAAGGCTTAGTTGTATCTCTATTAGGCGAATAGATACTGCTTGTAGTGGACTACATATTGCTTGTAGAATACTGCAGGCAACAGACTCCAATAGTAGTATCTCTATTGAATGAGTATATACTGCTTGAAATAGACTACTTATTGCATGCAGAACACTACATACTGCTTCCAAAAAAATAAGACATTGCTAATAGAAGATCATCTACTGATTGCAGAAGACTAGATATTGCAGGCAGTGGACTCCAATAGTAGTATTTCTATTGGATGAGTAAATACTGCTTATAGTGGACTACTTATTGCTTCCAAAAGACTAGATACTGAGCTCTAAGGTTAGATTGACAAACGACCAGGGACTGTTTATAGAAGATTAGATACTGCAGTTTGCAACTACATATTGTACACATAAATCAACATGCTACCAATTGAAGACTAGACCCTCCTTATAAACACTGCAAATGACTCCAGAAATACATACAACCGCATTTTTTGGCTAGCATGTAACTCCTTTGACATAAGAACCATATTTCTTATTACATTATAATACTTAGATTTGCGTGCGAATCTAGAGTATGTATTTATACTTATATTTTTCGTTTAGTTTAGAGTGCTTTACAGTTCACGTTCAGTTTTTTCGCTTTACTGCAACACTACCTAAGTGTTTTGATTGATACGCTTAGATAAGACTTAAATTAGTGTAGTTTATGGAGGATCGTCACAATTATCAAGTTTCTCTCCTACCTATGATGAGGTGATTTACACGTGTAATGTTTATTGATATGTTACACCACGTAAGCCTTTCATGCAAAGAATCTCAAATATAAAATTGACTTTTGTGGTGGTATTTAATTTTAAAGATAAATTTTGAATTACATTATCAAAATAACAATCGATTCCCCTTGGTGCCGCTTTTGTCAGTTCACTCCGAATATTATCCAATTTATAATTAATAACATAATCAAATCCCAAGCTTTTTAACCAATTTAATTTCTCTTGATTTCCCGCTATTGCAATAACATAACATCCTTTCATTTTAGCGATTTGTCCTACGTGACTTCCGACGGCCCCCGCAGCACCACTTATCACAACCGTTTCACCAGATCTTGGTTTGCACAGCTCTAAGAAACCGAAATAAGCGGAATTTCTAGAAATTTTAATAACAATAATTTCGGTTATAAGCTAAGGTATAAAATTTTTTTTAGTTATAATTCTTTTTTGATAATTATTATTACATTACCCTGTTCGACCTAATGCGCCTAAATATAAAGATAAAGAGATTTGTTCGTCTTTTTCAATTAAATAAGGTGGGTAAAGAGTAACGTCTTGAGCTGTTCCGTTGGAAATAAAGTGAGTTGTCCAACCAAATTGTCCTAATACGTAACTTCCGGTGGGGAAATTTTCATTTTTAGATTCAATTATTCTGGAACGGAAAGATTTTAGTTGTGATTTGAAATCGGTGAAACCTGTTATATACATTGCTACTTGACTTCCAATCATGGTTTCACCTAATCTTATTCTACTGCTATAAGCTCTCATATAAGGATCGATACTTAAATAAATAGCTTTAGCTAAAAATTCTGTAAATATTAAAAAAAAATTACTAATTTAATTTTTTTTTTAAATAGATATGTTACCTCCTTGTTGAAGATCAAGAATTACTTCTTCCACCAATTTAAAATCTTCTTCCTTCGGTATTCCATCAAAATTTCTAACAAAAATAAATTTTTTGCTCTTCATTTTATTTGAGGTCATTTCGCGAGGCCACCACTACGCGAATTGGATTACTGTCGTAGTAAATATTTGTTGATTACCACAAGCCGATAAAAGTAGTCTATCGATAAGGACGTGTTATTTTTAAACGTAGTTTACATAAGATACGTATTTAGTTAATGATTGAAAAAACAGATTGTTGAGCGCTACATTCTTTCTCATTAAATTTAAATAAAATCCAAATATATTTTATATTTTTTTATTAATTAATTAAAATAGCTTAAACTTTAACAACAGCTTTGCCAATATTATCTCCACTTAAAATTCCGATCAAAGCTTTGGGCATATTTTCAAATCCCTTGGTAACTGTTTCCTTATAAACCAATTTCCCTTCTCTTAACCATTCTAGATTCTTATTAATTCCCTCCATCCAACGATTTTTCCAAGAACTCACCAAAAATCCTTTCACTTTCAATTCATTCATTATTATCGAGGGCTGAATAATAGTCGCTTTGGGTAAACTTCCGTAAGGTAAATTATAAGACGATATACAACCACAAACGGAAACTCTTCCGTATTTTTTCATATTTTGAATTACCAAACTACTTATTTCACCACCAACGTTATCAAAATACGAATCTATTCTTTCCGGGGCTAATTCTCTTAAACTTGTCATTAAATTTTCCGTTTTGTAATTAATGACCTCGTTAAATCCTATACTTCGAAGCCACTGAGCTTTCTCATCTGAACCCGTTAAACCGATTACTTTACAACCTTTTATTTTTGCAATTTGTCCAACATGACTTCCAACACCTCCAGCTGCTCCACTTATTACAACCGTATCCCCAGCTATTGGTTTACAAATTTCCATAAAACCAAAATATGCGCTATTTCTGCAAAATTAAGTGATTTGTATTAAATTTTTCTTATTTATAACTTTAATTTACCCTGTCATCCCTAAAATTCCTAAAAATAACGACAAAGGCATTCCTTCTGATTCTGGTACTAAATAAGGTGGTCTTCGCATTAACGCCCCCGGTTTACTATCGGCAACGGTTAAAGTCCTCCAGCCGAATTCACCAACTACGTGTTTTCCAACTGGAAAATTTGGATTTTTGGAATCTATAATCCTAAAAAAATTAAATGAAACAGTTAGAGTTGTGTTAAAAACACGTAGTAATTTTTTACTTAGCAACTTGTGAACCCATCATTGTTGAACCTATTGGTAATTTGTAGGTGTAAGCTCTCATGTAGGGATCGATACTTAAAAATTGGGCCTGAGCTAAATATTCTAGAATGATAAAAATATGTGATTCAGAAACATCTTATTATTAGAAAAGTTGTGCATGTGTGGGATATGATATATGTCAAAATTTGAGTATGATAGGGATATCATCTTGGAAAAGGCCGAGAAGTGGTTAAATAGTGCTATATGGAGTACAATCATAAAACAAAATTCTATAAAACCGACATAACCGGAAGATTCTAGTTTTAGTTTTGTTTCAAATTAAGTAGTAACCTAAGATCCTTAATTATTATCAATTTTTTTATATGATATATTTACTTTGCAGTTTTAAGAAGATATAAATAATTACCTCCATCCTTTAAAGGTGGAATATCTTCCTCGACGAGTTCAAAATTATCCTCTTTTGGCATCCCATCGAAAACTCTAGCATAAATAAATTTCTGTGCTTTTGATATTTTCACTTTGTTAACAATCGTTCGTAAAGGCATCATGGCTAAGTGACAACTATAAAAACTCGGCGACTTTCGAAACTGTCGCTCTCTCTATCACCGCAGAGTCTCAACAAATAGGTTGCCTCGGGCAAAGTGTATTTTTTGATGTAGATAACACGTGATAACTTCGAATATACCAAGTATAAATGAGATAATAAAAATTAAACCAATACGCATTATTTCTGTTTGTTTATTGTATTTATTTGATAGTTTAATTAAAATTTAATTATAAGCAAATAAATGAAATAATTTTGTTAGTTATATTTTGATGATTGTTTTTCCTAAATTTTCTCCGTTATAAACTGAGGTTAAAGCGGCCGGGTAATTTTCGAATCCGTCGATTATTGTCTCCCTAGTGCGCAATTTGCCATCTTCAAACCACTTCATCGCGGTTTTTGTCGAGTGTTCTAGTTTTTCGAGTTCCATTGGAGTTGAAAATCCGGTTATAGATAAGAGTTTCGTTGAAATCATTGGGTGTATTGAGGGTAGTTTAGGAACGAAATCGCTGTTATGACAACTTGTTGACCCACAAATTGCTATTCTACCTAGTTTACGCATATTTTCCATTATTTTATAACTCAATTCACCTCCAACCTATAAAATAATTCAGTTCGGTTTTTGTTATAATTAAAATAATTAATTTTTTACGTTATCAAAGAAGCAATCAATTCCTTTTGGGGCTAATTTTGCTAATTCTTTGCTAACATCGTCGGTGACATAATTAAGAACGTGATCGAATCCAAGTCCTTTTAACCATAGACACTTCTCTGATTTACTGGTTAAACCAATTACTTTACATCCTAAGATTTTACCAATTTGGCCAACTAAATGGCCTACTCCTCCAGCTGCTGATGTGATAACTATAACTTCATTTTCTTTTGGTTGGCAGTGTTGTGTTAAACCATAATAAGCAGTTGCACTAAAAATGATCTCAATTAATAAGAAAATGTCTGATTTTAGTGTAATAATTTACAAGGAATATCCAAACACAGCAAGATATTTATGTAAAGGATATTTTTCATCTATTAAACTAGTTGGAATGTTACTATAACTTGTTCCATCTGATATATTGTAAGTACTGCAAGGATAATACCCTCTAATATATCTTCCAACTGGATAATTAGAGCTTTTTGATTCAATTACCCTAAAAAATTATAAATAAATAATCATTTTCATAACAAATTGATTAAATTTACTTTGCAATTTGTAAAGCCCAAATAGTATCCCCAATATTTAATTTGCTAAGAGGTTTGTATCTTACAAAAAGATCGATACTAATGTATTTAGTTTCGAGGAGGAATTCTAAAAAAAAATTTTTTTCTGATACTTTATTTAAGAAGTTAATAATTTCTTACCTCCTTCTTGTATTGGTGGTAACTCTTCTTCCAAAATAGCAAAATTACTGTTCTTAGGAACACCTAAAAAAGCCGTCGAATAAACGAATTTCTTCGATATAACCATTTTTGGCTTGCACTCGATTGAATTATTAAACGAAATAAACAACAAATTTACGAATTAATATTAATAACATCAAATTGTATAAAAAATGCAGACTATTGATAATGAGAATATTGCGCAAGCGAAACGCATTTATTATGGTCCATAACAAGGATGTTGTTGCTGAGTTAAATTTCTTAAAATAGACCGATTTATTTCATTAAAATAAATAATAAAAAAATTCTAAATAAGTATGAATAAAAGTGAAGTACAAGATTTTTATTGTATTAGAATTAATTATTCTTATAACAAAACCAGAAATTCGCAAGAATTAGAGGTCGCCGTGTCATTAAAGAGTTTTGAAGATCTATGCAAAAATGTCAAAAGTTTTGATGAAATCATCACTAAACTTTTGACCTGTGATCCAATGTATCAATATGATATCCAATCAATAATCCTGACAAGTAAAGTTTGCATCAGATTTGACTCCTATGTAAAATTTATTACAAAACTTGTGCTTCTGTTCAATATGTGAAAATAGATCTACCACAGCAATGTAGTGCCAATAAAGCCTTTATATTTCGTATTGAGGAAATCTGGAAACTTTTTAAAGATCATGAAAATGTACTCTGAAATACTTAGAAGTCCCTCAAAATCGTTAGAAAGTCCTACTGATGTATCCAGAATGTGCCACAATTTATTAAAAGCAGGTTTTCCGTTTTCTGTAATTTGTGCATAGGTGTTTTAGTGGAGATTAGTTAACATGAAACGAATCTAACCCTAGACTATTTTGGATGCTATGAATTGATCGCGTAGTTTTGGACGATCCTAGCAATCATCGCAAAGCGAGGAGAACGTTTTCTTCTGCTAATTTTATTTATTTTGTACGTAAGGCGTAACTAATCTTAAAAAAGAAACAATAAATTAATTTTGAGGTACACCAAAGCCTTTCAAATCTCTGTCTTTCAAAAGGCAGCGATTAACTGATAACAAACTTTTGTCAAAAAATATTTTGATATAAAAAGTTAAAAAAAAACATATTTATAAGTCAATCAAGAATTTTGTTTTTTTTTTTGATTGTTATTGAAAATAAATTTAATGAATTTATTTCATAAATACGCTTTAGTATTTTTCCAATACATCACAATTTGTTTCAAAACAACATCTTTATTTTCATTAATGTTTATAAATGTTCATCTTTAATGTTTAAACTTTAATGATGGCCTTTCCGATATTATCCCCATTGAGAATACCAATTAATCCATTTAACATATTTTCAAAACCTTCGGTAACTGTTTCTTTCGTTTGGAGTTTTCCAGTTTTATAATAGCCCAATAACTCTTTGATCGCATCGGGCCATCTATGCAAAAGGGACGAAACATGAAAACCTTCCATTTTTAAACGCCCAAAAATCATATATCTTTGAATCGGAGTTGCTAAAATAAATTTTAAAATTATATTATATGTATTAATTTTTTGAATTATTTATTGTTGTAGTATTTTACGAGCCCATTTAAAGATAAATAAGATATAAATAACAAGATAGTGACCTTCAACCTATGTGATAACAAAATCGTTGAGGATCCAGTAATTTTTAGGAATGTTGCGTAATAAACATAAATAAATAATACGTATAACATTTTTTCGATTTAATTATTATGTTTACTTTTAGTATTAAATTAATTTTTTAATTTACCTTTTACGGGTTCTCCAATATCATTATAAGCCGAAATAGCGCCGCAAACAGCGATACGACCATCAGGATTCATTTGTGCAATAATGGTTGAAGCCATTTCTCCTCCAACATTATCAAAGTAACAATCGACACCATTTGGGGCTGCTTTTTTTAAGGCTTCACCTAAATTTGGTGTTTTTTTATAATTAATAACTTGATCAAAACCAATTTTTTTTAACCAATCAAGTTTTTCGTCGGTACCCGCAATTCCAACTACATTACAACCTTTTATTTTACCCAACTGGCCCACCTTCAAACATAAAACGTTTATTTTTAATTTTAAGTGGTGATGATTATTACTTGACTTCCAACGGCTCCTCCAGCACAAGTAACAACGATAGTTTCGCCTGATTGAGGTTTTAATATATCAAAAGTGCCGAAATAAGCTGTTACTCCTGGCATTCCAACGATTCCTAAGTAATAAGATAAAGGAATTGTTTCGTCTGGGATTAAAAAAACTCGTTGGGTTCCGTCGTAAATTGAATGAGTCCTCCAACCAAAATATGCCATAACATGCTTTCCAACTGGGTATTGAGGATTTTTAGATTCAATTATTCTGTAAATAAAATGTTTTTATCTAAATTGATTCTTTTAATTGAATTTACTTTGCAACTTGTCCCCCTTCTAATTGTTGACCAAGAGTGTAACTATTAGAGTATGCTCTCATATAAGGATCAACACTAAGATACACAGCTTCTGCTAAAAATTCTATTCAAAAAGCATTAATATAATTCTTAAAATAAAACAAAGTTAATTACCTCCTTCTTTAATTTCCGGTAAATTCTCCTCAACAATTTGGACATTATCCGCTGTGGGCATCCCCACAAACGGTTTAACATAAATAAATTTTTTCGCAACAACCATTTTATTAAACGTGTTAAACGCACTCCGGTACCCGACCAACTAACTGATAATTTCCAACACGTTCGAGTTTTATCTAACAATTACATTTACAAAAAAATCGATGATTAAATCTTGTGACTTTTCAATTATTTTAGATACACAAATTAATGTTGACTGACTCAGCCAGAAATCGAGCATATAAACAAGCGATTGAAGATAACCGTGAGGAATTTCGAGGAAAAATTGTGTTGGACGTTGGTGCTGGAACAGGAATTTTATCGGTGTTTGTCGCCCAAGCTGGAGCAGCGAAAGTTTACGCTGTTGAAGCTAGCGACGTTTATAAAATAGCGGAAGAGGTTGTTAAAGAGAATAATTTTCAGAATGTAATTGAGGTAAGAAAAAAATATTATTAATCCCAAATATTTGTTTATTTTTCTTTATTTTTTAGGTAATTCATACTCGTATTGAAAATCTTCAATTACCCGAAAATGAAAAAGTGGATGTAATAATCTCAGAATGGATGGGATTTTATTTACTTCACGAAGGAATGTTGGATTCCGTAATATACGCAAGAGATAATTTCTTAAAACCAAACGGGTTATTATTTCCCGAATCGGTCACGATTTATTCCGCACCCTGCAGTGTCCCAAACATGTACGATGCTTGGGAAGACGTCGAAGGAGTTTCAATGAAAAGTTTTTCAACTAAACTACGCGCACAAGCCTCCCAAAAGCCCGATACATCGATAGTAAAACCCGACCAAATCCTTGGCGACCCCGAAGTTGTGCTTTGGATTGATTTGAGAGAAGTAACGATCGAAGATTTAGATTGCATTAAAGCTCAACATATCGCCGTTGCGAATAAAGAAGGACGATACCAAGGAATTTGTATTTGGTTTACATGTATGTTTCCATCATCTTCCACCGAACCGGTTATTTTATCCACCGATCCAGACGAAATACCAACTCATTGGAAACAAACAACCGTTGTTCTTCCTTCTGAAGCTTTGGTCGAAAAATCCGAACCGATGGCTTATGAATTATTATTAGTTCGATCAACTAGCAATGAAAGACATTATACAATTGAAGTAGTTATGTTGGATCCTGAAGAGGTTGAACACCCAGAATATTGTTCATGCCATATGACAAAGTGTATTTTAGTTAGAGCTATGTTAGAAAAATATGAAAACGAAAAGAACGAAATGGAACAGTAAATCTCGAATAAACAAAATGATTTGAATGTGATTTTAAAATTTGAAATGGCATAAGACCAATTAGTAATAGATGACAATCATGATGAGTTCTATTCTAATTACGATTAATAAAACAATATTGTATTAATTATAAGCAATAAAACGACACGATATTTACGCGTCGACTGCCATATCTACTATGTGAATAAACTTCATAAGGGAACACACACTTTTTAAGTCGACAATATAATAAGGATTTATTGGATATTATCGTTACCAAACTTAATGGTGAGTAGAGTTATTTTTTGTATGATGCACTTTTATATAGTAGAAAATTAAAATAAATAAAAGATCAATATAAAGATATTTTATTTAATAACCATTATAATAACATAATTTTCTCCTTTCATTGTTAAACGGCGCTAAAAATCCACACAAAAATTAAATTTAATTTTATAAATTACTTTAGAATTTCGAGAAATTTCAAAACAATATTGCTTATTAAATATCTACTAATTATTACACAAGATAGTTTCTATATAATTGAAATATTGTAGTAAATTGTTATATTATATATACTACGTTGTAATCTCCAACATAATACCACTATAAATTATCCTACAATTACTCTCACGCTCTACTTTACTCAACCCAACTATCACATCGCCTCATTTCCTCATTTTATACTCAAATATCATAGAAAACACAAACTTATTCCGTTACACGTTTTCGATAAACAACTTTCTAACGGTATAAAACTTGTTCATCTAATTAATACAACGTTCGATTTAAGTGTAAAAGGTCAAGAATATCCGGTAAGCGTTTTATAATCTATCCTTTCGAAATTGAATTAAATAAGTGTCATTTTGAACCTAAATTACAGATTTCTAACTTATCCCATTTTCGATCCGTCACAGTGACAGTCCAAGATGAGCGACGCGTAGCTGTCAAACGGAGTTCAATCTGTTTTTATTTTGAAAATGCGCCAACAATCCTTTAAATTTTCACGTGCGTGATAAATCAAAGGAGATGTATTTTCCGATCGGTTGGCCGAAGGTGTTCAAGATACCCGAATTGGGTACGGCGCGAATTAAGCAGGTCACTTGCAACAGGGATCGGGTTTTATTCGCTATTTTAACCGACGATTCTGTTGCTGTTTGGTTTTGCAAGGTTGGTGATTTAAAAATTAAATGCTAAATCGTTTTGACGTTTTTAAAACGGGATTTATACGGTTATTTTTTAATTTCGGTGCTGTTTAGAAAGTTTTTAATTCATTCTAATTGCATTGAATTGTTGTGATAAGGCGAAAATACTCGCTTGAGTTATTGAGGAAGTGAAATGATCTAATTTAATAACCATTCACCTGAATTCTTTAATCATGTTACTTCCTTATCATCCATTTAAAAAGGATTAATAAAACGAGGTTTAATTAATGTTTTAATTTCTAATAATCAATTTATTTTTTTTTAATTCCAGCCTTGTGTGCCAATTATTTATCATAAGCGTTCGTTAGAATCATTAGAAAAATATGGTCGCAATGAAATTATTGAATGGAAACCAGATTCATCTATGTTGGTTATTGCGGTATAACAAATTATTTTATTACACCTCCATTTGATTATTAAGAATGAATTTTTTTAGACATCAGAGGGGCATTTATTGTTTTATAATTTAACTATTACACAAGAACAAAAAGGGCTTTACATTCAAACAGATTCACCCCATGCAAATTTTCGAAGAGATAGCGCTGAGTTATTCATAAAAGAAACAATACCACCTTTAAAATTATCATTGGTAAGAAAATTTTAAGTTAATAATTATTTGTTATAATAAATTGTATTGTAATAGGCGGAAAGTGTGTTTGTATGGGATGGGAGAATAACGAGTATGGTTTGTATAACCTTAACAGAATTAATGGTAGCAACTACAAAAGGACATGTATTGAGGTATAAATGGGATGGAACCCAAAATAGGGATTATAATTTAGATTTAAGACGTATTCCGTTTTGTATTAATCAACAAGTTTCTAAAGGTAAATATGAATTTATTAATCACAATTTATTTTGCTTATCATTTAATTAGGGTATGTAATCATTAATATCAATTGTGTATCACTATAATAATTACACATCAGCGACATAGTTTAATATCAAAATCACAGATTGTGATGAAGTGTTTATCTAAATTGGTACTTGTTGATAAAAAGTTTAATAATATTCTTCTCTATCTAATTTTATAAATTAATCTGGAATGAATTTCATGGATAGAACTTTGACTGTGTAGGAATGTATCAACAACCTTAGGCTTTGCCAAAAGTCAAAACCCTGTAGTTATCCACCAATCCCTCTGATGATCGGGTTGGCACCCATTTTTTAGTGTAAATATGAAAGTTTGTTTATGCAAAGGACAGATGTCCACAGTGGCAGCTTTAAGATAGGGCCGGTGGGGGCGATCGCCCAGAGGGCACCAGAATCACGAATAATTCGTAAAAATAAACGGAAACCAACAATAAATGCAATACTTTGATATAGGGCTTAAATTTTCTTTTTGAAATGCTCCAATTTTTTGCTATTTTCTTCTGTAGTTCAGTTAAGTTTCACTATCCAGGTTTTACATCAGTTATTTTAAGCTGAAATTAGATTAAAAACTGAATTTTAATTAATTTGTAAGGAAATTTCATGATGGAAATTTGTGCTTCAGCGTCTGATGCAAATTATATTTACTTGAAAATAATCTGTCTTTCAGAGGATCTTCTGATAAATTATTTACCTCATATAATTTGAAATTTCTAAGGCTTCTACAATTATTGGCAAGGTTTGACCCAGTCATGAATGAGCATGTCAAATTAGCCCATTATTGTGGCAAAAATATACAAAATGAATTGGTAGAATTAATAAGAATTAAAAAACAAGGGCTTACAAAAGAGAATTACTGGCCTTAATTCGTTAGCTTTCTTTGTACCATGTGGATGTCACAATTATAATTTTGTTTTTTAATTTTTATTCGGAATCTTGCAAAAAATATTTACTTTATTTGCAGTATCAGTAAATAAATAGAAAATTTTAAGGGAGCATCTGAAAATCTACACCCTTAAAAAATAAAGCAAAATAAAGAACAGCTGTTGAATCATTGTTCTGCACTGGAAAAAAAACTAACATTCAACTCTAAATCGGATATTAATGGAGACTTATTGTGTGACGAAATCTTAAGTCTGCAACAGACTACCCTTACCGAGGTTTTGAATTTGATCAAAAAACACTCACTTTAAGAGTTGTTTCCTAACACCTGGATAACTCTGCCTATTCTGCTAGCAATACCAGTAACAATTACAACTAGAGAATGCAGTTTTTCCAAAATTAATAAAATTAAAATTAATAAAGACTTACTTGTGATCAACAATATCGCTAACAAGACGTAACTAGTCTCGCTATGTTATCTATCGAAATGAAATTGCAGAAAATCTTGATTACTCTACTTTAATTAAATAATTTTCCCATGGGAAAAGCTAGAAAAGTAAAATTTTGTTTACTGGTAATCATGTCGCTAGTTATTGATGTTTAAATTTAATAAAAAATTACCAAATAATTCACATATTTTAGTTTCCATTCTTTGATATCAAAAATTTGAATCGTTGGTATATTTTTTTTCGTTTGTATAAAAACTGTGTTTGGAATAAAAACTTTAAATAAGTTTTTCATTCGTGTATTTATTGATAGTAGTGTTAGAAGTAGTATATATTGATCGCAAAGAAAAGTCAAGTACAACAGTAAGAAATAAAGGGCGCCAAAAAATATCTTGAACGCTGATAAAAACGATTAGCTGATAAATGCTGGGTTTGCTGGGATAGTTAGCAAATATCCGGCGTTGGCCGGATATTAAAAACCTATTACTTAGTACTCCACCATTCACAGGAATTAGTATCTCTTTTAGGTTTTGGACACTACAGATAATAATCAATTTCAACCCCAATAGGACTTTTTTCATTGAATACAACTTTATTTATCATTAGCAACCTTATTGTAACAATCCCAATACGATATATAAAATCTCTTGTTGCAGTTTCGTCTAGTTTTCTTCTCTTCGCTTGTAATTCATCATCATATTCATTACTAACAGAACTGTCGCTGTTATCACTTTCGATTATTAATTAAAGTATCCTCTTTTTAATGCAACAAGCCGTTTTGAAAAATCGCTCATCACTCAACAGGAAAGNTTAGTTTTTGAGAAATAAATTTTTGAAATGATCGACAATTTTTTAGAATTTTGCAATTTTCGCCGATTAAGTTTTAAAAATTCGTATAAAATCCAGTTCTTGGAATATGAGTATGAAAATTTCCCAAAGTGTTAATAAAAGTGTCTTCTTTCCAATGAACCAACCCCTTTTGAAAAATAGTTTTTAGTTTTTGAGACAACAATATTTGAAGTTTTGATAAAATTTTCGATCTTGCAATTTTCATCGATAATTTTCAAAATTCGCTATAAAATTAATTTTTTTAAGGGTCCTTGTGGAAATATCGCCAATTATTAATTAAAGTATCCTCTTTTTAATGCAAGAAGCGGTTTTGAAAAATCACTCTCAGTTCTTGAGAAATATATTTTTGAAACGAACAACAATTTTTTCGAATTTTGTAATTTTCGCCGATTAAGTTTTGAAAATTCGTATAAAATCCAGTTCCTGGAATATGACTATGAAAATTTCCCAAAGTGTTAATGAAAGTGTCTTCTTTCCAATGAACCAACCCGTTTTGAAAAATAGTTTTTATTTCTTGAAGGATCCTTATAGAAATATCGCGAATTATTAATTAATGTATCCTCTTTTTAAAGTTGCTTCGTTAGTTAAATCAGCATCAAAAAAGTTCATTTTGTATTTTGGATCCAAATAAGTTGACATATCTTATCAGCTTTCTTATTAATTTCATTTTTATTCAAATATCGCAATAATGTGGCCGAATATCCGGTATGAGGCTTTTGTCAAAATCACTATCCGTTCCATCACTAGAGTGAACCATATCAGTATACACAAATGTGTTAACGATGCTGGTTGGAGAATAATCGAACGGACTGCTATTTTATCAAACGTAAAATTTGTACTTTTGCGGTTGTCAACAGTTTTTCAATATTTATCAACATAAAGGATTTGTTCCCCCAAACACAAACCTCACTTCTGCAACATTCAAACATTAAATGACACTTTGTCCGCATACCATTAATGTAACACCATTTATTTAAGGCATTACGATTATTTTTAGCTGTGCCAATCGTAGAAGAAAATACCTTCATCATAGATATTGAATACTCTCCATTAATCGGCGGATTTGCAATCGTTTTAAACGATGGTCGAGCAGCATTCTTAACAGCATCATCTTTAAAATTTGATCCCAACGTAAGAATTTACACAATTTAATTATTATTAATTAATTATACAATTATTTTTCAGCAAGTTCAAGGAATTTGGGCTCAAGGTATCGAAGACGCAACCTGCGCCACAGTTAACCATAAATATCGATTAATAACTTTTGGCAGAGCAAAGTAATTATTTAAATCTAACTTTATTATTAATTTCATTTTTTTAATAATTTTAGTTCTGAATGTATTGTTTATTATGTTGATGAAACAACTGGTGGATTAGGTGTTTCGCATCAATGTGTATTAGGAAGTAAAGATTATCCGGGTTGTCCGGGCGCCGTAAAAACGATTAAATGGACGCCGGATGGTTGCGCTTTAGTTGCCGCGTGGGGTCATGGTGGAATCGCGATGTGGTCGACATTTGGAGCTTTGTTAACGTGTTCTTTAGGTTGGGATTACGGTTTAAACGTTGACTTAAAAAATGGAAATCCGCTTCATGTTATTTCAATGGAATTCGCAACTGAAGGGTACCAATTATGGATGGTTCATAAAGAAAATAATTCAAGTGGTAATGAAAAAAGTCGTGATGATAACGGTAATAATGATCAATGTGAAGATAACTCTTATGGAAGTAGTATGATTCAATTGGATTTTGTTAAAAGTGCTTTAACGATAAATCCTTGTATGGTGTGTGAATTAAATCAATTTTTTATTTTCAAAATTAATTTATTTATTTATTAGAGCCAACAAAGTAATTTGTATCTTCAAGGGGAAGATAAATTATACGTGAATTCCGCTGATACGTTAATTAAAATATTTTCTGACCGTTCTTGCAAAGAGGAAAGTGTTTTTGGGGAATCACCAAGTTTAAATTCAAGTAGTTTGTCTGAAGGTAGACAATGGTTAGTTGTACCTGTTCCGTCCACATATTCTGCGACAAATTGGCCTATTAGAGTAAATAAACTCCAAATTACTAAAATTTATTACTTATCCATTAATTTCTAGTATTCAGCAATTGATAATTCCGGCCAAAATTTAGGTATAGCAGGTCGAGCTGGAATAGCTCATTATTCAATGCAAACTCGCCGTTGGAAACTATTCGGGAACGAAACTCAAGAAAAAGATTTTATCGTATCGGGAGGATTGCTTTGGTGGCGCGATTATCTCGTTATGGGTTGTTATAGCATTTTAGATAACAGCGAAGAACTCCGTTTTTATTCGAAAGACTGCAAATTAGATAACAAATTTGCGAAAATCGTAAAAGTAAATTCACCCATTCTGATAATAAATAACCTTCAAGATCAACTAATCACGTTCGATGGAGACGCTTTAGTCACCATTTGGGACTTGAACTACACCAATTCTTCCGGCAATATTGATGTTACAAAATCGCAAATTGTCGATATTTCTTCGTTGTGTGTATATCCAGCTTGTATAGTTTCCGTAACTTTAACAACGTTTCGTACTGAAACTGGACGGAATCAAAATTCGAATTCAGAGAGTATTGTGTTTAATATTAGTGGGAGATTGCTTATGGTGCAATTGGAAGCTAACAATGGTGATAGATTTACGTGTTCTATGCCTACGGTATTAGCTGGATATGTTGAAAGCGTTTGGGTACCTGGGAAAAAGAAATTGGATAAAGCCCATCTAACTGAAGCTTTATGGTTATTTTGTGGGGTGTATGGAATGCGAGTTTGGTTACCAATTTGTCCTAGGGATGGAGATAAATCCCACACCTTTATGTCTAAACGGATTATGTTACCGTTTCAATTAAAGATTTATCCTTTAGCGATTTTATTTGAGGATGTTATTATTTTGGGTGCGGAAAATGATACCGTTTTATATGCCACGGATAATTCTCCGTTTTCGTTACCTTTTAGTGTTTTACAACGAACGGTGAGTTCTTCAATGATTAATAACTTCTTATTGTTATTAATTTGTTTTAGAGTCAAGTTTATTTGCATCAAATATTAAGGCAATTAATTCGGAGAAATTTGGGTTATCACGCATGGGAAATTGCAAGAAGTTGTACTAATTTGCCTTATTTTCCGCATTCATTAGAATTATTATTACATGAAGTACGTTATTTTTTCAATTTGTGACTTTTTTAATGTTTTTATTTTTGTATAGGTTTTAGAAGAAGAAGCAACTAGTAAAGAACCGATTCCTGATGCTCAACTTCCCAGCGTAATCGAATTCATAATGGAATTTCCGGTGTACCTTCAAACTGTAGTTCAATGCGCGCGAAAAACCGAAATAGCTCTTTGGCCATATTTGTTTTCTGTCGCTGGTAAACCAAAAGATCTCTTCCAAGACTGCATGGCGAAAGGGCAATTGGATACTGCAGCTTCATACCTTATAATCCTCCAGGTAAAGTGGTTTGAAATTATTTTTGTAGTGCTTATTTTTGTAGTAAAAAACGCAAACAGTATGAAAGCCTTTTCGCTTGTTGCAGAACTTAGAGACGTCTTCTGTTAGTAGACAGCACGCGACGCTGCTCTTAGATACCGCTTTAGTACAATCGAAATGGGAACTAGCCAAGGATTTGGTTAGATTTTTACGTGCGATAGGTAAAGTTAAAATTTTTTAATTAGTAGATAAAATAATATTAATTATTTGTGTTTTTTAAAGATCCAAATGATGTTGAATCCCCAAGAACATCGTTTATTCTAACGAATAAATTGGGGATGACCCCACAAACACCACCAGTTAGTCCAAACGCAGAAGACATTTCTTTAGTACTTGGAAACGTGCAGAGAATGAGGAGTTATAGCACGACAATTAGTCCAAAAACTCCTGATGCTAAATTGGGAACTAGTGCACCTGCTAATTCCATCTTGGAATCGCCTATTATTGCTAGGAAGAAATCGGTTCCTTTAAATACATCTGCAAAAAATGAAAATAAGTAATAATTAAACGCAAATATTTTAATTAAAATAACATCAAAATATTTTAGAGAACCTAATACTACAACAGCAGAAGAATTTTTTATTGATGTAATACTTCAACGCCACGCGCGAAGACTTCTTAGTGCACATCGTCTCGCTGACTTAGGTTATTTCGCCGCTCATTTAGATTTTCATCTCGTAGCTTGGTTGGGGAAAGAGCGTGACCGTGCTGCTCAAGTAAACGACTCCGTAACAGCTTTAAAACAACTCCACGATGATTTCAACTGGCCGTACCCAGCCGTTTTATTAGATAACGATCCCTTCAAATACCAATCCCCTCCTTTAAGCCCAATAACAAGCATCGACGAGAAAATAAAAGAAATCCAAACAGATAATGGAACCAAAAGTCACATTGGTGATAGTGGTTACACAAGCTTTCCAGGAGTACCACCTTCAGGAATAATAAACCCTTTAAGTACTTTAGAATTATCGAGTCAAATAGCGGAAACGGAAATCGGCGAAACCGATATCGAAAGTCAAGCGGATACGTTTTATAAGGACCAAAAATTTAATGATATATTCGAGAAAAAAATGGTTTTATACGATGATAAGGTGCAAACCAGAAAGCCGTCCGTAATTGGTAGTTTTAAGTTATTAGAAACGCAAATTAGCGCGAATATTTTGGACGAGTCCGCAATGAGTATCACTTCGAGTGTTTGGGGAGATGAAAAGGAGTTGGGGCAGTGTTCAGCGGAAAATTGGGAGATGCCTTCGTCCCAACTTTTAGAACAATTATCGTCTGGAGGGAATAAAGGATCACCTAGGGCGGAAGTACAATTAAGGTAAGAATAAATAATTTGATATTAAGGATTTTAAATTTCTAGTGTTTGATTATTTTATAATACACAAAATTAGTCGTTTTATTATAATCATCTTTTTAGTTACTTTTCTGTTAAGCACATTTAATTTTGTTTTGTTTTAAATCGGTTTTGCTTTTTACAAAATATACACCAAGCTCCCAATGTTGAAATAATCAGCTTATAACGTAGGATATTGAGAAATATTTTTTTCTAGATATTTGTTACAATTATTCTTGGAAGCTGGTTGTTTAGAATGGTCCTTATTGATTTCTGTTTTACTCCGCGATGCAATGGCAGTGGTACGAACGGTAAACGCAGCAAAATCACCTGATCAAACAATCGAATCTGTGGCTCGCCTAAAACAGGGTTTACAAATACTTTATTTTTGGACAAACAAAGAATGGTAAATTAAATCTTAAGAAACAAAAATTATTACTCTATATATTTTTTAGCCTAGGTTACCAAACGTTCATGTTAGCAATTCACAATCAACTTTCCGTCCTCTCAACCATTCTGGCCACAAAAATTCAACATCAACAAATTTTAGAACACCAACAAGCCGTTTCTGTTACGTTAAGTAAAGTATCGGCGGCCAGTGAGGGTGGAAAACGTACTCGTAAGGTCAGCTCGACCATTGAAACGTCTAGTCAAACGTCGAACAAAGACAAAAGGTCCAGCGTAAGTAGTAGTTTAGCTACGAAAGAACGGCTTAGCGAGGTTTCGAGTTCAGGTGGTCTAAATGTAAAACAGAGTGTTGATAAAATCGTTGCGGGTAGTGATAATTCCGCTAGTTCCACCTGTGTTATCTCATAAATGATAATGAAAAGAAAGATACAAAAAAGAAATGATATGAAAGTTCATAAATATATTTTAAATAATTTATTTTGTAAGTATACAAGACATTTTTTTTGAGATAGTATTTTGTATTGTTAAGGCAATCGTTGAAAAAAGAAATAAGCAACAGATGCAATAATAGTTATAATTCGTTTTTATGATTTATATGGATCTGTTATGACTTTTTTTACTTATTTAAATTATTTTCAAATTAAAAATAACATATCACGTTTTGCTGCTTTAATTCTACTATGTTCAATTTGGCTTCTGGGTTGACAAAAGTGCCTTCAAAGCTTTTTATGTTCCTCTCTTGCTCAAAATGAATTTTTGAAAAAGAAGAAGCAAAATGTATCCCTGTATACGTATTTTTATTATAGCTCATAATTCTTTTTCTTATTTATTGTAATTCTGATAATCAACTGTGCCAATTACTGCTTAAAGCAAAAAAGAAACTGTCGACCACATTCCTATATAAAACAATAGAACTAAAATGTTTATATTCTTTTTATTGCTAATAACAATTAATTTCCCCTATTCTGCAGATATTAATTGTTAAAGAATTAAGTAAAATACTCTTAAGAAAATTTATACCTTCTTTTAATAAAGAAAAAAAAATACAGGTTTTTATCTGCAATAAAAAAACGAAACGTCATGGTGAAATTCGTCAATTTTTTACAAAACAATACTGTTAAATACTAATTGTAGGTGTAGTTCCAATGATTATTGCTACTATTAACAATTAATAGGAACTGTAAGCGATAGATTAATCGTGTAATAATACTCTTTGAATGTATAAATTTGTAATTTGTTAATTGTTTAGTTAGTAAAATTTGTTATCGTCTATATTGCGAAATAGAATCTACATGATTTAATATTGCTTTTCTTTTAATACCTATAAAAGGAAAAATTAGTCAAACTTGTTTGTAGCTCAATTCGATCGAGTTTCTATTTTTACCCAAAAATTGAAAAAGGACAGCCCAACAATCCCAACGGCTTTCCCGCATTTTCTTTCTCTGCCCAACGAGAAAAGATATTTTTGGAACTTAGACTCAAATACTGACATCATCGCATATTCATGCGTTCTAGACGAATCGCGAATCAACTCTCCAACGTATATAAAACCAAAAATCTCCGAAACGGTTTCAGTTTCAAATCGAAAACGCAACAAAATCAAACAAATTTTCATTTTTTCAAGATAAATTTGAACAAGGTAAAAAGAATAATAAAGTTTTAATTTGGTGTCTTATATAAAAATTTTGTATTAGATGTCTTTAGTACCAATGCTTTTCCGTGACTGGTGGGATGATTTCGAAATCAACCGTCCATCTCGTTTATTAGACCAACAATTCGGTCTTGGTTTAAGACGAGACGACCTTTTAAACTCTTTGAGTTTAAGAACTTCAAGATATCTTCGCCCATGGACCACAAACACCACCCTCACTCGTCAAGATTCCGGATCAACGATCGCAAACGAAAAAGATAAATTCCAAGTCATCTTAGACGTCCAACAATTCGCACCCGGCGAAATAACCGTTAAAACCAACAACAACAGCATCGTGGTCGAAGGAAAACACGAAGAAAAACAAGACGAACACGGTTATATTTCTAGGCATTTCGTCAGGCGTTATATTTTACCTTGCGAATTTGAGATAAACGACGTCGTGTCCAGTTTGAGTTCTGATGGAATTTTAACCGTTACAGCACCTAAGAAGGGCGTTAAGGTGGTTTCTGGAGAAAGGATTGTGCCTATAACGCAAACTGGTCCTGCAAAACCTACAGTTACACCTGTCGTTGAAAGCCCACAACCTAAAATTGAACATCCTGCTTAAACATACTGAAGAAAACTTTTATTTATTGTACTTTTTCAACACTTTATTTATTTTAATAAAACTGTATTAATCTATTTTATGTTTTAATTAAAAAGTTCCATTTCATTCAGAACAAATCAAAATTGCTTGTTTTGTAACTTTTAAGACGTTTATGTTTACTTATTGAAGAGAATTATTGGTTTCTTACGACGAAACATGACTTAAGACAAGTTTAAATAGTAATTTAATATATGCTCAGACAGATCGTGGAAAAATCTATAAAATACAACAAAACAGCAAACATGTGTTTTATAGATTTTGACCGCGTAGCACATCCAGGCATTGTGAGACTCCTCAACAAGAAAAATGTGCACCCAGATAAAAAAACTTTATAGTTGAGTTAAATACGGACAATTGGACCCAAATACAACTGGAAGGCAGAAAGACACGAAGTATACCTATGCAGACAGAAATAAGACAAGGCGATAGCTTAAGCCCTACCCTTTTCAATCTGACTATGGGCGAAAATAACTGAAGTAAAGAAAGTTGGAAAGGGATACACATTGGACTAAAGATAATCTGCTACGCAAACGATGCCGTGTTGATCTCAGAGGACAACTCACAGAGAATGCTCTTTCAATTTGAAAAAACAGCTACCAAGTATCACATGACAATATCGGTAGCAAAGTTTAAAGCACTATTCATATCGAAAGAGTCGAGAAGATGCAAACTGGCGTCATCATCTCTGCGTCAGCATCACAAGTAGTATAGACCTCTCAGAGAACCAAAGCAGCCTTAATTCATGAAATTCATCATCCCAGCCACGTCTCTAGATTATAGAGTACAAGGCAAAGGCCTTAAAAAGAGGAAGAAGAAATTATATATTGTTATTCTAACAAATCGCATTTCATATTTCCGTAGTATTTAGTTAATTTAGTAAATAATTTAATATTAGATATTTTTAAATAAACATCTTGTAAGAAATTCGAACCTAAAGTGCTGACGATAAATTAGTGTTTAGTCTAGATGTGAGGAGAGAGCGCGGGTAAAGAATAAAAGCTCGGGGATTTTGGAATTTCGGGGAGAACGTTTTTAGTTAGGTGACGGGTTGGACCGAAAAAAAAGACAAAGTTTTTGGTGTTGGGTGCGATTTGGTTGATGTAGAAGTGAAGTATAATTTACTGCCACTTTCAAGGCAGAGTGTCGATCCATGTTTTTGGGTAAAACCCCGTTTCTTCTTTTGATAGATCATAAGTTATGACTTTATGCGTCATAAGTCATAACAGTATTGTCTTTGTTTCTAAATATACATATATCTATAAACAAGGCTATTATATTCATTTTTGTTTTTAATTATTTATTTATATGTTCATTAAGTTGCAACAATATCAAAACTTAGTACCTTTATTTTTTTTAAATTGGTACTACAATTACCAACCTCCATTAAAACAACTTATTTGAAGTTATATCGGAAAAATAATTAATATTTTCCAATGAAAATGAGTGGAAAACAAAGATTCCAATTTTATATATTATTTTAACATTTATTTCGTTTAAAATATTTTTATTAACAAAAATTTTATGACATTTAACGTAAAGGCGGGATGACGCATGCGCCCAACAAATGTTTTCAAAACAAGGGGTTAACTTTGAAATCACTAAAATTTGGAGAAGACGTTCTTTGCACTGTTTTATAATATTTGATTTTGGTTAAAGTGTGATTTCTAATTTATTATTTAGTGGTGAAATCGCGCCAATTAATTATTGTATCCAAATGCTCTATGTTTATGTTGTTCAATAGGGTTATTGAACATAACCTCACTTAATGTAAGTGTAAAAGAACTAAACGGTGTTATCTAAAGTTATTCAAATAATTCTTTGTGATTTTTATTTAAATGAAAGGATTAAGTAATATTAAATCAATATAATCGGTTTCTTTTATAATTTTTGCTTTAAGATCAAAATGGGGAGAAAACGGACACTGTCAGTACAAGAAAATTTGATTGATAAGAAGCGGGTTAAGCAATTTCATTCTCAACCCACTAACAACAATCACGAGCATAATGTAAATATTAAAACAAAAATTATTAATTTTTAATTATTTTGTTTTTCAGAGAAAAGTTGGAACTATTGTACGAATAGTTTTAAAAAACTTTATGTGCCATTCTCATTTAGAGGTGACTTTTAAAAATAACATCAATTTTATTGCTGGGAATAATGGAGCTGGTAAAAGTGCAATTTTAACAGCCTTAGTTATTGGATTGGGAGGCAAAGCATCGACCACACAACGAGGAAATAATATAAAATGTTTAGTTAAAGCTGGAAAAACCATAGCTACTATTGAAATCACCATTTTAAATAGTGGCCCCCATGCATTTAAACCATCCACTTATGGAGATGAAATAACGGTTATAAGAACTCTTAATGCAAATGGTGGAGGAGGTTATAAAGTTAAAGATTCCATGGGGCATGTAATTTCACAATCAGCTAAAATCGTACATCAAATTGTCTCATTTTTAAACATACAAATAAGCAATCCAGTTTGTGTTTTAAATCAAGATACAGCTAGAAATTTTTTATTAAGCAACGAACCCAAACAAAAATTCAAATTCTTTATTAAAGCCAGTCGTTTAGAAGAATTAATCGAAGAGTGTGTTAAATTAAAATCCGCTTATCACAACCTAAAAGATATTTTTGAGGAGAAAATTAAGGTAATCGATTTGATTTTAATTTAATTATATTTATAATTTTTAACTTTATAGTTATCCAAAGAAATGAATAGTGAAATGAAAGATTGCAAACAAAAAATTGAAAATCACAAGAACATGCTACAACTTGAGGATAATTACAGAAAATTAGCAGCTGAAGTTACATGGGCCGCTGTAGTTGACTTATTTATGTTTTAATTTTATTATTGATTATGTATTTATTTATAGATACAAGAAAAGGAGGTGGAAGTTCAAAAACAAGAAGATGTTGTTGAAGAGTTTCAAAAAGTTGTACAAAATTACGATAATATTATGAAAAATCGAGCGAAATTGACCGAAGAAAACCGAGAAAAACTTACGTAAATAAATGTAGAAATTAAAATTCTTTTAATTTGATTTCTTTTCATTTTTTAGAGAACTTGAACAAAAAATAAATGAAATAAAGGAAACGATAAGTATGCAATCGGGCCCAATAAAAGATATTGATCAACAATTAATGAAATTTCGAGTAATGATTAAGGAGATGAACCTCGAAAAAACTCGATTATTAAATATGATTAGTAGAGATGAGCAAAACATCCAACAACTTCAAGAAAACATTAAAAATTATGCAAAAAAGTGAATCTTAATTTTTTTTTATAAATTTTTCGTTTTTAATAATCCAATTTTAGCCTATCTCAGAAAGAACAAGAAAAACAAGTTAGGAAAAAAGATATTGAAACTCACAAAGAACAAATTAGACTTATTCAGGATACTTTAGAAACAAGTCAAAATGAATTGTATCAATTAAAAAGTAGTTTGAGTAAAATTGAGCAGGAGGAAAATGATCTTATGCAAGAAAGGAGGGAACTTCAACGACAATTAGGTAAATATTAAAAAGAAAATCTATGTGGTGTGTTTTTATTATTGTCTTTTATACAATAATATAAAAACACAGGTGAAGAGTGTAATACTGTTTATTGTATAAAATCAGCTTTGTTACAACACTTACTTAAATTTAAATCCATTAATACTATACGCCCCTAACCCTCCTTTAATAATAAACTTTTCAAGTTAAACTTAACATTATAAATAGCTTTACAAATTAAGCTTATCAGGTGTTTTTATGTTTCTCTTACTTCTAGTTATTATTGGCGTTTCGTTATTCTCATCAGAATCATTATTTAGAGGAATAGGATCAGGTAGTGGGTTATACCTATCTTTTATAAAATAGATATTTCTTCTATAATACTTATTATTTTCAGTTTTAATTAAGTATGACCTAGGGGTCTTCAATACTTTAACAATAATCGCTTTTTTCCATAAACCTCATAAACCATATCTCCTTCCCTATATGTTCTTTCAAGATATTTATGTCCACCATCATGTTGTTTTTTATTTATTATTTGCTTGTGTAACATTTGAGAATACACTTCATTTCTATCAATTTTTTTAAATTCCAATTCCTTCTCATTAAATGTTATTTAATATATACTCTAATATTTTTATCAAAAAGCAATTGTGCTGGCGAACTCTATCAGATTTTGTAGCTTTTCTCATCATGTTCTTCAGTATGCCTACTGCTTTTTCAGCGAATTCATTACTTCTAAGATAACGGGGACTACTTGTTTTAATAGAACAATTCCATGTTTTACAAAATTTTCTAAATACCTCACTTTCAAATGAATAAAAGTTCTTTCTATCTGTACATAATTTGTCTCAGTCATAAATCTTGACTCAAAAGTTACTGGTTTCCGTTTTTGCAATAGACAACATCCAAGAGCATCTTTAGAACTCAATTTCTACTTTCGGGTCAAAAGGTGCCAATAAGGCTGCTTCACTTATTAGGGTTTTAACTTTATCAAATGTATGTGAAATACTCCATAACCATTCAGTATTCGCTTTAAGCAAACTTCTAAATGAGGATATTGTTTCAGACAGAATTGATAATGCCTAAAATCTGTCGCAATTCCTTTTTATTGTTTGGAGGTTTTAGTTCTTTTATAATTGTAACTGGATCAGGTTTCGTACCTAATTCATTAAATACAAAACCAAAATACAGCCGGTACGATATTTGTTGAGACAAATTTCTGAGAAAACTACTACGTCAGATTCTTTGAATCTATAACATCCGACACCCCGAAAGTCATTGGCGATGTTTCTACTTGCAATGAGCGTTTATTTATCGTGAATTGCAATTGATTTACGTAACGTAAGTTGTTTTATGCAATTGCAGTGTAATTTCTTAAAAAAAAAATCAGTGGAAGTGAGAAATAAAAGACAGGAACTTAATTCTCCTTCATTATATTTAAGATGTATCATTATTTTAAGACAATTTTTCCAAATGAAAATAAAACAGAGTTAAAAAACCGCGTTGTAAGTGCTACAGGACTGTCTCTGGCAACTATAAAGAGAATCTTACATGAAGGTTGCGATTTACAAACTTCAAACAATGGTGATGATAATATAACATTCAGTTCTCCTAAAAAACGTAAGAGAATATGCACGAAAACCAACATACCGGAATGGGGACAAATGAATATTAGAAACTTAATTTATAACTTCCACAAAACGTTACTCTGACACAATTACAACAAAAATTAAGTGCGGAATATGACTTTTCGGGAAAAGCAGACAATTATTAAAACCCTTGGATTTAAGTGGAGGAAAACCAAGGACAATCGGCGGTTGCTAATAGAGAAGAATGATATTCGCGCTTTAAGGTTGAATTGTTTGGATAAAATTAAATATTATAGGAGCCAGGGTAAACCTATTGTCTTTTTAGGTAAAACTTATATTCACGCAGGTCATACTAGTTCCAATAGTTGGATAGACAATAGCACTAATGGTTTATTTTCACCCATATTTAAAGGCAATCGATTAGTTATTGTTCACGCTAGTGGTGAAACGGGTTTCGAACCTAACTGTCTCTTGATTTTTAAATCTGGAACCAAAGGCGGAGACTATCATAGCGACATGAACTCGCAAAATTATGAGAAGTGGCTTACAGAGAAGCTAATTCCAAATCTTCCACCAAAATGTGTGGTCGTAAGTGACAATGCACCCTATCATAATTTACAAGTACATAAAGCATCTACTTGCAATTCAAAAAAAGCATATATGGTTGCTAAGTAAAAATATACATTTTTCGCCGTATTTGCGTAAGCCACAGCTGTATGATATTATTAAATATCATAAAAAACAACACATTGTTTACAAATTCGATAGTCTGCTAAACGAAAACGAACATGTGGCTTTAAAGTTCCCACCCTACCATCCCGCTTTAAATGATGTGGGCTGAAGTTAAAAACAAAATAGCGAAGAGGAACTCTGACAGAAGAAGAATTTTCGTTGGTTACTGTTCAAGACTGGTTGAAATGTTGTTAGTTGAAAATAATTATTTAGAAAACGAGGTTCGAATTGATGTGGCAACAGAAAGTTTAATTATTACAGCTTCTAATAGTGAAACTTCTAGTGAGGACGACTTTTAAAATTTATCAGATTAGAAGCTGTAGGTCGGTTAATCCAATAAAAGTTTCTTTGTTTGGTTTATTTTTTTAAAAAAATTAACGTTTTTTTTATAACTTAATTTTTCACAATAAAAGCTTGCTACAAATTCGTTAATTAGTTTCTGAGATATTCACCAAAAGCACCAATCGTATCGACTGTAGTGTAATGAAGTGAAATCATTTACAAAATATTGTAATTTATCTGCAGCACATAGTATATCGTCAAAATAAATTATGACTCCTTTCAAGTCACCAAAATATACCAAATGGTGCTCATCAATTCCACTTTTATGTTACCTTTTCTTCCCCTGTACATAATTATTTTGACTGCGTCATGTTTATTATTATGTTTTATACAATAATACAAAAACACAAGTGAAGAATGTAATACTGTTTATTATTTAAAATCAGCTTCGTTACAGGAGTTCACTTACAACGTTCTTAATAATCTCGTTATTCGTTTTTTGCGTGCTTACGTGGTTCGTTCGTTTACCTACATTTCACTAAATGACAACACTTACTTAAATTTAAATCCATTAATAACTAGACTTAGAACTAGAAACGCTATAAGAAATAAATTAAAGTTTTATTTAATATTTAGATGTTATAAAAGATGATATTGAAAGTTTAAAAATGAAATCAAGCAATTCTTTACATCTTTATGGAAGGAATATCCCACAAATTATGGATGCTTTAAATTGTAATAAACACAAGTTTAAAAAGATGCCAAAGGGACCACTTGGTAAACATTAATTACTATTATTAATATTATTATTAAATTATCTTATTATTCATTTTAGGCGTTTACATTAAAATAAAGGATAAAAAATGGTCAGTTGCTGTAGAAGGATTTTTAGCGAATCTTTTACAATCTTTCACCGTTGATAATACCGCCGATAATCGCTGTTTATCCCAAATTTTTAATCAATACTGTCAATCATCACGACCTCCAACAATAATAACATCAAAATATTTTGATGTGGTCCACAACGTAAAACCCAACCTCGTTAGAGCTCCACCTGATTGCGTTTCGCTATATGATATAATTGAAGTTAAAGATTCCGTTGTTATGAACTGTTTAATTGATCAATTAGGAATTGAAAACATTTTGTTGATTCCGTCGAGTAATCGAGCGATTGAGTTACTATCAGAAAGACAAAATGTTCCCATTAATTGTAAACAAGGTATTACAATCAAGGGAGATCGATTTTATCCTGATCCGAATTATAGGAGTTACTGTTCAACTTATCATCAAGCTAGATATTTAGAGGTTGATAAAGCGGAAGTAATAAAACATAATGAAGAAAGATTTAATCAAGTAAAAGGTAAAATTGCTTCAGTATTAAATCAGATTCATATGGTTAGCGTTAATAAGAAGCAACAACAAGGTTTGGTTTGTGAGGTCCAACCAAGGCAGGAACAATTAAAGAGAAAACGTGATGCATTAAGGGCTAATTTAGATAGACTTCAATTAGCTGATGAACCAGAATTAACTAATAATGAATCTTTGGTAAACATTGCTAATTAGTCTCTTTATAATTTTTTATTTTATATCAATATTATAGGAAGATGAATTAAAAGTATTAAAAGAAAAAATTCAAGAGAAAAATGTAAGAGTAGAAACGGTAGATACAAAAGAAAATTCGCTTAAACAAGATATGGGAAATCTCCAAGATAAAAAGACAAATTTATTAACAAATATACGAAGTTTAGAAGAGAGGTTACCACCTTTATTGGTAACATGATAAAAATAATGTGATTTGTTTGTAATAAAATTTTATTTTAGACTGAAATAAATCGATTAAGTGATCAACAAAAAGAATTTAATATGTCGAAAAATGTAGAAAACCGTCGAAAACAAGAGGCAATTAATAATGTAACGGTCGCTAGAACAAACCTTGACAAAATGAAATCGAGCGTTTTAAGACAAATCGAATCCGCAGGCGGCGAAGAAAAACGCGTACAAACTAAAAAGTAATTAATTTTAATTTATTATATAATTGTGTTATTTTAAATTAATTTATTGTAGAAAAGCCAAAGAAATTGAAGATGAATTAAAAGATGTTGATAAAAAACTACAACAATTAAACTCTTTATCGGTAGATATTAAAGAAATTAATGTAAGATATAAATTGATTAGGGAAAAATATGACCAAGCGATGGAATCCTTAACGGCCATAGAGAATGGTAAAAATAAAGTTTCTTCGTCGCTTCGGCAACGTTCTAAACACTACGAAAATACTAGGGATTATTTTGCCCATTTTATCAATTACAATTTTCAACAAGTATTGGAATATAGACAATTTAAGGTTGTTTCAAAATTTAATTATACTCACAAAATTATATTTTTTGTTATTATTACAGGGTGGTGTGGTGATAAATTTTGAACAAGAAACATTAGAATTAATTGTAACACCACAACATAGTTCTCAAGGACCCACAGCAACAACAAATTTATCTGGTGGAGAAAGATCGTTTTCCACCGTCGCCTTTTTATATGCAATGTGGAAAGTTCTTTCTTGCCCGTTTTATTTTTTAGACGAATTTGATGTGTTTATGGTAATATTTGAATTATTTATATTTATTTCGATATTATACAATTACTATTATTTCAGGATAAACTAAACAGATCGAAAGTAATAGAAATATTAATACAACACGCCCGCGGAAAACGCGATACTCAATTCGTTTTTTTAACACCACAAGATACATCGTTTATACAAGAGGATGACGTTTCTTTGCATAGGTAATTTAATCATCCTGTATTAGAGAATAATATTTTACTATATATGGCCAAAATTTTTGACTATGTGTCAAAAGCTAATAGAAACGTTCTTAAATCCACTTTAGCTTTTTAGCTTCTTAACTACTACGATTTATTCTTGATGCTGTGCTTTGTTCTTCATGAACTGTATAAATTTAAATTATTTCTGCCATTTTGTGGTTATGTTTGTTTCCAACTATATAGATAACATCTTTTGAATCTCTTGGATAGGCTTGCATGCTTAATTTTTGGTTTATTATATTCTTCAATTACTTTCTACATGCTCGCTGCAATTAATGTTATTTTGTAAGACGACATCAAAGATAACTTTTCAAAATATCTGATTTAATTGATAATGCATCAGGATTTCAAACCAATCCAACTAAATCTATTGACTGTGAGTTTATTATAGATATAACCTAAGTAAAGCCAAGGTGAGGAAATAAGGCATTATGGCAAACCAGATTTGCCTCATGTTCCTTGGAAGGAACTGGGGTGTTAAACCACGAAGAATCGCTGGGGATTTCAATTCGAGTTTCAAAACAAAACTGACCTATCATAATATTCCTTCACGCTATAATTGGAGTTTCTTCACGACATAATTTGAGTTCAAAAGAAAACCGACATTCCTTCACGCTATAATTAGGGTACCAAAACAAAACTGACCTATCATAACATTCCTTCACGCTATAATTGAATGCTTCGCACGAACAACGTAGTAAACGAGAAAATGTATTAATTGAAAAAACCAAATTTTTGTTTTTAAAAATGTTTATTTATATCAAAAGTAATACGAAAGTCGGTTAGTTTAGTACCCTTACTGAAAGGAAACACTTCGCTATGAAAAAAATTATGAAATTACCTATATTAATGAAAATATTGAGGAATCAATCAAAAAATAAAGGAACAACGTTGCTTATTCTGGCGCTTGAAACGTTTTTCCCTACTGTTTTATATATTCCCTGCAGCAATCAGTTCTTGATAAAAACGTTTTTTGTTGTCGGGTAAATATTCCGACATCGACATAAGATCTGCTTTTTTTGATGCGGTTATACTTAGTGGAGCATCATATAATTTTGGTAGTGTAGTAATAGACGGCGCTACAATATTTGGTCTACGACAGCCTCGACGTTTTTTCAAAAGATCATAGTGCTTCCATTCTTCTAAAACACTATGACTCGTTCTTAATCGTAGAACTCCAGGTTCTTCTGCAGTAACTTGTAGCCATCGTGCCTGGGTTATTTTAAGGCTAGGATCTCTTTTAAAAAGTTTTTCAACAGAATCAAGATTTAAAAAATTAAGTTGGGTCATTTTAAAAACTTCAAAGGGATTTATCCGGCGTACATTGGCCAGGAACTCCACCAGATCATCAGCCTCATACAGTTTACACAGTTTTTTATTCTTCTCAACCAGAGCAAAATCCCTATCACAGGGTAAAAAACTATGCCCACTCACCAAAAACTTTTGATTAACTTCAGAGAAATATCCCAAATAAGTTAAATAGGTACACAATATTACCATTTTAAAGTTATTATTCTGGCCAATGCAGCGGTCTGACCAGATTGTTAACTTCCGTTCTTGCCCTGCTTGAAGTACACTGAAATAATGCACAACATGCTGAATAAGGCATGACGTAATTTCAGCGGAACCGCGTTTAGCTACAGATTCATGCCATAAATACATGGTTACTTGTGAATTACCCATGTTATGCACAGCATAATTATAATTTGAATATTGTCTTTGGTAGAAAACATCCGAGTGTGTTAAATTAGGTGTGAACAACACCTGCTGTAAATCAACACACAAAACTACAAAATCTTGATTTTGTTTTGCAGTCTCTGCATCCTTATGCAAGGTTTCATAAGCTTTTTCGGCCTTTCTGTGATGAAGTTCAGCTTCTGCAGCAATTTTATTTCGAGGTTCATCATCTTCGGTAGCAATAAGTTTAATGTAATATTTGTCACACAACTTACAGGTGTCTGATCTTGGGGTACCGAATCTTAAGTCAAAGTGTGACTTAAATATGTTTCTGTATGTAATATACTTAATAGGTGAGTCGGAGTATTTCTCTATGTACAGTTGAAACATTTTTTGTATAGATAGAGATGGATCAAGACATTTTTTCTTATTAGATGACCTCGAATAATGACTCTCTTGAGCAGGAAAGCTGGTAATGTGAGACTTAATGGTATCAATATGAAAATCAGGTATTTTATGAGGACGGTTTAGATGAAGGCCCCTTTGATCGTCAATCATTTTATGGAATTTTATTTTATTTACTAATAGCTGTAACCGCCGACGTGTGACACTTAACACGTTACATCAAGATTTCTGACATACATTGAGCCGTCCATTTTTAGTTATTAGTGAATATTTTACTGTACAATGTCTGGTAAAAACTTCTTCAGCAACACGTCTTCTTTTAGGCTCCATCACATCCATACAGCCTTGCAAAAATAAATTTTGTTCATTGTAAGTTTTCTTATAAAAGTCCGTGTATAAATCTAGTTTTTCTTCCTCAGTAATATTTTTACAACCCATATATTTACATTTACACTGGAAATCCTGTAACAGAATGGTAAAACGAAAATGATATTATGTAGGTATGTGCATATTAAAATCACGCAACTTTAATCAAACAAAAGTTTAGAAAAGTAACATGAATAACATTAAACGCACAAAGCACGTTGTTCCAACCAACCTGACTTGGTCCCAGTTTACCGCTCACTGGTTTTCCCCTTCGACTTATGTAGGGTTTTCCTGCATCTTTTAACAGCATCTTCCTTTTGAAATCCTTCCTGTTTGTAATGTTTATTTTTCTTCTTTTACCTTTATTAATATCATTTAACCCACTTGAACTTACGCGAATTGTTGATTGAAACGACGCCATGTCGGTATTAGCAACGTTGTTCTGCTGTTTACGTTCAGCGCTCTAGGTTACTAACATAAGTTTGGTAAAGACAAAAACATTATTTCTGCTTGAACCCTAAGATATGGATAAGTATTAGTATAATCAAAGATGTTCCATAAGAAAATCATATTTCACATTTTTGTCGTTTGCAACGTTGTTCGCGCGAGGCATTCAATTGGAGTTTCTTCACGCTATAATTTGGGTTCAAAAGAAAACCGACATCTCTTCACGCTATAATTAGGGTACCAAAACAAAACTGACCTATCATAACATTCCATCACACTATAATTGGAGTTTCTTCACACTATAATTTGGGTTCAAAAGAAAACCGACATTCCTTCACGCTATAATTAGGGTTTCAAAACAAAACTAACCTATCCTAACATTCCTTCACGCTATAATTGGAGTTTCTTCACGCTATAATTTGGGTTCAAAAGAAAACCGACATTCCTTCACGCTATAATTTGGGTTCAAAAGAAAACCGACATTCCTTCACGCTATAATTAGGGTTTCAAAACAAAACTAACCTATCCTAACATTCTTTCACGCTATAATTGGAGTTTCTTCACGCTATAATTTGGGTTCAAAAGAAAACAGACATTCCTTCACGCTATAATTTGAGTTCAAAACAAAACCGACATTCCTTCACGCTATAATTAGGGTACCAAAACAAAACTGACCTATCATAACATTCCTTCACGCTATAATTGGAGTTTCTTCACGCTATAATTTGGCTTCAAAAGAAAACCGACATTCCTTCACGCTATAATTTGAGTTCAAAAAAAACCGACATTCCTTCACGCTATAATTAGGGTACCAAAACAAAACTGACCTATCATAACATTCCTTCACGCTATAATTGGAGTTTCTTCACGCTATAATTTGGGTTCAAAAGTAAACCGACATCTCCACGCTATAATTAGGGTTTCAAAACAGAACTAACCTATCCTAACATTCCTTCACGCATAAATTCGGTTCAAAAGAAAACCGACATTCCTTCATGCTATAATTAGGGTTTCAAAACAAAACTAACCTATCCTAACATTCCTTCACGCTATAATTGGAGTTTCTTCACGCTATAATTGGTGTTCAAAAGAAAACCGACATTCCTTCACACTAAAAGAGGAACCCTTGCCTGGTATACTGATGGTACAAAGACAGTTGGATCTGGAGTAGGTATAAGTGGACCAAATAGTCTCATTAAATTACCCCTTAGCTCGGACATAACCATTTTTCAAACAGAAGTTCTTGCTATAAACTTCTACACCGTTTTGAAAAAGGGACAGAAAGATGCATCGATAATGCTAGACAAGCTGACCAAAGAGGACTACAAAAAAGCCACTAAGCCCAGTTGGGAGGCCTCAAAGGTAGCCTTACACAGGAAAGAACTTCCAGATCATAGACAAGCGAAGAGTATGATAATTCCATCGCAAAAAAACCAAAGAGGTTTTATGCCTCAGCAAAGGGGATATAATGTCGCTGCTTCCCGACCAGCCATGCGCCCCTAAAATACTATCTCTTCCACATTGCACAAGCTGAGGATCAAACTTGTCAACACTGTAACGACAAGTCAGAGACTGCTGAACATATATTGTGTGAACAAGTAAAACACAAAATTTTCGGTAAAGTACGTCTGACACCAACCCTGACCTACATTTGCCCTAAACTTTTAGAGGGCTTAAGTTACAATAGATTTAGGTGGCGATGACGAGAGGGGCCGTTCCTCTCAGCCATAATAATAGGCAGCTATAATAATAATAAGATGACATCGCGAAACGTAGTAGCTTTTAAAAATAATTTGGCCTTTGAATGTAATCTCAAATTTTGAGAAAAGATGATATATTAATTATGTAATTATTTGTTGTAATTAGGTTGGAAGATCCGGAAAGAATGAACGGAAATCTATAAATACCAGCAACTGTTTTTTTTATTGTATAATTATAAATATATTTTGCGTTTTTCTGATTGTTAAACTAATAATTAAAAAATGTAATATAAAAAAAATAAATTATTTTTCTACGACTATAATCTTAATATTTAAACAGTTCCTGTTGATCCCTTAAATTGTTTCTTTCTTCTAAACCGCGGTGATTTATCTTTTAAATCATACAATTGATATTTATTTTCTTCATCATTCTTTGTTAAATCGTTTAAAACAGCCTCCACGTGTCGTTCGGTACATTCGATTTGTCCCATCATAAAATCAACCTAAGAATTTTTTTTTAATAATATTGATCAAATTATATAAATTACTTACAAATTTTTTATTTACATTTTTATTTTCTCGAGAACACTCTTTTATTTTTTGTTTAACTTCCGTCATTATGCTATCAACAACTCCCAAACCTGTCGTTATCGTTAATTGAGCTAAATACTGCTCGCTATTCGCTACAGTTTGAGCCTAAAAACACCCTTTATTATGTAAATTGAATAATTAAATTAAACAAAAATATACCTTACTATAAGCTTCATTAACAGTTTTTTCGATTTTATATCGATAATTATCGGGTAAAGAAACTTTGTGAGAATCCTCCAAAGAAAACGCTTTCACAGCGCAATCAGTTTTTATGATTTTTTGGTAAAAATTTAAGTATTGAAACAATTTGGGATTCAATAAATCCGTTTTTTCATCTCCATATTTATTTGGAATTATAATTTCATCGCGAGTTTCTCCCAAAAATTCTTTTAATTTACTATCTCTCGAAGATTCCTTTTCAAAATTCGCCCTTTCTTGTTCTAATTTTTTCCGATAAAAATGATCCACCTCTTTCAACCGGATATATTCTTCAATATGCCGTTTAGTTTCTTGTAATTTGTTATATTCTAAATTAGTTGTATCTAAAATTTTTTTATCTTCTTTTAAACGTTTCATTTCGTTAATATTCGCTTGATAATCCAAAACAGCTTTAGGGTAAGCGTTAAAAATCGGATAAACGTTATCATCTAATTTCGTAAAATTATTTAAATATCTTCTTGGGTGAAAAATGTTTTCGGTTGATTCTAAAAGTTGATATGATTTTGAAATCAATTTTTTTATGTCGACACAATTTTGTTTGTAGTAAATCGAGTGAAAATCTTGTAATTCGATTAGTTGCATTAAACGTTGTTTTTGTGTGAGGCTATAAGCAACTGTAACCATTATTAAAAATGATGGTTCATTCGACAAGATATGATCCCACAAAATTAACCAATCATTCGAACATAAAACTTCAGAAAAGCAAGTTTGCATCAGCGACCAAGCATATGTTTTTGATGTAACATTGTAATAAATTAAGTGTTGAATTAAGGTTGGATCGTGATGAAGTAAAACGTTTTCAACCATCGCCAAAACGTTTACTGGTGGAAGTGGATAATATTCAAACCAATACTGGCACCAATTCATTAAAAGTGTTATCACCGCTTCAAAACATATTAACGGATCGTTTTGAAACATTTTTACAAATGGGAAAACAAATAATGGCAAATAAGTTACTTCAGAAAAAAATGGGCACCAAAGATTTAAAGCAATCAATAATTTTTTTAAATTCTTCATTAAAATTGGATTTTCAATCGGATATTTTTTTTCTAAATCGTTATTTAATCGGATTTCAGAAAATTTATTATTTAATATTTGATATTGTTTAACATTGCAGGGTAATTGAAGAATTTGTGTCCAAATTTTGAATCGGTGCATCTCTGGGTATTGACCATACTCTTTTAAAATTGGAACAAGTTTCCCTACATCCAACACATCTTCGATCTAAAACATTAATTTAAATTAATTTAAAAAATCGAATCAAAAAAAAATTACCTTCTCTTTAGCTGAATACAACGCGCTCAAAGACCTCTTTACATTTGAATTTTTTTGAACAACATTCACCACTTTTTTTTGACAATCTTCGTCTGTTGCTACATAATTAGCCAATAAGTACATGTAAGCTTTTCCATCGGAGGTAATACAAGCAATAAAACGACCATCATATGAAGAATTGTATCGAATTATTTCAATGTTGAAACTTAATTGAGTCAGGATGATGTCTCGGAGCATGTCGTAGAAATAAATTAATCCGTTCAAGGTTAGAATTGAAAGAACTCGGTTTGAACCGCCGTCAAATGGATTTGAGATAAAATCTAATCTTTTTATTGCCCTTATTTGAGGTGGTAAAACTATATTTTTTTCAAGGGTCCACGTATCGGTTTTAAATACAGCTAAGTTGTGTGAATATCCCGCTAAAACTACGATGCGTCCATTTCTGCAAAAAAAATAAAGTAATATAATGTAATAGGCATCATACACCGGAAAATAAATTCCGCAAACTGACGTTGCACAACAGGTTATTGTGCAAACAAGGTTATCCATGCACTATACATAATTTTACTATAATAGAACTTAAGTTGCTTGTGTTGTATATGGATGGAAACATGCCGTGTGACGAAGCAGCCTGTTTAGCTATAATAATTGCTGTTGCGTCGAAAAATGATGTTAGAAAAAGGAAAAGGAAGCAAGAGTGTATGGATGAGAGTAGTTAAAGAAAAGATCACTTTTTAGCCACGCAAATCTTCTCAAACAACTTAAGTTGAATTCACCATTAAACTATAAAAATTATTTACGAATGGATACTTTTTGGGTTTAGCCGTGCGTTTAGTGCAAAACTAGAACTAACACTAGAACTAGAAACATTCGGGTTTAGCCGTCTTGAGAGACGTGCGGAATGATTCTAGTTCTTGGTCTTGTGTTAGTTCTAATTTTAATTGTTGTGCAGCGCTAGACCAAGAACTAAAATCATTCAAGTTTAGCTCAGTGATGCCAAATTTGGGGATTTGTATACAATTTGGATTTGAATATAAGGAATTTTATATCTCATATAACGATTTTGAGAGCTTTTATTGTATATTCTATTATTCTGAGAGACAAATTAAATTTGCAAACTTCATTTGTAACATGCCATCACAAGTTTCTATGTAAAAAGTTTATACTAACACTTGTACGAAAGCTGAATTGTTTAGGAAAATTTACTGAAAATGGAAATTGCAGTTTTGGAAAATTTTAGGCGAAAAAAGAAAGTTTCAAGAGATGAATTGGAATATGGAACTATAGTTAAATTAGCGAAAATATAGTCAGTTTTTCATCAGTGGTTATTGATGTGAAAACAAAGAAAAGGATCAAAATAAGCAGTAAAGCTCTAAATGCAGTTGCAGTAATTTGTGTTGCATCAAATGACTGTTGCCAATCCTTTCAAGTTTCTAATGAACCTTAAATTGATAGAATCTCACAACCTTTATAAAACGTGATCTCAATAAAATTAATATCTTGAAAAAGATAACAAAATAAAGTTATATTTTATGTATATTGGTGGCTTTTTTTATTATTATTTATGCCCTATGTACTATCTGAAAATTAGCTTTTCTTCGTAATAATTAAGTGTGAATAATTAAGTGTAACAGTTTAATATGCTTTATTTAATTTTTGACCTGTAATAAAAAAAAAACTAATTTCATTCTTAGTAAAACTTTAATCTAGGGAATTTTCATGAGACTTCTCTGGTTTAGCCGTTTTGAGAGACGTACGGGACGTACGGCTAAAGCCGAATGTTGTGGTCTAGTGTTAGTTCTAGTTTTAATTCAATAAAATATACAACATAGTGATATCTTATGCCAACAAGTACTACCTAGCACTGTCACTAGAACTAACACAAGACCTTGAACTAGAAACATTCGAATTTAGCCGCACGTCTCTCAAGACGGCTAAACCCGAGTGATTCTAGTTCCAGGTCTTGTGTTAGTTCTAGTGATAGTGCTAGTGTAAAACTAGAACTAACACTAGATCTAGAACTAGAGACATTCGGGTTTAGCCGTGCGTCTTCAGACCTAGAACTTTCTAGTTCTAGGTCTAGTGTTAGTTCTAGTTTTAATTGTTGTGCAGCGCTAGACCAAGAACTAGAATCATTCGGATTTTGCCGTCTTGAGAGACGTATGGATAAACCCGAATATTGTGGTCTAGTGTTAGTTCTAGTTTTAATGCAATAAAAATACACAACACAGTGATATCTTATGCCAACAAGCGCTACCTAGCACTGTCAATAGAACTAACACACGACCTAGAACTAGAAACATTCAGATGTAGCCGTCTTAAGAGGAGCATAGCTAAACCCGAATGGCTCTGGTTCTAGGTCTAGTGTTAGTTCTACTTTTCGTTCAATGAAAATATACCACAATCTAACGCTGAATAACAATTAAAACTAGAACTAACACTAGATCTAGATCTAGAAACATTCGGATTTAGCCCCACGTATCTCAAGGCGGCTAAATCCGAATGATTCTAGTCCTAGGTCTTGTGTTAGCTCTAGTGATAGTGCTAGTGCAAAACTAGAACTAACACCAGACCTAGAACTAGAAACATTCGGGTTCAGCCGCACGTCTCTCAAGATGGCTGAACCCGAATGATTCTAGTTCTTGGTCTATCGCTGCCCAACAATTTAAACTACAACTAACACTAGACCTAGAACTAGAAACATTCGGATTTAGCAGTCTTGAAAGACGTGCGGCTAAATCCGAATGTTTCTAGATCTAGGTCCTAGTGTTAGTTCCAATTTTGATTGTTATTCAGCGTTAGATTCCGGAATATTTTTAATGAACGAAAAGTAGAACTAACACTAGGCCTAGAACTAGAAACGTTCGGATTTAGCCATGCGTCTCTTAAGACGGTCGAAAACTCAAGGTTGTCATAAGGACGTCACATTTTCGCAAACAAAACTTTTCCTCTGCAAAACTACCCAATGCCTGTACTATTAAGCTTTGTTGTATTTTATGTGGGACAGTGCAAGTGCACAGTAGTTTGTTGGTACTGTATTCATATATCGCAAGTTATATGAAACTCCCTGTACAAAAACAAGACACAATATTGAGAAAAGCAATATCACCACCTTCTACTAACACAGGTGGAAAGAAACTGTCGTTATTGCACAATGTGCAATAACGAATGTGTTTGTACAACCAATTTCAAACAATTTTGAATTTCTGCAACCAGTTGCGCAACGCATCAACTAACACAATTTTCGCAAAACAGCGATTGTTGCGCAATTTGTTTGCAGATGTATGGGGCCTATAAAGTTAACATTAAATTATAAAGTAAAAGTACCGTGTAAAAGCCAAACATTTAATAATAAACTTATTCCAAAGTGCTGGTTTAATCTGCTTAATATGATCAAATGTGCCATATTTCCATATATGTATCGTATCATCATTAAAACATATCAATACATTATCAGATATTGGCACAAACATGACTAATTTTAAACCAGACGATTTTGAAATATTCAATGTTTCCAACTTTGTGCAACTTCTCAAATCCCATATAATTGCTTCACTTTGCGATGAAGAAATACCCAAAAAGTTATCTTTAGCAAATGATATGCTTTTAACTGGATGTTTATGACCGTTAAGAGTATTAAGTAATTCCCCACTTTCCACGTCAATAATATTTATGGTCCCATTATTCTTTCCAATAAATATTTCCTTATCATTTATCGAATTAAATGTTAGAAAAATACATGAATTTGTGTTGGTCAGGTGCCAAAATCTGCATTGGGTAAAATTAAAGTTGTAAACGTCTCCTTTTGATGTGGCCATAATGAGTATTTGACCGGTTTTGCTAAAAGCCACATTTGTAAATCGTAATTGGGGTTGTCCACAATAACACCCATATTTTGGTTTGGGACATTGAATTTGTAAGATTTGACCATCTTTTCTTCCTTCCTTAACTTTAAAAAATCGCTTTTTATGTCGTAAAGAACTTGGATTAATTTTTAAACTCATGAATGACATTACACTTGACAATTTGAAGTAAAACAAATTGAGGTTATGTTATTTTAACCTCACTTTTTTTTAAAATAACCTCACTTTTAAAGTAATTAAAAAAAGCTTGTATTTGTAATGTTTGTTTATATATTTATTGTTAGTAAATGCGCCAATTAATTAAATTATTAAAAAATATTTTGATTTTATCTAGGAATGTTTTAAAAGATGACCATTATTATTAATATTGTACAATAGGAATGACAGGCTTAGTTAATTTCCCTCTACCATTTAATTCCATAATCTCAACAATAATTAAACAACCAATAACTTCAGCTCCAGCTTTTTCAAGTAAATCAATAGCTGCCTTCATACTTCCTCCTGTTGCCAATAAATCATCTACCACTAAAACATTTACCCCCTTAGTAATACTTTCTTTTTGAATCTCTAAACAATCCTATAAAAAAATAATTAAAACTTATTAACACTTTTTTAATTGTTCTTACTGTTCCATATTCAAGTGTGTAAGTTTGTGAAATAACTTCTCCAGGTAATTTTCCTTTTTTACGTATAGGAATAAATGGAACCTTCAATTCTAAAGCAATTAGTGGTCCAAATAGAAAGCCTCTTGCATCAAGAGCTGCAATACATTCTGGAATTGGATTCAACTTCTTGGTAAGTGCTACAAGAACATCTCTAAGTACAGGAAACACTTTTGGTTCTCGTAAAATGGAAAATACATCTCTGTAATCATTTTAAAATGGTGTTATCTTCATTAAAATATCCGTAAACAATGGAGAAATAAAATATTGCGATTAATAACGTGAGAATGTTTAATGTAACAAACAATTTATCCATAAGACATTGTGACAAAATGAAATGAATCAATGTTGAAAAGACGAACAATTTTTATAAAAGTCATTGTCATTTACCTAAATAGTACTCCTTGTTTTGGAAAATCTGGATACGACTTTATACATTTGGCTATTAATTGAATATGTTCGGCAATTTCAGTTTCTTTCATTGCTGGACCAGCGCTTGCAGCACAACTTGTTTCGTCAACGTTCGAAAAAATTGTGCTATTGCTGGATGCCATGTGAATTCATAAATTTATGTATAATGATTAATTACATTTTTTAAAGTTTATTATTTAAGGTTAACGATTTGTTGATAATTTATAATCAAATCCTTGACATTTGAAGTTTTATAAAATTAAAGAAATCGAGTTTTAGTAATTTTTACATTTCCAGTTGGTACGAATAAAAAAGTTATCATCTTGACACAGTTTTAAAAAGTTTAAAGTTCATCTTTTTAAATAATTAATTTTGATTAATCTTATCATTTCGAATTTAGGATGAAATTTAACCGTTTAAAATGGATCGGTAATAAAAATACATCAATTTTATTATAAAATAATTATACTGCGTTTAAATAAGTACATAAAAAGCTACAACAATTATAAATAACTCAAAAAATTCTCTTAATTACCGCGGTTTTCTGAACAATTTGTTGATCTGCCTATTTTTTGGACTGGGTGGTTGATTCTGAAAATAAAATTATAATTCATTAAAAATTAATATAATAAAAGATCACATTTCAAACAAAACTACAAAAAAAAACATAAAAATAAACATTTATTCAATGTATAATATACATTAAAATATACAAATAAACAATCTCAAAGAAAAAAATAAAACTATTCATCAATATATCTATTAATATAAAACATAGTAAAAAACACAGTTATCAAATAGATAACATGCACATAATAACCTCTCCAGAAATCTAAAACAAAGTCCTTCCAAGAACGATTTTTCTTAATTTTTTCTTTATGTTGTTCTTTATTTTTTTCTTTATTTTTATGAAGAGATGTAACGCATTGTGCATGACAAGTACACACACAAATTTTAATTGCGTCAACATCCTCCCCAATACATTTACTACAAAATTGCCAATTGTCGTCTACAAGGCGTACCTCAATGTTTGGATTTGCAGAAGTACTGGATCGACCGCCAAGCGAAGTCCTGCCCAAGAAGAAAGCTTTGAACTTGTTCGGTGTCGTCCGTTTCGGCGTTTTCAAGTCATTGTAATCCTGAAGGGCGCCGTCTTTAGGAAGTTCGCCGCCTTGCAACGAAATTCTCCCGCCGTTTTTACTCGGAGTTGGTGGCCCAGGTTTTTTATACGACGTCGTACCTTGTTCTTTTTTTCGCAGCGCTTTATCGGCCGGTAGTAATTTGGTGTTCATGCTGTCGTCTAAGTCAATATTGCCCGCCTAAAAATCGAATGAGATAAAAAAAATTTATTACTTTAATGAGTTAAATTACTTTGATATCTTCCTCTTTAAATCTGGACGGATTTATCATTTGAAGTTCTGCTGGATAAGATGATTTGAGATGGGGTGGAACCTGAGAGTTTCTCCATGCTAACTCTGACATACGGGTGGATGGTGATTCTTCAGAGGGGAGTACGCATCTACCGTTTTTCAGATCGGCTAAATATTTGTTGTGGAAACATTCGGCTTCATCTTCCATTTCAAATTTATCTGTTAATTGAAATTTTTTTAAAAATTAATTTGTTTTTAATTATATTTTAATGCAAGGACTAAAACACTATCTCTGGTGCGATAAGCATAACGCCAACTCTAACAAAAATGTTCTGCTTGGTCTATCTCTTTTGCATTTGCATATAGAGGAAGTGGCTAGAAAACGAAAATTCTCTGGTTCACGCAGATATTTGCATCTTCACAGAAAGACCAAAGACGTTGGAAGGGGTTGGAGTAAGACATTAAGGTTCTTTAACATTGGACTGTAAGGTGAAATTTGATGTTATCTATCGGGGTGGGGTTCAAAGGGGTAGTGCATGCGCACCGCACAGCCCTCGTTCCTGTTAGAGCTGCATAGCCTCTCCTACCCAACTACCTCCAATGTCCTTCTAACTCTCACCTCAACGTGGTGAATCCTTGATAACCCTGCTGGAGATGCGGTATCCAACCCATATGGAAAGAAGGGTCGGGACTAACGAGAGCGGGGCTAGGATGATGGTCGGGAGTAGGAGTTGGAGGAGAGAGACCAGAGACAGGGATGAATGGAGGCAGAGGCTGAGGGAGGCCAAGGCTTGATACGGGCTGTAGAGTCACAGATGAATGAATGTAAGAATTAGAACAACAGAGAATATAACATTGAATGCAAGAGGAATGGGTAACAAAGAACTGGATTAAAATAAAGATGAATTTTGTTTTTTACTTACCAATATTGGCAGGACTAACAACCCTATTCTGATCGATATTTTTCGGCAACGTCATACACTTCCTTGCCTCTACAACAGTTCTAACAGGATGAACGCTAGATCTCTTCCCATTTCTCGGACAATCAATAACCTCCCTCGTTCTTAACTCACGGACATCACATTCACTTCTCACCGACCTAGCCCCAATAGACTCCCTCGAAAGCATCAACTCATTCTGCCGAGTCGTTTCTCCAATTCGTTTCCGCAATTCATCATTAGTCTTCTTAGCATCCTCATAATCGGTTTTATATTTTTCCAACGTAGTTAAAAGCACGGCATTATCCGCCTCTTTCGCTAAAACTTTCCTCGTTTCTTTATCGACCTCCTCTTTAAACATCGACAACATTTTCTTTTTAATCGCCTCCAATTTCACTTCGTATTGATTTCGGATATCAGCAATCGTGGTGTCTTGTTGGGCAACAAAATCTTCGCGTTGTTTTTGCAACAATCGCACAAATTCTTCTTTGTCTTTGTTCCGTTTGAATTTTAACGTGTCTAATTCGGTGTTAATTTGATTATTTTCTTCCAAAATTTTTTGGTACGCTTCTTTTATTAGGGAATCTTCGTTTATTTGGTATAATCGGTCGTCGTAAGATTTTTTTAACGATTCTAAATCGGATTCTAATTTATTTTTGTCTTTCATTAATTTGCTGTAAGCGTCGCGTAACGAATCTAATTCTTGTTTGTTCGTTTTGTGTTGAAGTAATTTTTCGGTTTGTAAATCGACGATTTCTTTTTCTAATTGTGAGTGTTTTTCGCGGAAGGTTTGATTTTGTAAGTTTTCGCCTTGGATGTGTAAAAGTTCGTTTTCGAGATGAATCTGTTTCGATTTTAATTCGTTAATTTGTTTCTCATAGCTCTCTTTCGTATCAATATGTTGTTGAATTAACGTTTTATAATGTGTATCATCGCTCGTGGTTTTATTAAGAGAGAGCTTTTTGTTCTCCTCGCGGAGTTGTTTTAATTTTTTCTCGTAATTATTCTTCACGTTTTCAACTAGCGTTAATTTCTGTTTAACCGAAAGATATTTTTTGCGATACTCATCGTCGGTTTTCGTTTCTAATTGGTTATTTTTGTTCTCTTTAAGGACCGTTTTAACGTGAATGTTATCGAAAACTTTTTCTAAAGCAACGATTTGCTCGATTGCATCAACAGCGCGGTCTTTTAACCCGTCGATTTTAAACAGGGTTTCCTCGATGTCTAAATCTTTTAAAATCGCTTCAATTTCGATGCTTTTTTCCGAAAATAACGCGTTTACGATTTTTTCCGATAACGTTCCAAAATTGATTACAATATTAAACGAAATCCTCGAATATCGATTAAATTGTCTTTGTATATCATCGGCGATGATTTGGAGAGATTCTTTTTGGTCGAAATATTGTTTATAAAAGCTTTCTGAGTGGACGAATTCAACGAATTTCATTTGTAACGTTAATAATTTTTGTTTTAAATCGTTTAAAATCGTTTCTGTTGAATTGCGATTTTTTAATAATTGATCGATTTGATTTTTGTTGTTTTTGGATAACTCAATAAATTTTTGATAATCATTATAAGCCCTAACATTATTTTCTCGTAATGATTGTATGGTTTGGTGTAAAACATCATTTTCACTTTTTAAATTAATCATTTTTTCATCAATACTTTTCTCGAGATCGTTTCGTTCTTTATTAAGAGCCTCATAATCACCAAGTAATTTAATTTTTTCTTTCTCACACAAATCCTTTTCGTTTCTTAATAAATCAATTTTATTTGTTATACAACACTTTTCACCCTCTAATTTTGTAACGGTCTCGTTTATTTCATAAATCTTACTAAAAACATCCCCAATTCCTTTTTCAATCTCCCCAGAAATAAATTTCATTTCATCTTGGGAGATATTCTCGAATGATGGGGAATTTAAAATTGGTTTATTCACTAAAATAATCGCGATCTTATTGATATTTGTATAAAATTTATTGATAATTTCCTCAAATCTAATTTTTTCGCTCATTAAATTTAATAATTTCACCTCTAAGATTGTTTTTGATTCCTTTTCTTTCTCAATTATCTCTTTTAATCGTTCTTTTTCGAGCGATGTCGAAACGTAATCGAATCGCACGTTATTAATTGATTTTAACATTTCACTTTTAATCGTTTCAGCTTTTAAATGAATATCCTCAATTTCGATTTCTTTGTTGTTGTAAAATTCGGTTTTAATTTTAATTAAATCATCGCGATTACTTTTTAACTCATTTATTTCGGACTTAATTAATTCGCTTTGTTTGTCAGTTTCTAATTTTTCGTTTTTAACGAATTCTAAATCTGATATCGAACGATGCAATTCGTATAAAACTTCGTGAATATGGTTGCGTTCCTTTACAATTATTTCTTGGTAATTCAACGATTTATTATTAATTTGCTCGAAAATTTTTTGTTTCTCTTTGTATTGAATTTCTAATTCTTTTTTGGAGGTATTTACCTCATCTAAAGATTTCTCCAATTTTTTCTTTTCCTTTTTTAATTGTTTTAAAGTAAGATTAACGTTTTGATAAGCTCCTTTTAAGTCGAAAAAGTCCAAAGTCATGTTTTCTAGCGTTCTAAGATTTTCTTCGTCAATTTCCGTCAAAAATTGTTTATGCAAATTTTGCGACTCTTGTAATCGTTGCTGCAAACTTTCTTTTTCTGATGATACTGTTTCATAAATTTGTTGTAAATTATTTAATTCCTTAATTTTTTCGCCAAGTTTATAATCTTTATCATTAATAATTTCAGTTTTCTTTTTTATATCGTCGTTTATTTTATTTAATTCGCTCTCGAACGATTTTGATTTTTCCTCAATTAAATCATTAAGTTTAATTTTTTCATCTTCTAATTTATTCTTAGTTTCAATCGCATTTTGCAAATCTAACTCAACCCGATCTTTTCCCGTTTGCAATATATCAAACGCACATTGTAACTTTGAAATTACATCATTTTGTTGTGCTTCCTTCTCAACATATTCATCAATCTCCAGTTTTAATTTCCGGGTATTCTTCAATAAATTATCTTGTTCTTTAGTAATCTTTTCATTCAATATCTCCAAATTACTAATTTTATCACATAAACTTTTAATTTCGTCGTTCAAATCATTTATTACCTTCTCATGTTTCATTTCAACATTTTTATGATTTTCTTTAATTTGTTCCACCGATTTTTGCAACTCAAAATATTCATTAACCATTTCTTGATTTTCTTTTTTTAAGTTTTCAATTTCACCCTCCAACTTTTTTTCGGAATTTCTTAAACAATTTTCGCTCTCATTAATCAATTTCTCATGAACAAGCTTTAATTGGGAATACTCCAAATCGATGTCTTTCTTTGTTACCTCAAGCATTGAAAGCTTCTCCCCCAAACTAGCTTTTTCTTGCTGAACATCGCTAATTTTTGAAGAAACCTTTTTGACTTCATTCTCCAATCGGTATTGAATCCCTCTTCCACTTTCCAAATCATTCAACGCTTTCGATAACGCTAACTCCAATTTTTTCTCTTTATTTATTAAATTATTTATGTCCAATAAAAATTGTTCGCGCGTATTTTCTAGTTCTTCTTCGTATTTATTATGTTGCGCAACCAATTTGACTTCTAAACCGATTTTTTCTGATTTTAAAACATCTCGTTCGTTGATTATTTGAGATAATTGTTCGCTTCGAATTTTATTTTCTTCTTTTAATCGATTGCATTCAACTCCTAAGTCGCGTAAAGTTTCTGTTAGATTTTGTTGTTCCGCTTCGTGAATTAATTTTAATTCTTGAAACGCGTTAAAATTATCGGCGTATTTTTGGAAGGAATTATTTAATTCAGATTTGAGTATTTCGATTTCTTGGAGGTAATTAACCTCTTTTGAAGTAAGCTCATAAATACGATTATCATTTCCTATCAAATTCATTTTCAAAGATTTTATCTCATCATCTTTCTTTTTAATTGCATCGTTTTTTTCGTTCAAAACCCGCTCCAATTTGTATTGAGCTTCTTCTAAATCCCGTTTAATATTCATAATTTTGTTTTCGCTTACTTGTTTGCTTAAAGATAATTGGTTACAATATTCGTTTAAGTTTTCGTTTTTTTCTTTTAATTGTGTTATAATTATTTCGAGATTTCTCTCTAAATCTTGAGATTTTTTTTCTAAGCTATCCTTAAGATTTTTAAGGGCTTCTTTTTCCTGTAATAATTGGTGTAATTTAGTTTCAAACGCGTGGTTTTGTTCCTCTAAGGTGGTAATGCAAAATTTATATTTGCTCTCTTCTTGTCGAATTTTATCCATATTAATTTGAAGCTCGTTATGTTTTTGTTTACACCTCTCCAACTCCAATTTAATCGTTAATAATTCGGTGTTTGACTCAGAAATAATATTATCACGCTCATCTAATTCAAGTTCTCTTCTGGATAGAGTTTCAAAACACTCTGAGTATTTCCCTTTTAACTCATCATTTTGTTCAATTAAATCCTCCTTTTCCAACTGTAATTTATTAAGATCATTTTTGAATTTTCCTAAATTGTTTTGTAAATTTGATTTTTCTTTTGATATGATTTGTATTTCTAATTCTAATTTTTTTTGAGTATCTCTGGTAAGATCAATTTTCTTCAAGAGGTCGCATTTAATCTTTTCATAATTTTCTTCCATCGTAATTTTTCCGTTTTCAATTTCGGCGATTTCAATTTGTTTGATTTTTAAGTCTTCTTTTGATGTATCAATAATTGTCTCAAGTTCTTGTATTCTAATCTTATAATCTTTTATTTCTGATTCCAACAAAAATATTTTCTCCAAAAACATCCGCTCTTTTTCGACCAATTCTCTTGATAAATTTTCATTAAACTCATTCACTTGATTAATCTCATTCTTTAATGATTCAATTTCCTTTGAAGTTTCCTTAACATTCATTATAAAATCATCAAGAATTTCCCCTGAATTTGATTGATTTAAATTACTTCTCAATGATTTAATAAACTCCAACTCATTTATAGTGTTGTGCAACTCAGATATTTTAGCTGTAATTTTATTAGAATCTTCCATTTTTAATTTGAGAGTATTTTCTAACTCATTAACATGTATCTCAGAATTCTTTAACATCTTTTCAAATTGATCCCTCTCAGTTTTTGTTAAAACCAATTTCTCATTCAATATTAATTGTGTAGCTTTTAAATTATTAATAACTTCTTCCCCTTCATGTAAAGATTCAGTGAGATTTTTAATAAGATTTTTATTTCGAACCTTTTCTTCGTCAATACTTGAAACTAACGCGTCAAAAAATTCAAATTTATCCTCTAAACTTCCATCGATTTGGTCATTTGCTATTTCTGACAATTTCTTTAAATTTTTCGAAAATTTATTCATTGTAACATCGTAAGATTTTTGTAGTGATATAAAGGCTGTATTTAAATTGTTATAATTAGAGACGCTTTTTTCGAATTTCGCTTGGATTTGTGAAGCAGCTGAATTTAAATTTTTAGAAATATCTTCTGCCTCAATTTTGTAATCAGTAAATTCGCACGAAACTTTTCGCAATTTTTCAGTCAAATCTAATTCGTTATCTTTTAACTCTTTATTTAAATCATTCGTTTTTTCCAAACTTCTCTCCATATCAAGAATAATCGAATCTTTATTAGAAATGAGTTGTTCAAAATCTTCAATTTCTTTCATTGATCTTTTTAATAATTCATCCATATTTTGATTACTTTTAATTAATTCTTCGATTTTTTGCGTCGACTCCACATTTTTATTTTTTAATTCTGAACAATCCTGAACAGCTTTTTCATAATTATTCTTAACCTCTACAATTTGTTCTTCCAACAATTTCGATTCCTCTTTTGTCTCCAATAATAAATCTTGTAACTGGGCATTTTCCTTACGAAAATCCTCCAATTGGACTTCAACAACACTCCCAGCTAAATTCTCCATTACTGAATAATTCAAACTCCTTCTCTTCATTTTCGATTGAGGAGTTAAAATGACTGAAGTTTCAAAATTATTACTAGCAGGTCGAAGCTCATCCAAACAAACTTTTAATTCTATGCAATCTGCTTTTAAATTCTCAACAACTTCTTCTTGTTGTTTATATTTTTCGCGAAGATCTTTATTCTCTGTTTCTAAACCCAACATTTTTTCTTGACAAATTTTTAATTCCTCATCAGAAACTTTTAATGACTGAATTAATTTCTCGTTTCGTTCCTTAAGCTCTATTTGTTCTTTTTCTAATTGCGCAACATATTTTTCTAAACTCTCCACTTCTGATTTGTACCTTTTCTCAATATCACCTCCATTAATTAAAATAGTTTCGCCCACATCATCTTTATTACTTAATTCTAACCGTAATTTATTCATCTCTTCACAACTTTTTTTAAGTTTTCCTTCCAGCATCATAATCTTATCTTTGTATGTTTTCAATTCTTCTTGCAAACCTTCTTTTTCAAATCGTTCAGATTCCAATTCAATTCGTAACACCTTTACTTCCTTATCAATTAATTTTCTAATATTCCCATCTGGTATTGTTAAATACGATCTTAATGGACTATCAGTTTTTAAGGGGGGAATGTCAGAAGTCCAACAATTACTTGCCATGGTAGAATTTAAACTTTCAATTGCTATTGTGTGTAAAATTTCTGCATCTATTTTATCAGTCATATTTTCCAAGAATTGTTTAATGCAAATTTGGAACTTTTGTGGCAACCTAGCGCATAATGGAGAAATCAAAGTGGCATTTTTTTTAATTACGCAAGCATAATACAACAATAGTAAACATATTTCAATCGTTTCTTCTCGGGAAAGCTCAAAAAAGTTGGTTTTAGTTGTATCAAATTTAAAATCTTTATAAACCTCTCCTAAAATGTTATGGATAATTTCTAGAGTGTATGGTTGATTTTTTTCTGATGATCTTAAATAAAAGTAAACAATTTTATTAATTAATAAAATAAAAAATTATTAATAACTTACAATATTGATAAAAACTTTTGAAAAAATTGTCCGTTCTTGCATTCGTCTACATCTTGGATGGGAATTGCGATGTCCAAGCAGTTCACCTTAAAAACAATCAGTAAATATTAAATTCGCTTAACGCAACATAAATTAACGGTTTTAACTTAAAATTTATTTAAAAATATACTTACCCATTGAATAATTACATCGTCCCAGTTTTCATAAGCCATTCTTAAAGTTATATTCGCACTACATAAAAAAAATTAAAAACCAGATATGCTTCTTAAGGATCTTTCTTCTTTAAAACGTTGTTTGAAACAGCCGTTGATGACATTTCGGTTTAAAACTTAACGGTTATAAATCGAGCGTTGTCATTGGTCCACAAAAATCAGGATTGACAATTACATAGAAATAAAATAACTAGTATATAATTAATATTAAAGTAAATAATTAGAAGTAACATTTATATATTTATTAACATTAATGAAATTTAAATCTAATAAAATCTTATTTAATAAACTACTTATTATTCTAATCACATTTTATTTAATTTTACATAATTAAAATGTTGAGTTCATTTAATGAATCATCCATACCAAATTAGTAACTTTCGATTTAATAAATTAAGTGTCAAATCAATTCTTAGTTTAAAAAGATAGATGCATCTAATAGAAAAAGACACCAACATCATTTTTGTATACACTAAAAAAGGATAACGTTATTCAAAATCGCAGTATAAAGTGTTATAAAGTCATTGTTGGATGAAGTACTCAGTCAGTGTGCTGTCACCTTTCCGGGGGTGTGTTTCTTAGGTGTTTAATGCTCGGTTATTGCGTAAAATATAATTGATAGAGGTTTTAAAGTATGGGGGATTCGCTCGAAGGGGGCGACGCTCCCTCGGATACCCAAAATGTCGGTCTAATCGAGTATACAACTTTCGTTAATTACATACGTAAAGCCACAACGGTACATTTGCCGGAAGATGATGGGTTAAGAGCACCGGCCCTCGAAGCCGCATTGGAAGATAAGAACAGTCAAGAATGCATAAAAAAATTCATTTCGGATTCCCAAGTATCCACGTTGTACGTACAGAGAAATTCATCCAAAGGTAAAGTGGATCTGTCAAGTTTTTTATGTTTGGTTAGGTTGACAATGTCATATTGATTTTTTTATAGATGATGACAGTGATCAACCACCGGAGGGCGAAGAGGAAAAGGAACCTGTTACTTATTATATCAGCAATGAGGTTTATTACACCAATTCAAAAATATCTAGTTTAGCTTTTATCAAACGTGGTACTGTTGTTGAAGCAGATAAAAGCATTTGGTCACAAATTCGAATTATCAGTTTAAATGATGGCTCTCCTTATGAAACTTTACATTCTTATGTTAGTAAATCGGTGGCACCGTACTTTAAAAGTTACGTCAAGGAATCTGGTAGAGCAGATAGGTAAATTTTATTTTTTATTTTTAATAAAGATTTTTAAATAAATATTTAAATTTATTTTAGAAAATAAGTCGCAATTAGTGTTTAAATGTTTTTAAATTTATATTAATAATTTGTTATTAATGATAAAAACAAACTTATCTCAATCATTATTAAGACTCATATACAGGGTGATTCACATAGGAACCAACACAGAGCAGGGACATGTAGAGGACAATAAATTAAGATGATTTAACGCAAATTATCTCTATACTAAGTTGTACCCCTGAGGAGTTATAGACTTTCAAAGTTGGGTCTTAAAATTTTAAAACATTGAATATCTTAATAATACATTAAGCTAGAAAAACCAAATTTGGTATATGTTATGAGGGTATTAATTGATAGCAAGTTGAGACCATTTTAGGCATTTCAAAGGGTTGATTAAGGGTGATGGCCCCTAAATTTTGACAATTTTTTTTAACCTTTTAATGGATTTAATACATTATTACCTCATTTCATGTGGAATTTAATTCTAAAACTTTTTTTACTCTTATTATTTTTTAAAAAACATTGTCGTTTTCATAAAAAATAAAGTTATTTGACGACAAGGTTTTATAACCTATTTGTCAAGTTTGACATACATTTTCACAGCCGACTACTGAATTTTCGCTTATTTTAAGTGACATTACGAAATATGTGTCTTTAGTTATTTAAGTTTTTTATGAAAATGACAAAGTTTTTTAAAAAATAATAAGAGTAAGAAAAGTTTTAAAATTAAATTCCACATGAAATGAAGTAGTAATGTATTAAATCCACCAAGAGGTTAAATAATCTGTCAACATTTAGAGTACCATCACCCTTAATCAACCCTTTGAAACGCCTCAATTGAGTTCAATTTGGTACCAATTAATACCCTTGGTACACTCATAATGTATACCAAATTTGGTTTTTCTAGCTTAATATATTACAAGGATATTGAACTTTTTAAAAAGTTAAGAGCCAACTTTGAAGTCCTATAACTCCTCAGGTGTACAACTTAGTATAGATGTAAGTTACGTTAAATCATCTTAATTTATTGTCCTCTACATTAGAACTGTTTAATACGTCTACATTTTTGTATTTAAAAACTTGATTTAATACGCATTTTTTTTGTTTCTTGACATTTTCTCCTAAAATTGTTTGTTTGATTACAAAAAAGTAAAATAATACACAGGCTTAGGTGAATTAATTCAAAGATTGGTTATTATTAGTCAAAGAAATGAAGTTATGTCAAATTGATCTCAGCATTATTTTATTTTTTGTGATCAAAAAAGTTATCTGAAAGACCCGCCTTAATTTTCGTTGAAAAATCACCCCTTAAAATCTTTCGCATCAATTTAGATACATCCTGTATATATTTTATATTAATCTTATAGAGAAGGTGATAAAATGGCACCATCGGTAGAAAAAACAATAGCTGCTTTAGAAATGGGTCTATTACATCTCCAACAAAACATTGATATCCCAGAAATAACATTACCGATTCACGGTGTTGTTGCATCAGTAATAAAAAGACGCGCTGATGATGGTGTTAAAGCAAAAGTGGAAGATTTCTCAGAATACGTAACCGATTCATCATTCTTAAATCAATTACACAACGGTGTTAATCGTTGGATTAAAGAAATACAAAAAGTAACAAAACTAGTTCGTGACCCTTCTTCTGGTACTGCACTTCAAGAGATAAGTTTCTGGTTAAATTTGGATCGTGCTCTTCATAGGATTCAAGAGAAACGCCAAAGCATGGAGGTGACGTTAACGTTGGACATTCTAAGGATTGGAAAACGTTTTCATGCCACTGTTTCTTTCGATACTGATACAGGATTAAAACAGGCTTTGGCCACAGTTGATGATTATAACCCATTAATGAAAGACTTCCCAATAAACGATCTACTTGCCGCTACTGAGTTAGAAAGAATCAGAGCGGCGGTTCAATTAATTTTCGCACATATGCGGAAAATTCGCACCACTAAGTACCCAGTGCAAAGATGTCTTCGCCTTGTCGAAGCCATTTCAAGAGATTTAAGTTCTCAGTTGCTAAAAGTGTTGGGGACGCGTCGCTTAATGCACATCCCTTATGATGACTTTGATAAGGTTATGATACAATGCTTTGAGGTTTTTTCAACGTGGGAAGATGAATATGAAAAATTACAAAGTTTATTAAGGTGAATTTTAAATTATAACAATAAAATTTTTCTCAATTTTTAATTTTTTTTTTATTTTTCAGAGATATAGTAAAAAAGAAACGCGAAGAACACTTAAAAATGGTATGGAGAGTTTCCGCTCACCATAAAAAACTTCAATCTCGTATGGAACATATGCGTAAATTCCGTCGCCAACACGAACAACTTCGAACTGTTATAGTTCGCGTTTTAAGACCCAGTGTTCGCGAATTAGCTAATGCTGTGGAAGGTGATGAGGTAAAACAAAACGAACCGGACGCTTTCACAATGGATGCAGCGGACGCAAACGCCATTGTTGAAGTTAACTTGGCGTATGAAAACGTTAAAGAAGTAGACTGTTTGGATATAACCAAAGAAGGTCAAGACGCTTGGGATGCTGCCGTTCAACGATATGAAGAGCGTATCGATCGAGTTGAAACAAGGATTACCGTACATCTTAGGGATCAACTTGGAACAGCTAAAAACGCCAATGAGATGTTTAGGATTTTTTCGAGATTTAACGCGTTATTTGTCCGCCCCCATATTCGCGGGGCCATTAGAGAATATCAAACGCATTTAATTCAAAGGGTTAAAGATGATATTGATGCATTACATGAAAAGTTTAAGGTGCAATATCCTCAAAGTAACAGTTATAGGATCAGTAAATATAGAGATTTACCCCCTATTGCTGGCTCTATAATTTGGGCGAGACAAATTGATCACCAATTAACGACTTATTTAAGAAGAGTCGAAGACGTTCTTGGTAATAAATTTCTTTGTATAGAAAAACTTATTAAATTAATATTAAAAAAATTTTAGGTAAAGGTTGGGAAAATCATATTGAAGGCCAAAAATTAAAAGAAGACGGAGATAGTTTCCGCGCAAAGTTGAATACCCAAGAAATTTTCGACGATTGGGCCAGAAACGTACAACAACGAAATTTGGGTGTACCAAGTCGTATATTTACAATTGATGCTGTCCGTGCTAGAAGTGGACGGGGAAATGTACTCAAATTAAAAGTAAACTTCCTTCCTGAAATCATTACCCTTGCAAAGGAAGTTAGAAATTTAAAATGTCTTGGATTTAGAGTTCCTCTAGCGATTGTCAACAAAGCCCATCAAGCCAATCAATTATATCCATTTGCAATATCTTTGATTGAAAGCATCAGAACTTATGATATGACTTTAGAGAAGGTATGATCTTGTTTTTGTATTTTTTATTTCATTTCGTTTTATGGTTTTTATTAATTATATTAAAAATATTAAAAAATTTAATAATAGCTACACGCAAGGAGCAGTTCGTTTGTGAAGGTATAATGGCATGGTCAATATGTGTTTTGAAAATTACGCATGATTCTCGTAGATATGAATATGTATGTTTTTTAATTGAAAAAGGTGATGAGAATGCATGATGTCTAACAAAGATTAATATGGTGATGTGTACAAAAATATTAAAAAAAAAATCAATAGGCGATTGAAAATTCGTTGGATTAGAATTGTAACATGGATTTCTTTTCTGTACAAAGTGTATTAACATTTATTTTTAATATTAAATCCAGACAGCTATCCACACTGTTGCGTTCAGTCTACGTGGCTTTATATTTATACCAAGGACGGTAAAATCTAAGAGGATTAGGGGAATGTGTTGTACCTTGGACCATTTTATTTCTATAGCTAATATTTCAAAGTTCATCAGTTATTTATTAATCAAATCTCTTGGTTTTTATGGGTAAAAAATTCTAAAAAAAAACATTAATTTTACTTATCTACATTATTATTAACAATAATAAATAGATAATAAAATGTGACAAGTACCTACCATAATTAAAAGGATAGACATAAACTTTGAAAGTATTTCATAGATATATTTTTAATTAAAAAGCATTTAACTGAAGTCAACTGAAATTTGTTCTTCTTGTCTTTTTGACAATCTCCGTTGGTTTTAAATTAAAGAGAAATGAACACAGAACATTTCTAATTAAAATTTTTTGACTCATCTTGTAATTGTCAAAATACAAGCATAAAAATTTACTTTATGATACTAAAAACGGTAAAAAATGGGAATCCCAAACCGATCCGATATTTTTACTACAACTATGATGTAACCCCATCTGTAGGGTATACCTTCAAGTGACGTAAATATTAAATTTGTATATTCTTATTTTATAAGTAAAACTACTACCGGTCCAAGGTACAACACATTCCCCTACTACATCCTGGGAATAGCCTTACAGCTCGTTCGTGACGTCAGCGCTGAATAACAATGAAAACTAGAACTAGAAAGTTTCAGTAACATTTTAGGTCTAGTGTTAGTTCTAGTTTTACTCCAATAAAAATAGCATATGGTGTGAGAGTCTTCTCCAGATTAAGCCTTTTCAGCAAAATTATACGACGGTTTTTATATGAGTTTCAGGAGTTTATAGCAATAGTTATGAATACGCCTATAACACACTGGAAAACTTGATACACAACTCTCTAATAGTGTGAAAGAAATTTATGGGATTGATGCCTCATTCACTATATTTATTATTCAGCATACTCAATACTTGTAAAACATCTCTGCTGTTATTATATTAATTCAAACTAAATCCAGATTCCAAAATTCATCCTAATCTGTTGGATAGTTTGAGTACATTTATATCCTAAAAAGTTTTAATTAATTTTGAGATCCATTCATCAAATTTTTTATCTTCAAATCTTTATCTTATAAATACCGTGTGTTGATAATGTTTTGCCTTGGAAATACGCAGTTTGTTTCCTTCTCTTAATATTTTCGATTCTATTATTGTTATGCATAGTCTCTATATGCATGCATTTAAAATCCTTAAAACCCATTTGTGAAATAATATCAAACTAAATTTTCCTTCTTTGTCATAATATCTAATTTATTTTTTTCTAAATCTTTGAACAGCTTGAAGACAAAGCAAGTATAATCCCTCTAGTAGCCGGCACACGAAAAGAAGTTCAACAATTAATCGCGGAAGGCATCCAACTAACGTGGGAGAGCTTCAAATTAGACCCTTACGTCCAAAGACTTTCAGAAACTGTGGTTAGTTTCCAAGAACGTGTCGAAGAACTTGTTATTATTGGAGAACAATTAGAGGTCGATGTGCGTTCTTTGGAAACTTGCCCCTACTCCGCGCATACATTCGCTGACATTTTATCGAAAATACAACACGCCGTCGATGATTTATCTCTAAAACAATTCTCTAATCTTCATATTTGGGTTAGTCGATTAGACGAACAAGTCGAAAAGAACTTGGCGCATCGTTTGCAGTCTGGAATTCACGCTTGGACGGATGCTTTAAATGGGCAGAAAAAAGAAATCGATCATAGTATGGATACAGATGAACCGACACAACCCACACATAAACCCGGTGGAGATCCACAAATAAAAGTTGTTATACACGAAGTTCGGATTACGAATCAAACGATGTTTTTGCATCCAAGTATTGAAGAAGCGCGGTTTCAAATTATGCAGCAATTATTTGCTTGGGAAGCAATAGTTACTTCTCAGCAAAGATTGCAGAGTAGTCGATATCAAGTTGGGGTGGATAAACCAGTTACTGAAACTTACAGAAATATTTTAACCCAATTACCTGGTGGACCTATTCCTTTGGACGCGGGATACACAGCGATTGCCGGAAAAATTAAAGAATTACAAAAATATATGGATGAATGGTTGGCTTATCAAACATTATGGGATTTACAATCCGATAAACTTTATGGTCAATTAGGCGATGATGTTAACAAATGGATGAATTGCTTAAACAACATTAAAAAAGCTCGCGCTACGTTTGATACATCAGATACTAGAAGAGAATTCGGTCCTGTCATCATTGATTTCACAAAAGTCCAAAGTAAAGTCTCCTTAAAATACGATTCTTGGCACAAAGAAACTTTAAGCAAATTCGGATCATTACTCAGCAACGAGATGACTTCATTCCATTCTCAAATCTCTAAATCTCGATCTGACCTTGAATTACAAAGTATTGAAGCTGCGAGTACTTCAGACGCCGTTTGTTTTATTACTTACGTTCAATCATTAAAACGTAACATGAAAAAATGGGAGAAACAAGTCGAAGTTTACCGAGAGGGTCAAAGGATTTTAGAACGCCAACGTTTTCAATTTCCAAACAGTTGGCTTCACGTTGAAAATCTCGAAGGTGAATGGGGAGCTTTCAATGAAATAATTAAGCGTAAAGATTCTTCGATACAAACGCAAGTGGCTTCTTTACAACAAAAGATTGTTTCTGAAGACAAAGCTGTTGAAAATCGTACTAACGATTTCTTAACCGATTGGGAAAGAAGTAAACCTGTTGAGGGTCATTTAAGACCAGATGAAGCTCTCACACAATTACAATTGTTTGAAGGTAAATTTGCAAGATTAAAAGAAGAGCGGGATAACGTCGCTAAAGCTAAAGAAGCTTTGGAATTACAAGAACCAGGTGGAACAAGCACAAGTGAAGATCGCATGCAGGTTGTGTTTGAAGAATTACAAGATTTACGAGGAGTTTGGTCTGAATTATCGAGAATTTGGGCTCAAATTGATGAGACGAGAGAGAAACCATGGCTATCCGTCCAACCAAGAAAACTACGTCAACAATTAGACGTCCTATCAGCACAACTTAAGGAATTACCAGCTCGTTTAAGACAATATGCTTCATACGAATATGTAAAGAAAACTTTACAGACTTATACTAAAGTAAATATGATTATAGTTGAATTAAAATCTGATGCATTAAAAGAGCGACACTGGAAACAATTAATGAAACAATTAAGAGTTAATTGGGTATTATCTGATTTAACGTTAGGACAAGTTTGGGATGTTAATTTACAAAAGAATGAAGCTATAGTCAAAGATGTAATTCTCATAGCTCAAGGTGAAATGGCACTTGAAGAATTCTTGAAGCAAGTTAGAGAATCTTGGCAAACTTACGAGCTCGATTTAATTAATTATCAAAATAAATGTAAATTAATAAGAGGTTGGGATGATCTTTTCAATAAAGTCAAAGAACATATTAATTCAGTTGCTGCAATGAAACTCTCGCCTTATTATAAAGTTTTTGAAGAAGAAGCTTTAACTTGGGAAGAAAAATTAAATAGAATCAACGCGTTGTTCGATGTTTGGATTGATGTTCAAAGAAGATGGGTTTATTTAGAAGGAATCTTTTCAGGAAGTGCTGATATTAAAACATTATTGCCTGTTGAAACATCAAAATTCCAAAGTATTAGTTCGGAATTTTTAGGATTAATGAAAAAAGTTAGTAAATCTCCTATGGTCATGGATGTATTAAACATCCAAGGAGTTCAAAGGTCTCTAGAACGTCTAGCTGATTTACTTGGAAAGATACAAAAAGCTTTGGGTGAATACCTCGAAAGAGAGCGTAATTCCTTCCCAAGATTTTATTTCGTCGGTGATGAAGACTTATTAGAAATTATTGGAAACAGCAAAAACGTCGCTCGTTTACAAAAACATTTCAAAAAAATGTTTGCAGGGGTCGCCTCAATCTTATTGAACGAAGATAACACCGTGATCTTAGGAATTGCTTCCCGCGAAGGTGAAGAAGTCGAATTTAAAAATGCCGTCTCCACTGTTGAACATCCAAAAATCAACGAATGGTTAACGTTAGTTGAAAAAGAAATGCGAGTAACATTAGCATCAAACTTAGCAGCGGCCGTCCAAGACATCAAACAATTCAAAGATAACATCGACACGCAAATTTTTATGGAATGGGTTGACAAATATCAAGCGCAAATCGTCGTTTTAGCCGTTCAAATTATTTGGAGTGAAGACGTCGAAGCCGCTTTAGTTAAAATGAACAGTGAACCGCAAAAAGGACCTTTAGAAACGGTTCTTCAACAAGTCGAAAGCACTTTGAATGTATTAGCCGATTCGGTTCTTCAAGAACAACCTCAATTAAGACGTAAAAAACTCGAACATTTAATCAACGAATTTGTTCATAAACGAACTGTAACAAGACGTTTAATTTCTAACGGAGTTTGTAGTAATAAAGCTTTCGAATGGCTTTGCGAAATGAGATTCTATTTCGATCCGCGACAAAGCGAAGTTCTTAAACAACTTACAATTCATATGGCGAACGCTCATTTTTATTATGGTTTTGAATATCTTGGTGTTCAAGATCGCTTGGTACAAACACCTTTAACAGATCGTTGTTATTTGACGATGACGCAAGCTTTAGAAGCTCGATTGGGAGGATCTCCTTTTGGTAAATTATTTTTTTTTGTGTAGGTAACGTTGAATATTTTATTAATGATTAATAGGCCCCGCTGGTACTGGTAAAACTGAATCCGTGAAAGCTTTAGGAAACCAATTGGGTCGTTTCGTTTTGGTTTTTAATTGTGATGAAACGTTCGATTTCCAAGCAATGGGAAGAATCTTTGTTGGGCTGTGTCAAGTTGGCGCTTGGGGTTGTTTTGATGAATTTAATCGTCTCGAAGAAAGGATGTTATCCGCTGTTTCTCAACAAGTTCAAACGATTCAAGAAGCTTTGAAATCGCAAAAGGAATCTAATCTTGATTCTACAATGTCTAAAGCAAGTTAGTGTGCTAAATGATTTTTAATAATGATATTAAAAATGACAAAAAATAATTCTTTTTAGGTATTTCTGTAGAATTAGTTGGAAAACAAGTAAAAGTATCCCCTGATATGGCAATTTTCATCACAATGAACCCTGGATACGCAGGAAGATCAAATCTTCCTGATAACTTAAAGAAACTATTTAGATCTCTTGCTATGACGACCCCAGATCGACAACTCATCGCAGAAGTGATGTTATTCTCCCAAGGATTCAGATCAGCCGAAAAATTAGCTTGCAAAATAGTCCCATTCTTCAAGTAAATTTGAAACCATCACACAAATAACGACGTAATTAATTTTATTTTATTCTAGATTATGTGGTGAACAACTTTCAAATCAATCCCATTATGATTTTGGCCTTCGCGCACTCAAATCCGTCTTAGTATCTGCTGGAAATGTCAAACGAGACCGCATCCAACGCATCAAAGAGAACAAAAAACAACGTGGTGAAACTAACATTGATGAAGCGAGTATCGCGGAAAGTTTACCTGAACAAGAAATCCTTATCCAATCAGTCTGCGAGACGATGGTTCCGAAATTAGTAGCCGAAGATATCCCGTTACTCTTCAGTTTATTAAGTGACGTTTTCCCAAATGTCCAATACACCAGAGCCGAAATGAAAGGATTAAAAGACGAAATCCGGAAAGTTTGCGAAGAGGAATTCTTCGTTTGCGGAGAAGGCGACGAACAGGGAGCGTCATGGATGGAAAAGGTAAGTGGAAGGAAGGATTGTTTTCGTTTTCGGTGTAAAATGTTTGATTTGTACATTTTCATGACTAGCCTAAAAGAATTGTAGGAGAAAATTGGATCGTGAAGGTAAAATAATAAAAAAGTTATATACCCCCAAAATGTTGTGTGTTTATAAATGATTGAAATTTTATAATTTCATTTTCTTTAATTATTTCTTTAGGTGCTACAACTTTATCAAATTTCTAATTTGAATCATGGTTTAATGATGGTTGGTCCAAGCGGTTCTGGAAAGAGTACTGCATGGAGAGTACTTCTTAAAGCTTTGGAGAGGTTTGAAGGAATTGAAGGAGTTGCACATGTTATTGATCCAAAAGCTATTAGCAAAGAAGCTTTGTATGGTGTTTTAGATCCAAATACAAGGGAATGGACAGATGGCCTGTTTACGCACGTTTTAAGGTGGGTATCTTTAATCACTTAACAGTCGGGTTTTAATAAATTATACAGTAATTCCTCGACTTTCGCGGTTTTTTTAACGATAGCGCTTTGAGGTTTTCGACATTGGAATTTATTTAAAAAAAGATATCTAGACATGTTAGCTACTTTTTTCTAACTCTTATAGTTTTTGAGATAGCCCATTCGAACATCGAATTTGAATCATCCTGTACATACATTTTTTTAACAAAATTAATGTTTGATTTTATAATATGTATTTATCGAATTTCGACTTACATGATTTTCAATTTACGCGGTTGCTGTCAGTCCCAACTAGTAATACTGACAGTATTACTGTATATAAATTAATTCTAATAATTTATATTTGTTAATTATTCAGAAAAATTATTGATAACGTTCGTGGTGAAATCAATAAACGACAATGGATTATATTTGATGGCGATGTAGATCCCGAATGGGTAGAAAATCTTAATTCAGTACTTGACGATAACAAACTTTTAACATTACCAAATGGTGAACGTCTTTCCCTTCCACCGAACGTAAGAATAATGTTTGAAGTGCAAGACTTAAAATACGCAACGTTGGCGACCGTTTCCCGTTGCGGAATGGTTTGGTTCTCCGAAGACGTGCTTTCTACCGAAATGATCTTTGAAAATTTCTTGATGAAACTTAAATACATCTCGTTAGATGAAGGTGATGATGAAGGGTTCGGGAAGAAATCGATGGATGTCAAAGAAGATACTCTTTCCCCTAATATGCAAGTTCAAAGAGACGTGGTTAATATTCTGCAGCAATATTTAACTCCTGATGGTTTGGTGATTCGTTGTTTGGAATATGCAATGGAACAAGAACACATTATGGATTTTACACGATTGAGAGCTTTAAGTTCTTTGTTCTCTATGTTAAATCAATCGGTTAGAAATATTCTTCAATATAATCATTCCCATTCAGATTTTCCTCTACCAAACGACGACATCGAACGTTATATCCCAAAATGTTTAGTTTATGCTTTACTTTGGAGCTTCGCCGGCGACGCCAAGTTGAAGGTCCGATCAGATTTAGGAGATTTCATTAGATCTATTACCACGATTCCATTACCACCTGAAAATCAAATGCCAATAATCGATTATGAAGTCGGCATTCAGTACGTATTATTATTTTTTTTTGTTTTATTTGGATGTATGATTTATGTGATTATTTTGTAGTGGAGAATGGGTTCCTTGGTCTAATAAAGTTCCACAAATTGAGGTTGAAACCCATAAGGTTGCCTCACCAGATATTGTCGTTCCAACTTTGGATACTGTAAGACATGAATCTTTGCTTTATACATGGTTGGCTGAACACAAACCAATTGGTAAATTAATTAAGTAAATATTAAAATATTTTTTATCGTCTCGTTTTTTTAGTTCTTTGTGGTCCTCCTGGTTCTGGTAAAACAATGACACTTTTCTCAGCATTGAGAGCTCTCCCAGACATGGAAGTTGTTGGCCTAAACTTTTCATCAGCCACATCACCCGAATTACTTTTAAAAACGTTCGATCATTATTGCGAATATAGAAAAACACCAAATGGAGTTGTTTTAGCTCCAGTTCAAGTAAGTTTTGTTTTTAATAAAATTTTCTTTAAATACTAAAATTGTTTTTGAATTTTATAGCTTGGTAAATGGTTAGTACTATTTTGTGATGAAATTAATTTACCTGATATGGATAATTATGGAACACAAAGAGTCATCATGTTCTTACGTCAACTAGTTGAGCAAAGAGGCTTTTATAGAGCATCAGATCAAACTTGGGTCGCACTGGAAAGAATCCAATTTGTTGGAGCTTGCAATCCACCAACAGATCCGGGAAGAAAACCTTTATCACATCGATTTTTAAGACATGTTCCCGTTGTTTATGTTGATTATCCAGGAGAAATTTCTTTAAGACAAGTAATGAGATATATAATGATGTAATAACATTTTGGTTTTATTATAATTTTTTTTTGATAGATTTATGGAACATTTATTCGCGCTATGTTAAGATTAGCCCCAAATCTAAAAGGTTACGCAGAACCCCTTACAAACGCTATGGTCGAGTTCTACTTAGCTTCCCAAGATAGATTTACTCAAGATATGCAACCTCACTATGTGTATTCACCCAGAGAAATGACACGATGGGTGCGAGGAATTTGCGAAGCAATCCGACCATTAGACAATTTAGCTGTTGAAGATTTAGTAAGATTATGGGCACATGAAGCTTTAAGACTTTTCCAAGACAGATTAGTCGAAGATTCTGAACGTCAATGGACGAATGAAAATGTTGATGCTGTAGCTTTAAAACATTTCCCATCAGCGAATTGTGAAAAAGCTTTGGCCAGACCGATTCTTTACAGTAATTGGTTATCAAAAGATTATGTTCCGGTTGATAGAGAACATTTACGTGAATATGTAAAAGCACGTCTAAAAGTATTCTATGAAGAGGAACTTGATGTACCTTTAGTTTTGTTTGATGAAGTTTTAGATCACGTTTTGCGTATCGATAGAATTTTTAGACAACCGCAAGGCCACCTTTTATTAATCGGCGTATCAGGAGCGGGAAAGACGACATTATCAAGATTTGTGGCTTGGATGAACGGTTTATCAATTTTCCAAATAAAAGTACACAATAAATACACCGCATTTGATTTCGACGAGGATCTACGCTCCGTTTTGAGGAGGAGCGGTTGCAAAGATGAAAAGATTACGTTCATATTAGACGAATCAAATATGTTGGATTCGAGCTTCTTAGAAAGAATGAATACTTTATTAGCTAACGGTGAAGTTCCTGGTTTATTCGAAGGTGATGAATATGCTACATTGATGACTCAATGTAAAGAAGGAGCTCAAAGAGAAGGTCTTATGCTCGATTCAAATGATGAATTATACAAATGGTTCACTGGGCAAGTTATGCGTAATTTACACGTTGTATTTACAATGAATCCTTCTACTGATGGATTAAAAGATCGTGCTGCCACATCACCAGCTTTGTTTAATAGATGTGTTTTAAATTGGTTTGGAGATTGGTCCGATACCGCTCTATTCCAAGTCGGTTGGGAATTTACGAATCGTTTAGATCTTGATCGCCCCAACTGGAAAACACCAGACTTTTTCCCCGCCGCGTGTTCTTCAATATCAGCCACACCAGGTTACAGAGAAGCTGTAATAAACGCTTGCGTTTACGTGCATCAAACATTACACAAAGCGAACGCTCGATTAGCAAAACGAGGTAGTCGAACAATGGCGATTACACCAAGACATTACTTAGATTTCATAAATCATTTTGTTAAATTATACAACGAAAAACGATCCGATTTAGAAGAACAACAGTTACATTTAAACGTTGGTTTGAGTAAAATAGCTGAAACTGTCGAACAAGTTGAAGAGATGCAAAAAAGTCTTGCTGTTAAATCGCAAGAGTTACAAGCGAAGAACGAAGCTGCCAACGCTAAATTGAAACAGATGGTGAAAGATCAACAGGAAGCCGAAAAGAAGAAAGTTCAAAGCCAAGAGATTCAACAACAATTAGCGCAACAAACGATTCACATAGAACAGAAGAGAACTGAAGTTATGGCTGATTTGGCTCAAGTGGAACCAGCTGTTATTGATGCACAAACAGGTGAGTTTCAACTAATCAATTTCATTTTATAAATGAAGACTTAAAAGAATTAAGAAACGTAATTATAAAATAACTAAAAACTGTTTAGCGGTTAAATTAATCAAGAAACAACACCTCGTCGAAGTAAGATCGATGAGTAACCCTCCGCAAAGCGTAAAAATGGCGTTAGAGTCAGTTTGCTTACTACTTCATGAAAATGCCAACGAATGGCGAGCTATAAGATCGGTGATTATGAGGGATAATTTCATTGCAACTATTGTTAACTTCAACAACAATAATTTAACGTAAGGTCACATCAAAAATTTTGATGTGTGTAAATATTTTTTGGCTGCATTGTCTCTAAACCGTTCTTTTTTTGTAAATAGGGAATGGTTATTCTGTATACTATTTGAAATTTGAAAGATGAATTGATTGTAATATTAGAGTTTTCCCTGCTTATTATTATTTTAGTTTTAATGAAGAATAACAAAACGTTATCTTTAAGTTTTTCATAGACGCGTTGGTCATTTATATCGGAGATTTTAAAACGCGGGATATTTAATGATATATATCATTTTTTTTATGTTGAATTTTTATGTATTATGCGTTGAATTACAAAACTTAGTTATTGGATTCTTAATAAAGTTTTTCAGGTATGCTATTATTGACAGGAAAAGATTTAAAAAGAATTTGTTGTGTGCTTATGTTATTCCTAAATTTGTATACTCTTTAAGAAGGAACTTAGGCTGTAGGAGTTATGAAAACTCAATGCAATAATACTGTAAGTTGAGAAAATATTCTTTTTGTATTAAAAACTGTTGAAAAAGTAAGTAGAAAGAAAAGAAGAGTTGTAAAGGTTAAGAATATAAATAAAGGATGAAAAATGTGTTTCAAATAAAAGATAACTTCATTACAATATCTTTACAGGGAAAGCTATTAAAAACTTAATTAAATTATGGCAAACTGTAGCAGAGGTCCCTAAGACTATAATTTTTGTACTTTTGTCTAAACAAACCAAGAGCTTCCAAGACTAGGTTTTTTTCTGAATGTATTTTTTTAATCTATACTAGCTTTCAAAATGTCCTTTGCAATTTTTACTCCATCTTCAATCATCTTGTCATCTTTTGCCATCTAGGAGACAAATGTTAATGTTGCGTGCAAAAGATTCGAGCATCATTCTCGTTGTCATGTGCTTGAAGTTTGAGGTTGACACCTCTACAATGGAGATTTATTTAATGTAGTCCCAAATTCAGTTTATATGTGTGAATAACATATTGACATAAAGAGTTATCTTCATAGTTTGTCTCCTTAGGTTCGGTGTCAAAGCACATTAAGTACCTTAAAATTAAGGAGACGATATAAAACAAGTTTTGAAATTCAACGCCTCATATAATTTAAAGTATTTCACATTTAAAAATTGATTCATTTCCTTTACTAATAAGTTATTTAATATAAAACGTTTTAATATTCTTTAAGCTGTAAAAAAATTATTGTTCGACTATTAAGTTTTTGTTTTCGTTTGTTTTGCACAGCTGTAAAGTCGATCAAAAAGTCGCAACTGGTCGAAATTCGTTCGATGGCCAATCCGCCTGCCCTCGTGAAATTGGCCCTAGAGTCCATTTGCTTGCTGCTCGGGGAGAACGCAAGCGACTGGAAATCTATTCGCACCGTCATCATGCGCGACAACTTCATAAATAGCGTCGTATCTAACTTTAACACGGAAGACATTAGGTATGCATGTTGAAGAAAAAAAAAAGCTTTTAGTGTAGCTAATGCATTTTTTTGTTTAGTTGAATTTTTGCTTGTTTTGCCTTTATATTTTCTTTTTTATTTAAAAAATTTCGCCTTACTTAATAATTAAAATAATTTATTTTGATTTTAATAGCGATGATGTTCGTGAAAAAATGAGGAACCGATATTTAAGTAATCCCGATTATAATTTCGAGAAAATTAACCACGCTAGTAATGCTTGTGGACCTTTGGTGAAATGGGCTACAGCTCAAATCCAATATGCAGATATGTTAAAGAAAGTTGAACCTCTTCGCGAAGAATTAAACTCTTTAGAAACACGAGCGGAAACCAACAAAAGTAAAGGCGACGAAGTTAAAACATTAATTAGCCAATTAGAACAGAGTATCGCTTCTTACAAAGAAGAATATGCTCAACTCATTGCGCAAGCCCAAGCTATTAAGAGCGATTTAGAAAACGTTCAAGCTAAAGTTGACCGATCAATTGCGTTAATAAAATCATTAGTTATTGAAAGAACTAGATGGGAAACAACCAGCGAAACTTTCAGATCGCAAATGTCTACTATTATAGGGGACGTTCTTTTATCATCAGCTTTTATCGCTTATGGAGGTTACTTTGACCAACACGTAATTACCTAAATTTTTTGTTACTATTTTTTATTAATCATAATCTATTTTAGTATCGTCAAAATTTGTTTATGGCATGGAGTACTCATTTATCTCAAGCTGCCATTCAATATCGAGCGGATATTGCAAGAACTGAATATTTATCAAATCCAGATGAAAGATTACGTTGGCAAGCAAATGCTTTACCAACAGATGATTTATGTACAGAAAACGCCATAATGATTAAGGTAAATATTAATTTTTTTCACCAAAACAATTTTAATCAATCCTATTTTACAGAGATTTAATCGTTACCCATTAATAATCGATCCATCCGGTCAAGCAACTGAATACATAATGAACGAATATAAAGATAGAAAAATAACCAAAACAAGTTTCCTTGATGACTCATTTAGGAAAAATCTTGAGTCCGCGTTACGTTTTGGCAACCCACTTTTAGTTCAAGACGTCGAAAATTACGATCCCATCTTAAATCCGGTTTTAAATCGTGAATTACGCAGAACTGGAGGACGTGTTTTAATTACTTTAGGCGACCAAGATATCGATTTATCGCCATCATTCGTTATTTTCCTCTCCACAAGGGATCCAACGGTTGAATTTCCTCCAGATATTTGTTCGAGAGTAACTTTCGTTAATTTCACCGTAACACGAAGTTCGTTACAGAGTCAATGTTTAAATCAAGTTCTTAAAGCTGAACGTCCGGATATTGATGAGAAGCGATCGGATTTATTGAAATTACAAGGAGAATTCCATTTAAGATTGAGACAACTAGAAAAGTCTTTATTACAAGCATTAAACGATGCTAAAGGAAAGATTTTAGACGATGATAGTGTGATAACTACTTTAGAAACTTTAAAACAAGAAGCTGCTGAAATTGGGCAAAAAGTGGAAGAAACAGATAAAGTCATTTCAGAAATTGAAACCGTTTCGCAACAATACATGCCGCTTTCACAAGCTTGTAGCAACACTTATTTCACTATGGATAGTTTGAATCAAGTCCATTTCTTATATCAATACTCATTAAGAATGTTTTTGGATATGTTTAATACCGTTTTATTCAGTAATCCAAATCTCACGGGAATTTCCGATTATCAATCCAGACTTAACGTAGTGACTAAAGATTTATTTGCTGTCGTTTATGATCGTGTAGCACGTGGAATGCTTCACACAGATCGACTTACATTCTCATTATTATTATGTAGAATTCATCTTAAAGGCGTTCCAAACGAACCTAATTTAGATCAAGAATTTAACTTCTTTTTACGTGGTAAAGAAGGGGTTTTTAACTCGATAAATCAAGCTGAAATCGATGGAATCGACAGCGAACAACAAGAAGCAATGACACGATTAGCAAATAGACTTCCACCATTTAGAAAATTATACGAAAAAATCCGCGAAATGCCCGAATTCGGAGCTTGGTTACAACAAGGTACCCCAGAACAAAACGTACCAAGATTATGGTCAGAAGAGAAACCTTTAAGCCCTATTGGAACCGCGATGTATCAATTACTTCTAATACAAGCGTTTAGACCCGATAGGATAATTGCGGCTGCGCAGTTATTTGTCTCGGCGGTTTTAGGTGATACATTCATGTCAACAGCTGAAAAAGAATTGGACTTTGCTGCTGTTGTTGAAAAAGAATTACAAGCTGGAATCCCCGCTTTATTATGTTCCGTTCCTGGGTATGATGCATCAGGTCGCGTTGATGATCTCGCTGCAGAATTAAATAAACAAATTTCGAGTATTGCTATTGGTTCAGCTGAAGGATTTAATCAAGCTGATAGAGCTATTAATATGGCATGTAAAACTGGAAAGTAAGTATAAATTGTTTTCTTGTTATTTGGCACAACCTAACCACAAAGAATCTGTTATATCCTCAAAATTTTCGCACTAAAATACGAATTTAATCTAATTTCAGATGGGTACTACTTAAAAACGTTCATTTAGCACCCCAATGGTTAGTTCAATTAGAAAAGAAACTTCATTCCCTACAACCTCACTCAAACTTCCGATTATTCCTAACAATGGAAATTAATCCAAAACTCCCCGTAAATCTCCTCCGCGCGGGAAGAATCTTCGTTTATGAGCCACCACCAGGTATCAGAGCAAATCTATTAAGAACATTCAGCACGGTTCCCGCAAGCAGAATGATGAAAGCTCCCAATGAAAGAGCACGCCTCTATTTCCTTCTTGCATGGTTCCACGCAATCGTACAAGAACGTTTACGATATGCCCCATTGGGTTGGGCAAAATATTACGAATTTAACGAATCTGATTTGAGAGTGGCGTGCGATACTTTGGATACTTGGATAGAAGCGACTGCAATGGGTCGTACTAATTTACCACCGGAGAAAGTACCATGGGATGCTCTTGTTACGTTATTATCGCAGTCGATTTACGGTGGTAAAATCGATAACGATTTCGATCAACGTTTACTCCAATCGTTCTTATTAAAAATGTTTACCCCAAAGAGCTTTGAAAGCGATTTCCCTCTTGTCGCTCATGTTGAAGGTGGCGATGGAAACATAACGATGCCAGATGGGACGAGAAGAGATCATTTCTTAAAATGGATTGAAGCGTTATCTGATCGGCAAACACCTTCTTGGTTGGGATTGCCGAATAACGCGGAAAAAGTTTTGTTAACGACGAGAGGTACAGATTTAGTCAGCAAGTTACTGAAGATGCAACAGTTAGAAGATGATGACGAATTGGCGTATACTGGTGATGATGCATCGCCAACAGGACCGGCACAAATCGATGGAAGACCATCTTGGATGAAAACGTTACACAATTCCGCATTAACTTGGTTACAATTACTTCCGAAATCTTTGCAAACGTTAAGAAGGACTGTAGAAAATATTAAAGACCCGTTGTATCGATATTTTGAAAGGGAGGTTAATTGTGGATCTAAACTTTTAGTTGATGTTAACCACGATCTTAATGACGTGATTTTAATTTGTCAGGTAAAAAAGTTTTGTTTTAAATTATCTTGTATTTATTTTTAATTATTGTATCTTTTATATAGGGTGAAAAGAAACAAACTAATTATCATAGAACCATGCTTGGAGAACTTGTAAGGGGGATAATCCCCGCTAATTGGAGAAGATACACAGTTCCACGTGGATGCACTGTAATTCAATGGATAACAGATTTTAGTAATCGTGTTAAACAACTTCAACAAGTTTCACAACTTGTATCTTCATCTGGAGCAAAAGAATTACAAGTAAATAAAACGGTATTTATTATGTAATAATTAATTATTAAAATTAATTTTTTTAGTGGTTTAACGTTTGGTTGGGTGGTCTTTTCAACCCTGAAGCTTATATAACAGCAACGAGACAATGTGTAGCACAAGTTAATAGTTGGTCTTTAGAGGAACTTCAGTTAGAAGTAACAATTTGCGATAACGTCGAATCAACGGCAAACGATTCTTTTGCAATAACGGGATTAAAATTGCAAGGAGCTAAAAGTCGAAATAACCAACTATTGTTGACTTCCAGTATAATGTTGGAACTCCCATTAACTTTATTACGTTGGGTTCATGTAACCGGAGATTCGAAACATACAAATGGAAGATTATCTTTGCCGGTTTATTTAAATTCGACGCGGACCGAATTGTTGTTTACAATCGATTTGAACATAGCACCTGGTCAAGATATTCATAGTTTTTACGAACGAGGCGTTGCTTTATTAGCTTCCACCGCACTTAATTAACTTATATTAAATTATTTTTGTTAGATATATGGTAGCTTTTTAGCTTTTTTTTAATAATAACAAGTATTTTAGATTTGTTTCGAATGTTATTGAAATGATGTAAAACTTTTAAGGGTAAAGTAATAAGGGAATCATCTCCAGGACTGTGATCGCTTTTTTGCATTTTTGAGAACTTCTTTTTTCTTTTTGTATTGTACTATTTATCATGTGATGTTTTTGCTCTTGATTGTTTTACAATAAGTTAGTAACAATCGAAATAAACAATTTCATTATTTCTTAGCAGCTAATGAATTAATGAATAAACTTGTCATTTCATGTGGGACTTTTTTGCTTTAATGGGAAATTATAAAGTATTATCAAAAAGTGTATACAATAAATTAATTAAACAAAACGTTAACTAAAACATTTATTTAATAAAGTATGGGGAATAATATAAATAAATACAATAATTTTGAAAACTACATCATTTCCCCAATTCAAATTAACACATCTTACTAAGATCAGCTCTTCTAAGAAAATCTTTCGCATTAGCATGCACATAATAATCTTGTAGCCGTGGTTCAATAAGTTCACCTTTATCGTCTTTATAGATAGGCTCCCCATATAACGTGCCAACTACCCATCCATCCACATTTTTCATCAATTCCCTTTCTTCATCTCGATTGCGTCTAAGTTGTTTTAAGTACTCACGATCGCGTTCCGCCGTTAATAACGGGGTTAATGCAAATCTAGCAGATCGTTCTTCGATGTCTTCTCGATGGACTTTTTTGCAGGTTAAATAATAGACGTAAGCTGCTCCTGCGGTGACACCAAGATAACCTGCAATCATAGTGAAACCGCTGAAGTAAGTTTTCGCAGGGATCCGTTTAAAATTAATAGGTTTGTAGCCTCCCGGGGGAGGCATATCCTGTCGCTTCACTATTGCGGACATCGTGATACGATTTTATCCGGAGCTTCTTTAAAAAGAATCGCTGTTTGTTATTACGTAAAATGTTAACGAATTTGACAGATAAGATTTGCGATTTTAGGTTAGGAAATTATAAAGACGTGTGCGACATCTAAAGTGATAATAATAAGTTAACTTAATGTTAATGACGCTAATAACAAAGCGATTAAAATCAAATGATATGCGTTTAAATTAGTTTTACGTAATTTATAATTATTTAAAATTTAGAATGAAAAGTGGTATATTAATAAAAAAGATATCGGTAAATTAGTAAAATGTTAATACAGAAAACTGTAAAATTTGACAGCTTAAATCTGTAATGGCGGAAATATATGGGACAATAACATCTTTCTGTATAGAATTAACTCTTTATTTTCTATAGCAGGTACATTTTTTCGTGTGCAAACGATAAAATCAAATTCGCAAAACGGATAATTCGAGCGAATATTCAACTGCAAGAACGGAGATAAAAGTGCATTTAAGCCAACACAGTGTCTATGATGTTATTTGTATTTTTTGTGCTGTTAAGTTAATACGTACGTTAAAAGAAACCGTTAAAAATAGTACTAAGCGAGCATTTCCAACACGAGCTACCCTGAGGTCTCGTTATGCTAGAGAGTGGTGCCCCACACACAAGATAGCTAATGGCGAATTTGAACTTTTCGAGAAACATTGGAGGCAACAGCCTCGGCCGGACGAGTATGAGTTTTGGAGGTAATTCCATGTCCGGGCACGTTACACCTGTGTTCGGGCAACGGGGGCCTTCGGATAGAAGAGGAATACCCAGTATAGGGTAAGCAAATATATCTAATATAAATATTTTCCACTATTTAAAATTAATTACTTTATCCACATTTTTTAGGTTATTAAGTAAGAAACGTAATGTTTACATTTTCTTTTGGATAATTAGTCATAATTACTAGATACCTTTTTATTAAGTTACCACTTTTAGACTTTGAACTGTTGTAAATGTGTTATAATGTTTTAGAATCTTAATAAAGTAATTTTAAGTGTAGATATAGGATTCATCAAAATAATTAAGAAATTTTAGTGCCATTGAAATATTGGATTCAAATTGGAATTATTAAGCAAGGTGAATTGGTGCAATCTTATTTCCATTATTCCACAACTTTAAAGTTATGAAACAAAGTATCTTTTTTTGAAAGGAAACATTAAGAAGAATTTGTATTGTTCATATTGCTTTTTTAAACATATATCCTTTGATTATATTGTGGTTGTCATCTAAATCTTCAAAATTGGTCTATCTTTAGTTTTCTCTTTAATTCAGGACTACATACTGCAGCCAGAGGTCTATATTCTGATAGCAGAAAACTATATACTATGGGAAATGACTAGGTACTGTCGGTAAAAGACTAGTTACTGTTAATACTAGCAATAAAAGATTATATACTGCTGCCAGAAGACTACATACTGCTCCCAGAGGTCTAGATTCTGAAAAACTATACTATTGGAAATGACTAGATACTCTCAGAAAGACTAGTTACTGTTAATGATCCAAATACAGGTTATAGACTTAATACAGGCCTGATAGAAATATAAAATAGACTGATGGACTCTTGCTGAATTTATCATAATGGAGATATGATGCTAATTTAAATACTTGATGCAACATAATGTCTGAATGGAGATTTTATGGTTCTTTCAATGAGTCATGATGCAACTGGATTTAATGTGGTCTGAAATTTTTGATATGGATCTGTCTCATTGCAGTCTTTAGGCAGACATGATAAAGATTTAAAGTAGACCTAGTTGAGGTTTAACACCTAGTAAGTCAGTAGACACCTTGGACATTTAACATAGATTTCAAAGATTAGATACACTCTGAAATGTTGTAAGGTACACCTTAAACACTCTATTTATCAATTTGAGTTAGCCATAGACCATATACTGCATAACCACATTGAAAGTTGAAGAGCATCTAAGACTCACAGAGTGTCTCTGCTTATTCTAGGACAGATTACATATTGATAGTTATAAAGAGATGTTAAAGACATTGTTGTTATTATGTTCTCTGATCTGTGTCTTTTGGTATAATTTTTTTTTCTTTTATATAATTTTGATTCATCACTCCATACTTCATATCAAATTGTTTCCCTGCAAATTTGCAGAGACCATTCCTAGGGACTTCTCCCTCTGCTTTCACTCATAATATCCAGTGGGTGTCTTCCTAGGGTCGTTCTATGACTAATTCCTTATTTTAGCTCACTAAGCTCTTCTAGGCTAGCTTAGGACTGCTAAGGGCCCTCCAACAGAATTCGAATTATAATATTATTTCATCAATGACGAAGAAAGTTATGGAAAAAAACTAGAATGCAAATAACTTCTGTTTGCTCACAATGTATAAATTGTATATAAAAAGTACTTCTTATCTACTAAAATAACACAGGTTTCCAAACAATTTTATGTCACCATATGTAATTAATGATTACACATGGAATAAAAGAATACATTTATAAAGATGTTGAAATGTTGCTGAATTTTGGTTGTCAATAACATATTTTGTAATGCTTAATACATTCCAAATCCTTTTCGCTCTTAACTTGATGATATAATTTAATATTTTCCATTATCATCCTTTCGTCCATTTCCTGGAAATTCTTCTCAACACTTTTATTTTTTCGAAAAAATGAATTGATTAACCCACAAAAACAGCACGTTATTTTCTTAAAAAAAAACCTGCCAACCACAAACTTCAAAATTAAATGTCTGACGTTGACGTTTTACTTGAAACTTGCTTCAGAAACAACAGCCAAATGGGCAACATGAGCGCCCTGGGCGGCTACGGCACGATACACACCGTTTTCGGATCGGGGGACACCAACACGCCCCCGCTGCTCGATCTCAACGAATTCCCTTCGCTGACGAACCGAAACGCCGGCGATAACGTACCCCAGCCGAGCCCTATGCCCGGTACCAAACCGTACGTGGGGATGGTAAAGCAGCCGACGCTGGAGTCCAGCGAATTCACCATGTCTTCAGAGGATTTTCCCGCGCTGCCTGGTACTCAGAATCGGGAAGGAGCGTCGCCAGGCAGTAATGTATCGGGGGATAAGGGAAACGGAGGCGCCGGAGATGGTGGTAGCGAAAACAGATCATCCGAGAGTAAAAATTCTAAAACAGGTGGTGAGTTTTGAGTTTACACAAAATATTATTATTATTTTTATTGTTTAATTAATTGTTAGGGATTTATTATGTTGTTTTTGAGATTTTAAACAACGTTTAAATCTTTTTTATCTTGATAGAAATGTCATCATATGTTGATAAGTATTTGATAAAGGTTGTGGAAAATTTTATTTAATTTGAAACGAATGTTTAAATTGTAAATTAAACTTTACTTAATTGAGATAATCAATTTAGATAGACAACATTTCTTAACGGTATAATTGACATTACAAAAGAAAACTGACCTTACTCAACATTACTTCACGGTATAATTGACATTACAAAAGAAAACTAACCTTACCTAACACAACTAACCTGTATTACATTCAGTACATGTTTTTGTACATTTGGATGAAGTGGTAAAATGGGTTTACCTTTTTGCAACTGTTCTAGGAGTGTAAAGGATAACATTATAAATTAGAACATTGCAGAGCTTTTACAGAGTTTTTGTAATGTAAATGAAATTGGATCTTCTTAGTTCCTTTGTTACTATCTCGACCCCAAATGTAATTGTGTTAACTTTAACACGTTTAATGCCGCTGTCGCTTATAAGCGATGATTAGCTAACTGCGCTAATTGGTTTCGAAATTAGAGCGGCATCCAACGTGTTAAACTACCTGTATTTGCAATTTCTTCTCTTCTTCTTCTTGTACTCTACAGGGTGATTCAAGAAACCGCTGACAGACTTCTAGAGTAATACATCAAAAATTAAGATGAAAAGTTTGAATATACATGGGATGTTTTAAACAGAATTTAAACATTATCTGCAATAAAGAGCCCTTTTTTAAAAATGTTTTCAACTCCGCTGCTAATTTTGTCAAACGGGCAGTATTTTCGTGTAAAGTGATCAATTATCTATCAATTGGCCCCTTACAAATCTTTGATTACAGCAACAGTTTTTGGTTGAATTAACAATTTTTCTACAAACGTGTTTTTCTTAAAAACTATTGCTTTGATCAAAGTTTTGTAAGAGACCAATCGATAGATAATTGATCACTTTACACGCGTAGAGAGCAATGGCGTAGACAATATTTTAAAAAAAGTTCTTTTTATAGCAGATAATGTTTAATTTTAAAGAAACTTTGATCCGCTATATCTCGCCAACGAGGCATTTGCGACCCCATGTATATTAAGATTATTCATCTTAATTTTTCATGTATTATCTACTCTAGAAGTCTGTCAGCGGTTTTTTGAATCACCCTGTATAATCTAGAGACGTAGCTGGGATGATGAATTCCAGCTTTCATACCACCTTGCAATTGTGCTTGCAATTTGACTACAAAAATTACGGTATGAGACGCAAACTTTAAGTATATTACTTTTGATAGATAATACTGATTAGCAATTAACATTTGTTTAATCCTATCTTCGAAATTGTGATTGTCTAACTTAGATACGAGTGAAAATTTTTTCACTCACTCTAATGTTTTTCAACCACCTTTAGCTAAATATAAAACCTTTAAAGGAACAACTCTTTGTTTAAACGTAACGGATATTAACTAAAAAACGGTGGACAGCACAGTCCAGGATATTTTTCGGGTATATCTTCCTGCAGCCAAAATGTTTGATATCCTCTTTTAAACTTCACTTTCAGCTCCTCATTGGTGTTAAGCTCGAGTAGCTCCTCTTCTAATACCACATTCTCCACGTTTCATCAAATGGATTTATGATCATGGTGGTATTTCCATTGTCAGAATATCTTCAAATCTGATTTTGAAGTCATCCTACACGGCAATTAATTGTTGAATGTTGTATGTCTGAATATCCTATTCAAGCCATTCTACCTTGTGACAAGTTTGAAAACTGGGAAAATTCGCGCCGACTAATATTTTGCTTCATAAATTTCAATTTTCCAACAAAGGCTGAAACTACACCCTTTGTTTTTATTAAATTGAGGTTGTCCCCTTGTAATTGTAAGGTGATGATTAAATTTTTTGAACAAATCTGTCAAATACGCGATATCTGCTTTCAAATTTATAAGGTTTTCTTTTAAATCTGGGTCTTTACTTTCCAGAAACTCTAACACTGATTCAAAAAGTGAATAAAATCTTGTTAAACATGCACTTTTCGACAACCAGCGTACTTCAGTATATAAGAGTAATCGTTGGAAGTCTTCATCATTTTCATCGCACAATTGTGCAAATAAACGCGTATTCAATGCATTGCTTCTTATTTTGTTAACTGCATTAATCGCAAATTGAAGTGATGGGTGCAATCTATCACTCAAATTTTTCGCTACTAGATGTTGTCGGTGGATGACACAGTGAATTGCAGTTACCTCTGGTATAATTCTTAAGTTTTTACAAGTAACAGTCGCTGAGCTTCTTAAAATATTATCTGCCTACATTGATAGGCGAAGTCAAGCCAACATTTTAGTTCTTCACTATCGAAACCAGAAAAATTTTCGTAAAAACGCCAACGTAGAGCCCCGTGGAGTCTCTCGTGGACCCCTGGGGGTCCACCTGGACCACTTTGGGAATCAATGCTTTAAAGGAACAACTCTTTGTTTAAACGTAACGGATGTTATCTAAAAAACGGTGGACAGCACACGTGGAAAGTTCGTGTGGAAGTATTCATTTTAATCAATTTATTAATTTTATGCATAATGATGACAATTAACAATTTGACACAAATGGTTGTTTACATTTATCAATTAAGAGCGTGACAATCAATGGCAATGTCAAAAACTGCTGTCGTCGGTGACATGTCGACATGAAATTACTCAAGAATCAAGGACAGTAGAATCTAACAGGACTGCTACATCCATTGTTCTGACAACCTGCCCGCAAACTACGTCACACCATTTTCCACTCCCAGCTGTTGTTATGGTCTATAGTTCGTTTTTTTTTCTATAATACTTGTCAATGTAAATTATTTAGAGTTTCTGTTGGTATTATCTAGGACCCTTACAAAATTTATGTTGTTTTCCTGATTTTTAGTAACATTTTCAGTAACTAAATAGTTGAGGTTAAAATACTAATAAATTTTTAGATAAATACGATTTTAACGAAGTACATATTTGTTGTAAAAACGTGCTACAAAGTAATTAATAGAATAAAATACCTTTTCTAGGTAAATAAATGGCAAATAAACACCCCACAACACTTTTTATGCACCTTTTCTTTTTGAATAACGAAAGCTCAAACGTCAATGTGACATATTTACTTCAAAACATGATAAAACAAAACTCCCTGTTAATTTTGCCAACTTTACAACAAATTGACAGGTATTATAGAAAAAAAATGAACTATATGCGTTTGCTGTGTATTTTTAGAGGTTATATCCTAGACGTATTGATATTATTTTTGAAGTTTTATGTTTTTAGACGTATTAATGTCTATCATATAACCTCTAAAAACGCAGACAGTTACCAGGCGTGGCAAATAGTCTGACGTAGAGTGCGGGCAACCAATCCCTAGTGGACTACAAAAATACAATGGATGTAGCAGTCCTGTTAGATTCTACAGTCCTTGCTCAAGAATTATCGAATTTTAAGACGGGTTTTCTCTAAATAGTAGGATTGAACAAAACGCTATACAACACACGTGGGAAACTAATATTTTCCAGTAACTTGTATGTTTTTCAACACTCACCTTTGGCTCGTATGGACTGACATACGCGTTAATGAAAAATCATAGTTTCCTCACGTATACTGTAATACACTATTACTAGAGCTCGGACTTTTATGCAGTCAAATTATAGGAAATATGCGCATAAATATGCAAGCTTTTTATTCGAAATTTGCAAAAAATATGCAAAAATATACCTTTCTTATAGTTGTTATCAATCGATTTCTATCACATTTTAGTATATATTTTGCACTTTTCACATGTTGTTCTATTTGGGACTTCTTCTCACACGTTATCTTAAAAAAGAATATTTAAAAAAGTTAGCCATAGATATTCTAACAGATTAAATATTTAAATCTGAGAAGAGAATCCAAGAAGATGGGATATCAAATTTAATATAGTTTTATTTAGTTTTAATTTAACAGTTTTTCATTTTATTTTAACTCCTAGTGTAAAAGTCTATGAGAAATACAATTTCGTTGTCATCAAAACATTGGCAACTCCGCTGAAAACTCTAATTTTTAACTTAAATCTTTGGCTAAAACGCTACGACATAATTTTTAAAAAAATATTTACAACTTTTGCATCAGTTTTACAAAATAATTCCTCATTATTAAAATATAGTTCGGGATAACTTTTTATTCACTGGGACACAAGGCACGATATCACTTTAGGCATTGTTGTTCTAGATTGGTAGATTAATGTTCACTCACACTGAACACAGCCACAGTAACTATGGTTGTGGATTTCCTTAAACTTAAACTCAACAGTGCAAGGGATTCCCCGCACATTTTTGTGAATCGTTGTAAACAAGAAACCAACCCGCAATCAAAAAATATCCTGTATAGTGCTTTAAACTAAACTCGCATATTTAAAAATCACGCAGTCATTATATTTATTTTATTAAACAACAAGAAACAAATCTAGTAAAATGACAAAGTATGCAATTTTTTTATTGTACCATATGCCTTATTTTATGTACTTCGCCCAGAAACCAATTTTGAAAAATATTCCAGAAAATAAAGAAGATGCATTTTGCATAAAATCCGAGTCCTAACTATTATACAGCCCCAGTAATCTAAAGACCTAGGTTCTATCTTCGTTGGTCTAATTTAATCATATAGTTTGTTATTCACAAAATATTTAACTATTTCAAATGTATAATATTATTTTCCCAAATCACTATAGTTTTTATTAATCGTTTAGATTTAAACGTTTTTCAAACAACAATTATGCCTTATCATTATTTATCTCCAATTTCTTATTTGAAAACAAAACTGACGTATCGTGACTTTGAACCAATGTCATTAGTTTTTCTCACCTTTCTCTAAAAAAAAAGTGAACCAACGATTCAAAAAATAAAAAAGGTAAGCTTTAACTTTGATCGTACAATTTTTACTCGACGCTGGTTATGAAACATCCAATTTAGTTCCCGCTCAAAACAAGTAAAAGATAAACGTTAGAGATGTTTTACGATTTTGTGTTGTCATTATAACATTACTTTATAAACTGTATTTGCAAATAATTAAGTGTTGTGATTTATTTATTAGGAATTCAAACTTTTCCTGATGGCAAAGTGACGAATATACCGGCGAGTATGGTAAACGACCAATTCGGAATCGTCGGTTTGTTAACGTTTATAAGGGCGGCGGAAACGGACCCAAATTTAGTGTCCCTCGCGCTCGGTCAAGATCTCACCGCATTAGGACTGAATCTCAACGCGCCAGATAACCTGTACCCTACATTTGGAGGTCCGTGGTCGGAGCAACCGTGTCGACCGCAGGACATCGACTTTCACGTTCCTCCTGAATACTTAGTCAACAGTGCAATTAGGTAAGCTAAAAATTGACTTTCCTATATTTTTAATAAAAAAAAAAAATAATAATTTCAGGGATAAATTGGCATCTGTAAAATTAAACCGGTATAAAGACGATTTGTTATTTTTTATGTTCTACAATAATATCGGGGATGTACTTCAAGTGGCTGCTGCAGGAGAACTGTAAGTATAAATAACTTATTTAAATCGATCTAACTTTTTTTTGTTATAGTTATAGTCGAGAGTGGCGTTATCACATGGAAGAAAAAGTGTGGATAACGCAAGTGCCGGGTATGAGTTTGGTTGAGAAAACATCAACGTACGAAAGAGGGACGTATTACTTTTTCGATGCGCAAAATTGGCGGAAAGTGGCAAAAGAGTTCCGGCTGGATTACAGTAAATTAGAGGGTAGACCCAACATCCATCCGGCGTGAAACGGCGCCGCCGTTCGCCCCCACCCCCCTCTCCCCCGATTATAAATAAATGAAAAGTGTATACAGCATGTAACGAATGCGTTGTTCTAGGATAAGAATAAAAAAACAAAAAGAAGAAACAATAAAACAGGGCGTCTAATAAACGAGTGTCAATAATAAAAAATGAATAGTAATTAGTGAAAATCGCTCGTTTATAAGACGGATGTTTTAAGTATTACTGAAAGGATTAAAGTTATAATAATGATACAGTTTTCATTTTATTTGTAAATTACTTGTACATTAATAAATAATATTGAGAATAGCCAGAAAGTATACTCAATATTTTTTTCTTTATCTTTTTTTTCTTTGTGAATTAAATTGATTTGGTTTTGTACTTTTTAGTAAAATAATTATGATCCTAAAGGTTTATTTGTTTTTTGAAATTATTTATTTGTCCTATTATTATTTATGTAGTTTCTTTTTGTAGTCTAATTTTTATTTAATTCCTTTTAAACCTTTATAAATACGTCTAATTCTTATTTATTATTTATTTATAAACTAAAAATTATTTAAGAAAGTCATCTTATTCAGTATCAATTTGGTGAGATTTATGAAATCTATCATGTTGGTGTACGACTAGTTCTTCTACTGGATAACAGATGCCTATTACTGCTGTTATTATTTGCAGAACTAAGGTATCAAATAAAAGTGAGGTTAACTTCAATCTATGGCAATATCAGGCAATATTATAGCCTTGTTTATAGAGATACATGTAATGTCATGTATATCTTTATCTGTATTTTCAATCTAGGGCAACATCAAAATTATATTTTTTTTTAGTTAACAATTTCAAATTATTTTTTAGTTTTTGCTGGTTTTATCTATCGGATAAATTTAACAGGAGTTGGTAAAAGTGGGCCTTCTAAAATCGTAGGTAAATGCAAAGCAATAGATATACTTTTACGAGGAGTACATAAAATTGAGGAGGCAACTCAAAATTTCCCGCCGAAACATTAATATAGTTGTAACCTAATTCGTTTCAGTAATTCTAATAACTCAGGATGTTATAATACCCCGATTATTTCAAAAAATTATCTTTTAAGTAAATGTCATATATGAGTATTCCTCTATATTAAGATTTTATTTCAATCCTATTTGTTACAAATTATTACTTAAAACTTAATCCAATCAAAATTGTTGCCACCTCTTGGTAATTTAGATACTTTCTCGATATCATGTGCTCCTGATAGCGACGGAAATTTTCCCGCCAAAAATTTGTGACTTCCTCGCTGTGTACTTCTTTAATCTTATATGCTCCTAATAACATAAAAGAAGTTCTGAGTCCTCCGTTAGTCGCGCATGTATCCAGCAGATGCATGAAATTTCTGTTTAGTGATAATTGATTTTACGGCAACTGTTCAATGAAAAAAATTGCGGTAAACTTTGTTATAATCACTGATACTATATTAACGTGAATTTGGAAATTTTTGACCCTCAGTTATTTTTATATAGCTAGTTAACTATAAAAAAAACACCCGATTTTTGAGATTGCCGTAAATTACCGACACTTTATGAATTTTTTTATCAAAAAGTATAAGACGAAAAAATTTTGTATTTCAACAGGTGGTAACATAATATGTTCTGAATGCGAGGCATATTTTGTATAGTTTCGCGAATTCTCGCGGTTTAAGAGGATGCTGTTATTTCAAAAACGGCTGGACGGATTTTAACGCTTTTTTCATTGAATTGTGTGCAATAACTTTGTATGTCGAATTCCGGTAATAGTTTTTTAAAATTAAATTTTTCTGTTTTTTTAGAGCGAGTAAAGTGTGTGAAAGAAATCTGAATTAGAGAAACCAGAATGACCACACCAACTTAGTTTTTTCCTCTCTATTTCCTGTACCAGGGGGTTTAAGCTTAGTTCTTCTTTGATGTTCTTGTTCCGTACCCTATCTCTTCTGATTTTCCCCAATATCTTGCGTAGGTACTTCATCTCCGCTGCTGTTATTTTCGATTTGTACTCGTCCAACATCGTCCAAGTTTCTGATTCATAATTAAGTGTGGGTATATAAGTTCCTTCTTGCCTACGAGGGTTTTGTTTATTTGATAGTAGACTGCACTTGCTTTTGGTGTTCTGTTGCGTATTTATTGATCGTTCCATCCTTACTTATTATGATTTCCGAATATTCGTACTTTTCTACCACGTCCAGTCGTTGCCATTATTCTTATTATTCCATATTTGGATGTTTCTTTGTAGAACATCTACTCTGCCTGACATTATTACAACGTCGTCCGCGTATTTAAGGTCTCGAGTGTAGATTGGGGTTAGGTTGTGGTACCCCAGTCTTGTTTGCGTAGTTTGTCTGACTTGCTTTATTATTCTGTCGATGTATGCTACAAAAAGTAATGGACTTAAACTGTCAACCTGTTTTACTCCTTTTTTCATTCTAAACACTTCTAACGTCTTTCCATTCGGTCTAACCCTTCCCATTACGTTATGGTATAAGCTTTTGATTGCTCTTTTTAGTTTTGGATTTGTCCCCAGTTCGCTTAAAGCTTCCCATATATGTTGTCTCGGTACCCGGTCGAAAGCTGCTTTTAGGTCTAGGAAGGCCAAATATATTCCTGTCCGTTGTTTTTTCTATTATTGTCTTGTATTTGTGTGTTTGACCGGAACGCCGTTTGTTTCTCTTCGAGTTTTTCTTCTATCTGGGTTCTCAGTTTTTCTAGAATTTTTGAGCCAAACAAATTGCTTTGTAGTTTTTGCAGTTGTTTGTTTCCCCCTTTTTATGGATTAGCACGATTATATTCTTTTCCCATTCGTGGGGTATTATAATTCAGTATTGCAGAATATTTGCCTCAGGTATAACTTTCTCGTTTAGTGTTTTGCTTAGGGCTAATTCGCAACACTTAATTATAAATTTATTTTTTTTTAGGAAAGGTTTTAGATAAATAAAACGCATAAAAATTGAATAAGCTCATTTAGTCATCATTGTATGTATGTAGAAGCAGTACACATGACTAAGTAAGGAATCTCGAAGAAGATAGGAGGGACAAAGACTCACAGTGTGTATTTTAGAATACGTTTCGTGACAGATCGTGTACGCGATTTATTTTATTAATTTTTTTTGATTGGAACACTAAAATTTATTATTGTTTCGGTTTTTGTTTAATATTCATTTTATTAATCGGCTTTTTTTTGAATTATTTTATTTATAAATATGTACGTTCAACTAGGCTTCAAAAAGGCATTAATTTGATCGTGCTCGGTTTATAATATTTTGTTTCTACCAACAATTCTCGGGTATCGATCTTTCATTTCGGTCGTTTACGGCAGTTTGCAACCCTTATTGCTACTTAACGCAGTTTTTATCATTTCCTTTTTATAACCGCCGTAACAAAGATATCGTTTTTATTATAAATTTTTTTGTCTGGATCATTTTATAATAGTTCAGAGGAAACATATACCACAGTAAACAAACAACATTCAGGTGACGAATAACACATACGTATTTATAATCGGATCATATTTTTTTTCTCATTGGTGTATTTTTGTTCATTTCACCATTTTATTAAATTGCATTTTTTTAATAATTATACACAAATCTAATTCTACACATTTAAAGATTTTGTTTTAACTTTTTTTTTTTTGTAATGTCGGAAGTTGTGCCAAGAGGTTGTTGTGTAAATGCGTGAATGGAGTTTGTTAGATTCGCTATTGTGCCCAGACACGTGAATTTAATACTGTTACTATTTTAAGGGAACTTTTTATGTTACTGTGCAAACACTATAATAAGAAGGGGACTAGATTACGACTAATACATACAACCATTTTATATTATACATATAGTTTTTACCGGAAATGTTTTCTTACAGATCATTTAAGCGCCTTAATCTATAATGTTATTTTTATCTGTTCTATTAAAAAAATCTAACAGACTCCATAAAATTATGAAAATTTAAATAAATCTTTCTTTTTAATTTCTTTTAATCTTTTCAGTCAACCTGACATTGCATTTTAAGTCTTGATATGGACCTGAAACACTCAACACGTCACAAATTCGTATTAAAACAGTCAATTGCACATTCATAAATCTAAGCTTCAATTCTTTCATTCCTTTTTTGAAACCGATAGTGATAATTGTTAAATATTAAAATGGTTTTATTTTATTTTCTCCCAATTTTTCTTATTTGCTTTAAAATGATTATTTTTTTTGTCTTCTTGATATGTAACACAATTTTATTGCAAAAATTTATTTTTAATTATCACTATTGGTGCCAAATTAATTATTTATGTTCGAATGTGCAAAGTCGTTTCACATTTATTACAAGAGATTTCGGGGAAAAATCCACATAGTAAATATATATTATTATTTATATATAAATTACATTAAATTCGTATGAAATAAGTAGTTCAGATTAGAAGTTCGCTTGATTTTAAACGATTTTTTTTATTATTTTTTTGATAGTCGATAAAAAATTTCGCCAGCACTTTTTTGATTGATTTTGTGTATCGATTTTTCCTCATTTTAACCTTTTTTAGCTCCGACTTAAATGTACACTTTGAACTCTGTATAATCGCCGCCTGGCAGTCACGGTTATACTCTATATTTAATAAATGGCATCTTATAAGAATAACATTTTAACAGTCGTATCAGATCTACAGATAAATTTTTCTCTTAAAACAAAATAAAATTAATTTTTAAATAAACGGCCGCTACCTAAAAACATTTGTACTAAAACATAAAATGAACAAAATAAAATCAGATCAATAAACAATATGAATACTATTTTTAACAATCAAACAAAAAAATAATAATACACTTAAATTGTATGCTTAAATTTCTAAAAAGAAAGTCGTTCTCTTGTAATACTACAAGTACACTTGTAACACTCCTTTATTCCCTTGCACTAAACAAAAAAAATATTTTATAAGCACGAGTGTTACACACCTAAGTATAATAAATAAAAATAACCGTTAAAATAATAATATTACCCTAAAAAAACTTGTATATAGTTTTCATGAACATTGCAATAAAATAATCATTCCATAAAATTAATAAAACAACCTAAAAAAATCTTTTCTTTACCAATCTTTTCTGTTTCATTTAAATTGTATAATAGTACGGCATCTTTGCGCTAAAATCGCTGTCCAGCAGCGATCTATAAAAAGCCCGTTAAATCTTTGCAAGGTTCACAAAGAAAAATATAAAGAAAAAAAAAATCTCATAATTATGTACACGTGACTAGTAAATTCTGTACGTTCTCTCATAGTTTTGCAAAGTTTTTACTGGTTTTCTCTCCTATGATGACCTATTTTATCCGGTACATAACATTTAGTGATTTAAATGGTTTTTTGAAATCAATTTTAGCTGTAAAATAAGATGATATTGAAGGATAATGTAGGTAGTGTCGGTGCGGTCGTGGCTCGTCGACAATTTTCACGGACAGTTCATCGAATTTCTTTCATATTCGGCTTTGTTCCGAATATCTTGAGCATCTGTTCTTCATAGTCGTTTATGCTCCTCTTCATCAATTGCATACATGGACCCAAAAGACGTTCAAACGCTTCTACATCCAGAACTATAAAAAAAAACAAAAGAAATAATTAAAATGTATTAAACGTATTTAAAAGTCGCAATCAAATAGCTCTAATGATTAAATAAGGATGACGATAATATAATTAACAATTTAAGTACCTCTAGCTGCCTTGCATGAATATAAAGAGAAACTGGTTCTTGGTTCCAGGTCTAGTGTTAGTTCTAGTTTTTCACTAGCACTAAAACTAACACTAGACTTAGAACTAGAAACATTCGGGTTTAGCTGCACGTCTCTGAAGACGGCTAAACCCGAATGATTCTAGTTCTAGGTCTTATGTTAGTTCTAGTAATAGTGTTAGTGTAAAACTAAAACTAACACTAGACTTAGAACTAGAATCATTCGGGTTTAGCCGTCTTGAGAGACATGTGGCTAAACCTAAATGTTTGTAGTTCTAGGTTTTGTGTTAGTTCTAGTGCTAGTCCAAAACTAGAACAAACACTAGACTTACAACTAGAATCATTCGGGTTTAGCCGTCTTGAGAGAAGTGCGGCTAAACCCGAATGTTTCTAGTTCTAAGTCTAGTATTAGTTCTAGTGCTAGTGAAAAACTAGAACTAACACTAGACCGAGAACTAGAAACATTCGGATTTAGCTGTACGTCTCTGAAGACGGCTAAACCCGAATGATTCTAGTTCTAGGTCTTATGTTAGTTCTAGTAATAGTGTTAGTTTAAACTAAAACTAACACTAGAATTAGAACTAGAATCATTCGGGTTTAGCCGTCTTGGGAGACATGTGGCTAAACCCAAATGTTTCTAGTTATAGGTTTTGTGTTAGTTCTAGTGGTAGTGCAAAACTAGAACTAACACTAAGACTTACAACTAGAATCATTCGGGTTTGGCCGTCTTGAGAGAAGTGCGGCTAAACCCGAATGTTTCTAGTTCTAAGTCTAGTGTTAGTTCTAGTGCTAGTGAAAAACTAGAACAAACACTAGACCTAGAACCAGAATCATTCGGGTTTAGCCGTCTTGAAAGACGTGCGGCTAAATCCGAATGTTTCTAGTTCTTGGTCTTGTGTTAGTTCTAGTGATAGAACTAACACTTAGAACTATACTCTGTTTTTAAACCAGGAGGAGTATTTTAAATTTGTCACCAGATTAACCTTGCACGTGATTGGTTGAATGCGAGGAAGGTTCACACACAGGCAATTTTGAATTTTGATTTTGAATTTGAAGGTTAGGTAATTGATAATTCGACAGTTTCGTGTCATTATTGTATATTTTGTTCTTAAACCCTTTTTTATTATATTTTGAAATAAATACACTCATAACTTCAATGTTAATTTGTATGTTTAGTGTTGACGATAACAAACGAAAATAAATACAATAATAAGTAAATAAATAAATATTAATAATTATTAATTTAAATTTACCGCCAAAATATCTAGTCATATTTTCTGGTGATTTTTCCTAGTGTAAATCTGACTTTCACGTTTACTCCTCCTGGTTTAAAAACAGAGTATAGAAACATTCTTTCTATTAATAATAGCTAATAATGCTTGCGTTTTCACTGGTTAAGTGATTATATACGGTAAAGAGTATGGTGGTAAGAGTAGAATATCTTCCAAACCAGGTTAAAGCTAAATACAGGGTGTTTCACTTAAAACTCCCAGGACAAGTATCTCTGGAATGGGTTGAGATATTGTAGTTTTGTAAGAAATTGTTGTTCTTGTTGGTTTATATGAATAATTTTATTTTAAGTCTTCTCTTTTTTTTTAATGTTAAATATCTTCGAATCTACTAAGTTTTGAAACCAATGTTAATAACGAAAGTAGCACAGTTTTTGATGCTCTATCACATGCACTTAATAAAAAGTTTGTGATGAGGGGAAAGTTTCTTTTGACTGCAGCGCCATCTTTATTTTTGTATAATAAATAATAATAATACTTAAGAACTGAAGTCATTTACGTACTTTAACAATAACTTCTTACAAAACTAAGATATCTCAACTCATTTCAGAGATACTTTGCCTGGGACTTTTAACTGAAACACCTGTATAGGTTATGTTTTTCTTTAACATTCTTAAATGTTTTACTTTTTAAATTAGTTGATTATTTTTACTACCATTGATTAAAGCAAAGAAATTGATTGGCATTTTGATTATTAACCAATAAACATAACTAAAATATGAAATGATAAAGTAATTATGCACAACTTTAGATTTTAACCCTTTGTGTAACGACGGTACTTTAAAGTTCCGGTGATTTTAAACACTCATTTTAAAAAGAAAGCATTGAGCTTTAATTTAAAATAAGTCTCATTCCTTCATTTCAATAAACAAGGCTTAGAGGAATTTTTAAATTAGCATCTTTTTTGACCCTTTTAGGTTATACGAAAATGTAAGTTTTGTTACAACATTTTTTTTCTTAATATTTTTCCTATCCAACCCATCAATTATTATACATCATTTTAAAGAGAAAGCTTTGAACTTTAATTTAGAACAAGTCTTATTCCTTAATTTCAATAAATACGGCTTCCATGAATTTTTACTTTATCATCTTTTTTAACACTTTTAGGTTATACGAAAATGTAAGTTTTGTTTCAACATCTTTTTTCTTAATATTTTTCCAATCCAACCCAACAATTATTAGACATCATTTTAAAGAGAAAGCTTTGAACTTTAATTTAGAACAAGTCTCATTCCTTAATTTCAATAAATACGGCTTCCAGGAATTTTTAATTTATCATCTTTTTTAACACTTTTAGGTTATACGAAAATGTAAGTTTTATTTCAACTTTCTTTTTCTCAATATTTTTCCAATCCAACCCAACAATTATTATACATCATTCTAAGGAGAAAGCTTTGAGCTTTAATTTAGAACAAGTCTTATTCCTTAATTTCAATAAACACGGCTTCCAGGAATTTTTAAATTAGCATCTTTTTGACCCTTTTAGGTTATATGAAAATGTAAGTTTTGTTACAACATTTTTTTTCTTAATAGTTTTCCAATCCAACCTATCAATTATTATACATCATTTTAAAAAGAAAGCTTAGAGCTTTAATTTAAAATAAGTTTCATTCCTTAATTTCAATAAATACGGCTTCCAGGAATTTTTAAATTAGCAACTTTTTTGACACTTTTAGGTTATACGAAAATGTAAGTTTTACTTCAACATTTTTTTCTCAATATTTTTCTAATTCAACCCAACGATTATTATACATCATTTTAAAAAGAAAGTTTTGAGCTTTAATTTAAAATAAGTTTCATTTCTTAATTTCAATAGATACGGCTTTCAGGAATTTTTAAATTAGCATCTTTTTTGACACTTTTAGGTTATACGAAAATGTAAGTTTTATTTCAAATTTTTTTTTCTCAATATTTTTCCAATCTAACCCAACGATTATTATACATCATTTTAAAGAGAAAGCTTTGAGCTTTAATTTAAAATAAATTTCATTCCTTAATTTCAATAAATACGGCTTTCAGGAATTTTTAAATTAGCAACTTTTTTGACACTTTTAGGTTATACGAAAATGTAAGTTTTACTTCAACATTTTTTTTCTCAATATAATGATGGTACTCTCAAATACCATTATCCCCCTGGAATGGGGTTTGAGATGATGTAGGAATGTGTCATTTTTATCCTAAATTATTATATTTTTCGAACCCATCACAGATATCTTTTTCTATAAAACGAATTAATATTGAGGTAATAAAAATGAGTCTGATAAAACCAGTATTGGATTATGAACCAATAAATTAATGACATTCAATTAGATTCTCATGATATATCACGCGAATTTACCATTTCGAGAAAGAAAACAAGAAAATAATATAGATAGGTGTCAATATGGAGCGTCTTTCCGAAGTTGTTGTTGCTTACGGCGAAATGTAATGTATGTTCAATTGCCCGTAATAGGCCGAAACGTAGCCGCCCGTTTACTTAAATTAATTGGGTCGCTTGTCGCCGGACGTAAAATGTTATGTAACACGTCCTAAGATAATTCTCAAGGCAAAAATATGATGATGGAGACACAAATAGCTCAGTCAAAAATAACTGAGGCATCTAAACTGAAAATAAATGATCGTGCTATAAATTTAAATCATTCTCTTTTAGCCAAATAGTTTTACTTTTAGGACTGTCTATTATTTTAAAATCTCATTTAAGAAATAGGAATTTTTGGAATATGTACAAAAATTAATACTTACAAGCACATTTCACCATTTCCAAGGCATAAGCAGAAGCAGCTCTCGGTCGGTGTGTAACAAGTGCCAATTCACCAAAGTATCCACCCTTTTCAATACGATTCACTTCAACCTCTTTACCATTATCATCCGTAACCATAATTAAAACAGTTCCGGATTCGACAAAGTACATCCCATCTGCGGCGTCACCCTGCTTGATAATCTTATCATTGGGTTCAAACGTTTTCGGTACGAGAGCATCTGCGAGGTTCATTCGTTCGTACGGTTGAAGGGTCTTGAGCATCGGTACGCTCTCGATCAATGCCTCGTACATCTTCCGCTTTTTGAAAGCGGATTTCAACAGAATACGTCTAAACGTTAGTCGATCCATTGCCCATAACGAACCTTCCGTCACTGCTTTCACCGTTGCCGCTCGCGGCATATTGTACAAAAGAGCTAATTCTCCAAAACTACCTTCGTCTTCATAAGTACAGATTTTTACGGGTTGTTTTTCGGGTTCTTGTACAAAAACATGGAAGGTACCTCTATAAAAAAAAATTAAACAAAATTCGTTAACAATTATTAATTAATTTTTTAAATAAACAATGTTTATAGATAAGAATGTTTGCCGATTTGTAGGTAAATACATAAATCGAAATTGATTTAAAGTGAAGTATTTGTAGATTTATATCTCAACTTTAACAAGTAAATTTACAACGATCTCACGATTTCCCTTGAATGACATCGTGTTTATTTTTCCTCTCAGCAAAGTCATCTGTTTGATAAACGTTTGAATGGATGTAAAACCCAATTAACTCGTTAAGACGGTAAATACCAACGGGACGTTGTATGGGTTTAATGATTGCAATATTACAAACGACCGTTATTAATTCCAATGCCGTGTTGTTGATTGTCGCAACGAAAATGCACCGCACTGTTTTATTTCGTGCTGCTTCCATATAAATATTGGCCATTACTAATATGAAACCTTGAAGGTATTTTTTTTTTAAATAATAATTTTACTATGTGCCATCTGTTGTTGTATAATTATTTTTTAAGGTTATTTTGATTTTTTGCATATGTTTGTGCCAAGTATTATTTTAAACACTATGATTTAAAATTATTTTGGAATGATTTAATACATGAAATTGTGAAATTTGCATAGATTCGTGTTTCTTTAATTAACTTGTTTCTGTTAGTTTGGTATTTATTTATTGATGTTGTATGCCAAGATAGCGAAGTTTTATCGTGGATGGTAAAAATAGAATCGAGATTTTTTGCTGAAAAGGGAGATTTTTTAATTTTTTTGTCATATTCCAATCTGGCTAAAATATTAATTTAGAATTGATGACTTCGTTGCATTCAAAATTTATTAAGTTTATTTGAAAGTATAAGAATATTTGAAAAATTAATATCGGTCAAGTTGTTCGTCAAATTTTGCAGTCAGTTCTGGATATCTGGCCAAAGAAGTTCAAATCATCAAACTCGACCTGACTTAGCATGTCTCGGAAATTGTTTTTTTTTAACTGTCCAGTGTGGCTCGAGCTACATGAGTGGTTACTCTCTCCTGTTGAAACCAGCAAAATTCGAGCACGACCAATTGCGGCAACAAATTTCGTCAGTTAAGCTCAACAGTTATGGTTATAAATATGTATTGCGTGGATTTAATCTGCATTCTGCGCATCCCAGAAACGCAATTTTTTGTATACAAAATCTTCGTCTTTTTGCACCAGGTTTAATAGAGCATGGGAGTAAGTTAACCTCACTTAATAGTCAGCAGGCAGCAATTGCTGAACAGTTTGGACTTTGTGCAGTAACAATTTCAGGTGTTTCACTACAACATTAATATCAAAGGACTTTACTCCAGTTGCAAAAATTATGACACATTCACATTGTGACATTGTTTTTGCCTCACTTAATATATTGCATGAAATGACAAAACTGGCATTTTAGTACAAGATTTCAACAAGTAACTTATGATTCACCTTTCATATTAAGAATTTTAGTTATAATGTAATGGAATGATGTAAATCCCCACTGGGTGAGTCAAAATTGTACTCAAAGACCACAAAAGTTAAATGAATGATTGAGTATAATGGGTACTTAGTTAATTGAGATTGGATTGGGTATGAAATGTTACAAAGAAATTAAATGGTGATGTGCGACGAGGCGCATTTCCACCTCTCTGGACATATAAACAAACAAAATGGCCAGTTTTGGACAACAAACAATTCTTGTGTTCTTCATGAGACAACTACATCGACAAAAAGTATCCTTTTTTGAAGACCATCGGACCATGTTGAACAAGATCTTAACACCGACATTGAAATAGTTGAATTTAAAGGATTTTTAGTCACAGCACGCGACACCATGGAGATTATGTGGAACGCTTTCCAGGCTATTGATTGCTCGATTAAGGGATTTTGGCCAGCGAGGTCATCCGTTCTGACGGCCTAGACAACTTTTGGTGAAGCCGCAGACCATCCAGAAACCTGTTTGAAGTCAATTTAAATTAAATATGATTTCGATAAAACACTAGCAAATTTTGACATAAATATTCAGCGATATCTAGCATAGATTCTCACCCCCAGATTTACGTAGAGGCAGAGTGGTGAATATTTGAATACTAATCGATTTTAATAGCAAAGTTAAAAATTATTTTCTCAAGATCTTCGTTCTCAGAAAAAATAATATCTAAGTATGCTACTGAAAACAAGGCATATTAAAAAATTCACCCCTCGGCCCCTACGGCGAATTTGGAGATGTGGGTGGGCTAGAAAGATACCAGAGAACCCAATGCAATAATCTAGACTAGTCCCAAGGTGCAGCAATCTCTAGTTATTGAGAAAATAACATCTAAGTATGCTATTGAAAACGAGGAATATTAAAAAAATCACCCCTCGGCCCCTACGTCGAATCTGGAGATGTGGGTGGGGGCTAGAAGGATGCCAGAGGACCCAATGCAATAATCTAGACTAGTCCCAAGGTGCAGCAATCTCTAGTTATTGAGAAAATAATATCTAAGTATGCTATTGAAAACGAGGAATATTAAAAAATTCACCCCTCGGCCCCTACATCGAATCTGGAGATGTGGGTGGGGGCTAGAATGATACCAGAGGACCTAATGCAATAATCTAGACTAATCCCAAGGTGCTGCAGTCTCTAGTTATTGAGAAAATAACATCTAAGTATGCTATTGAAAACGAGGAATATTAAAAAATTCACCCCTCGGCCCCTACGGCAAATCTGGAGATGTGGGTGGGCTAGAAGGATACCAGAGAACCCAATGCAATAATTTAGACTAGTCCCAAGGTGCAGCAATCTCTAGTTATTGAGAAAATAATATCTAAGTATGCTATTGAAAAGGAGGAATATTAAAAAACTCACCCCTCGGCCCGTACGTCGAATCTGGAGATGTGGGTGGGAGCTAGAAGGATACCAGAGGACCCAATGCAATAATCTAGACTCTAGACTATTAAAATCGATGAGTATTCAAATATTCACCACTCTTCCTCTACGTAAATCTGGGGGTGAGGGTAGACAGGGAACATACTAGAGGGTCTATTCGAATTAGCCAGGGTAATCGCAGATTGCTACAACTTCTGTAGTTTCAGAAAATGATTTTTCAATTAATATGTTCAATATTTGTCCGGTCAACTGTAATTTTATGAATCTGAATCTGGTACAGATTCGAATATGAATCTAACTTCAGCCACATATATCTAGCTGAAGTATTTCCCATAGCTGATTGGTAGATGAGGTTGTATTGAATGATTTCTTGGCTCATTGGATCTCAATTTTAAAGTCAATTTTTATTGGGACTTTTGTAGCAATCTGTCTATTTATTTTATTAACTCCATATTAAACTCCAAATACTTGTTTAAGCAATTTCATTTTAAGTACTCTCACGATTTGTCCATTATGAAGCACATTCACGATTCAACCAATAACAATATAGAACAAATTAATCACAAACAGCTAATATATTTTTTTTTCTTTTATACAGTAATAAATAAAATTTTTACATTTTGAGTTAATAATTCAAAAAAAATCATCCAAGTTTCCAGAAAAATGTAATTTATGAATCGTTTATTTTTACTTGTTTTAAGAAATTTTATTATCTTTCAATATTTTTCTGGCAAGAAAACTATGCAAAGACAATAACCGTAGTCGATTTGGAATAATTCCAAACGCCCGGCGAGGTGTATCCTAATAATGTCGCTGCCTATAATAAGCCAAGCGAAAATACAATGTAGGCTGGTGTCCGTAAAGTAAATTTATTACGCAACTAAAACCACCCAAGCCGAGCGAGCCAAAGCCCTCACTCTTATCTCCATACTGATAAACACAACTATTAACTTTTCATACAAATAATTCATCTGGTTGCGTATTAGATAAAACCTTTAACAATATTACAAACGACCGTTTTTAACATTTAAAAAAAAACGACGCGAAAATAGCTCTTTAAAAGCAAACATTTTAAATGAATAAGTGAAAACCCGTGTACCTCAACAATTTAAAGCATAAATAAAAGGAAAAACTTCATTCCCCACAGCGACGCCATTCTAACCTTCTAACTTATTTAAACTTGTTGATTTAAAGTTGCGTGGAGAAGTGAATTTAGTAATTATCTTATTACTTCGATGGGATTTTCATTAGTTAATTGCCATCATTGTTAATACAATTAACAATAAATACTAGTTAACCTAGTACTTCTAAATTCTAAAATTAAACCACTTGACTTCTTTTTATTTTGTGTGCTTTTTCTTATCGACATTGCACTCGATGCACTAAAATATTCGCCACGGGAACAAACAATCGATATTTTTCCGATGTGATACGATATGGGGAGAGTGGGATACTCGAGAACGCAATTAACTAAATTGTTTTAGTTGAAGCAAGGACTCCGTTAGCTTCCGATAGATCGGCTAATAAAATCGTTTTAAAAGTTAAATTTAAAAATTAATTAATTGACTTACTGTTGAATAACATAAAAATTGTCTCCATCGTCACCCTGTTTGATAACAAGTTCTCCTTCCTCGACCTTCCTCTCAAACATAGCATCGAGGACTTCCTGCATTTGCTCCGGATCGAGGGCCCGGAACAACAAGATATTCTTGACGGCTTCTGCAAGCTGCTGTCGCTGTTCATCCGACTTGGGGAATATTGATTTTGCGCCATCATCTTCGTCGTCTTCTTCCGGATCGTACGCTTCCGCAAAGACCGATTTACGTCTAGTTGAGAACCGAGTTATTGGCGGTTCTAAAAATAAAAAAAGTAAATTTAAAATCAATTTATTATTATCGATCAAGATATATACTTTTTTTAAATTTTCGTTTTGGCATTTTCAAAAAATATGTCAATTTTGATTATCTTAATTTAATTTTGATTTATTTTTTAACAAATGAAGTAAGACTTTTCAATGGAACAACAAATTTTATTCATCATAAAACATCAAATTTCAATTACACAAAACAATTTTAAATAAAAATATACACTTGACGATTTTTTTTGATTATCCATCATATTCAAGCATTGACCGAAGCGAATCTGAAAAAATAAACACAATATTTTCATTACATTGACCTACTTTTATTGTAAATTTATTCAATCCGAGTATTTATCTACTACCCACGATCATTTAAATCTTTACCGTACAATAGCTTAAAGCAAAACAAGTTTTGTCGTCGATCCAGATTAGAAAGTTCGTCCCAAGAGAAAGTCTTTAAACCAACCGACCCGTGTCATTTCGTTAAAAAAATCACTCAAAAAGCTCACTTCTAAGAGTTAAAACGGATTTTTCTAAGTGGATCAAGCAAATATGTATCTACAAAAATATCGATTTGCAAATTGAAAAGTGTCACCACAGAAAACGTGAATAGCAAGTTATAAGTTATCGTAATTTAATAAAACGAAATAGCAAAATTGGACACGTTCAAATAAAATTTTAAAAAAAATGGTTTTGTTTAGTCGATACTAAACGGAACCCGTAAAATGGAAATTGCAGTTATGAGTAATAAAAGTGTTGTTGTAAAAAATATGTTTGGGTTACGTTTCAATTTAATGGTTTTAAACGCTAAAATGTATCGTTGTTTCGCCTTTCCACAGCAATTTTTATGTTTTACATAGATTGTGTATAGCGTAAAACTACAAATTGTTATCTACAAAGTTAAAATTGGAAATTATTTGATAAACTACAAAAGTTTCTACATTCTTTCGTAAAGTCATATTAATTAGAGGCCGTTAATCCGTTATAAAGCAGATCAACATCTCCAGTTGCTGATACTGCAACATAATTGCAACACAATTCTTTTCCGTATGAAAAATAACGATGACAGAATTAAAGCACTACACGTATAAACCAGCCATCAAGTTACCAAAAGAAGAAGATATACAATCAACGCAGAATGTGTGAGTACAGAATTGTTCAAAAAACAAGGTGTGCCAGGACCAGGAAATTTTGTTCAGTTTAGTTGAACAAAAATTCAGTGAAGGAATTTTTTCGCAATGACGAGCTTATTCTGGTTACTCTGCCTGGATTCCGACAGTATTCGATCATTGGTTCAACCTCACGCTACGCCATGTGTTCAAAGTGCAACCTAATCAAAGCAACACTGCGCTCACGTACTCCGAATTCCTCACGGAAGTTTAATGAACATTATGAACTTACAGTCAAGATGAGCTTCAGTATGTACATCCTCACAACACATGTGATGTTGTGAGATAAGGCTTACTATACAGTCAAAAGATGACAGTGTGGTATTTTCAATTTTGAAACTCGAAATAATTGCGCTCTAGTTTTGCCAAAATGATAAAGAACAGGCAGTGACGAAGAACTCCGCATGATACCTAGCTATGCTTCAAAAATTTTGAATCCCTTATTTTGAAGAAAAATGAAATTTTCTAAAATGGATGCGAGGTTGAAATGCATATGTGTACCAGACACGGAATTGAAAAATGACCACAAGAATTTTGACGGACACCATGCATGTATTGAGGGAGGGTTGTAATGCCCAATCTTATCAAAATGGCCAAATCTATATTAAGCTTCAGAAATATAACGCCATGCCCAAAAAAGCCTGTTTATGGGTCATCTATTGAACTATTTCACTCAAAACCAAAATATTCTTAAGTGATTTTTACTCACACACTCGGTGCCTTTAAGGAAGCAAGGACTTTCTATCTCACAGATCTCGCCATTAATGAAAGTATAATATTGCACAAAAAAAAAAAACAACCTCACTACATTTTAATTACTTTAGTGGGGGAGAACTTTTGCAGAGAATCACATCGATAAGTAGCTTTTTTTCTAGAGATTATAAGTTACTTTGTATGTTTTGATTTGATGCATGCCTTGAATTACTCTAGATAAATCAAATATACTTTTTACTACACATCCTGAATCTCTGCCACCCCAAAATTTATCATAATGGTGGGGAATGAATAACCCCCACCATTATGATTTAAACCAAATGCCCACATACAGTGAATTTCAGTTAAAATGCAATATACAAAAATATAGTTCCATAGAAACTAGGGCGTACCTACTTACTTTGTCCCACATAAAATGCACCATGTCCGAATGTTTCTAGTTTTAGGTCTAATGTTAGGTGTGACAGCGTCTAAAGACGTACGGCCAAACCCGATACTTTCTAGTTCTTGGTCTAGTGTTAATTCTAGTTTTACACTAGCACTGTCACTAGAACTAACACAAGACCTAGAACTAGAATGATTTGGATTTAGCCGTCTTTAGAGACGTGCGGCTAAACCCAAATGATTCTAGTTCTAAGTCTAGTGTTAGTTCTAGTTTTAATTGTTATTTAGCGTTAGATAGTGGTATATTTTTATTGAACGAAAAGTAGAACTCACACTAGACATAGATCCAGAAATATTCGTGTTTAGCCGTGAGTCTCTTAAGACGGTCGAAAACCCAGGGTTATCACAAGGACCTTTTTCCAATCAAAACTTTGCCTTTGCAAAATTATCCAATGCCTGTACTATTAAGCTATGTTGCATTTTATGTGGAAAAGTGCAAGTGCATAGTAGTTTCGTAACGATGGTTACTGCATTCATATATTGCGAATTATATGAAATTCCCGGTATAGCAAATCTCTTTTCTAGTGCTTTCTCCTTTTAACCTAAAGGATTTCTGTATTCCATTACCATAACAACTGTTCATCAAGTTGATTCATGTTCTTTCTCGAACCTTTTCTGCGGTTAGGAAATCATGATGTAATAAAAGTTTTAATTAAACGTTAGCATCTGTTAAATTAGGCATGTTTCTAGAAATGTCAATTAATGCCCTATTCACTTTAAATGAACATAAATCAATCGAAGTTTGTTAAGCATGTATTGGGCATATGGTAACTAACACTTAATTAGGTAGTTACATTATATAAAAACAGGATTTAAACTTAATCCAGTTCTAATGAACGATTGATAAGATGGTAATGGATCGTTGATCGATGGATTAAAATTTCGAAACACCGAATTCGTTAAATTAAAACTGAATATTGTTACAATGTAGAAATGCCATAATTGAAATTTTAGGTAACATTTTCAATGACTTTTTCTGGGTCAGGTTCAACCCCTTTTTGAAACCCTCTCTAGTTTTGAGAAATCCATTATTTATTCAATAGTTGAGGGGTTAATGGCATGTTTGCCGAAACAATTAATGATACTTATACTTACCAAACAGCACCTATCATTAAGACATTCCTTAATGGTTGACTATAGAAATTAATAATTAAGGATGGATTTACATAAATAATAAATAGACGGAGAAAAATAATTTTTTTCTGTTCGAGATCAAACAACGCGGAACTTATCCATCACTGGATAAATTTAAAAATTTCAAACAGATTTTTTTTACTATGATGAGTAAAACCAATCCTCCAAACCTTTCAAAAAAAAAGTACTAGGAAAAATGATTTTTGTTAGCTTTTAGTCTTTTTTAAGAATTGCCTACTCAAAAATTAAAATTCGAAGAAGTTGTGGTAATAAAAATTATACGTTATTACGAAGACAAAGATTTTATGTCCACTAAAATAAGCCATTTCCATTTTTAACACCTCCACTAAAACTGTACTTCATTAAAAATTAGATTATGTAAAAGGTGGATTACTGCAACTTAGAAAGGGATTAAAAAAAAGAAATAAAAATTACCTTCTTCTCTAGATAATGTAGATTCATCGGCAGAAGAAGGAGTAGCCCCCGTAATTTCGCTTCCCTCCCCAAACACAATAGCAGTAGTTCTACTCTCCCTTAACCTTTGGAAGTAGTCGGCCGCGTACGAAACCACATCGCCAGGTTGTTCCAAAAGGTAGCTTATGGTGAATTCGAGGAGAACCTCGCGGAGGTCGTCGGGTACCAAAATTCTCTGTCCCTGGTTGCGGTTCATTTTCTACGGTGATTGTGCGAAGATTTACCAAACACTATCGTGTGATTAACGAGGACACCTAAATTTTTCGTCGCGTACGTTTCGAGATTAAAATCAAAGATTCACAGCCGATCTCATGGAATACTTTAAGAATTTAGTCAAACATTTAGTAAATCGAGGTCCAAAACGTGACCATCACTGGAGAGATTCTTGACAGATCGATCACTTATCCGCGATCACTTGATTCCTTTAATTTTCTGTTACAATTATAACACAATTTTTTTGCTAAACGAGCCCTTAATAAATAAAAATGGTGGTCCGGAGGGACTCTGCTACGTCAAAAGGGACCGGGATTTTTAATGTAACCCCGCACCGAATTAGTAACACTGTTTTCGCGACATTTTCCCGCATAAGTGTTCCGGGGCGTTTCGCGAACGATTTTAGTGACGAGGTTTTTGATTAATCGATGGCAGAGGCGAACCGCGATGCGCGGCAGGTGTGCACTCTCGGTCTTAGCAAAAAAAACTAACCCATATAACTTCGACAGGCACCTGCCTTGGTTTGGCTGGCCGACTGTGTGCAGTGGCGTACGCGAACAACTCTCGACCTGCGCAGGGGCCCACTGCGGACTCACGCGTTATTACCAACTCACATTATTTTATCACTCTTATTTTATCAAAAAATATTTATATTTCATCTCATTATTTTAACAATTACATAACCTAGTTTTACGCTTTTCTTGTCACATTGACAGTTTTAGTGTTAACCCAAAAATTATGTCAAACATTTTTCAATTATCTTTTTATTATTATAGTTCAAATTTATCATATCAATTTTATTATTAATTACTAAATCAATTTTATTAACATTAACAGATATAATGTGCTTAAAATATCAATTTTTGTCAACACATACATTTTAATAGATTTTAGAAATTTGTTTCAAATTTCAATTCTAAACAGTTAGTTTTTGATGTTATTTTTAAAACGAGCCAAATTTATTAACATTATCTCAAAAATAATATTTAACAATTTTTTAAAATTGTTGAAATTTTTGTTGTTATAAAATTGGTTAAAAAAGATTATTTTTAAACTCACCCCATCTAGCGGTAATGACCCATGTTAAGTAGTATTTTTGACATTTTAAACCACCGGTTGGATTTTTCCAAAATTTCGAGTTTTAAGAAAAAGAAAAGGCTTAATTGAAGCGAAATATCCAAAAATCATCAAAATACGTTTTTGAACAACCAAACTATTTGTTTGAAGTGATTATAGGTTCTGTGAAGTAATTTATCAATTTGTTCTAAAACATAACCTACAAATTTATCTTATGAATTTTTAATTTCTTGTTACATAAGAAAATCTACATAAGTCAATTGCTTTTATCAATTTTAAAGTATTTAATCATTAATAACATAGTTTGTAAAATTCATTAAAAACTATTTTTTTTTAACTTTCGTAGTTATGCCATCTATGATCTGTCAGTTCAACTATAGCCGGGCAACCCAGATCAGATAAACATATATTCGGGGGGTCAAAATTTTCTCTTGGCCAACAATGTCCGCATAGGTTGGTTCTAGAATTTAACAAGACAATCTGATGTATCAGGTGCCAGAGAAGAATGAAGAATTATGCAAAATAGAAACTGTGCGGAATTCCCCTTAAACTAACTTCGATAATTTGTATTTCAAGTTCAAAAAGACCAAAAGTAAGATTCTACTCATCACAAAAGAGAAGAAACCGGAGGTATTGATGTAAGAATAGAGGGGCAACGACTAAGTTGGTATGATTATCTGGAAAGATCATCATTCCTAACAAAAATCTTCAACATGAGGCCAGAAGGAAAGAGAAGGCGTGGAGAAGAGATTGAGAAGATGGTTGAAAGAGGAGGGAAGAGACTCGCCGAAGTACGGACTATAGCCAGAGATATGAAGATGTATAAAAGATGGATCCAAAACCCAACATTGTAAGGTATAAACAGGGTATAAATAGGGGCAAGAGAAAAAAAAATTTTCAGGAATTTTTAAAGTTTATAAATAATTAAAAAGCTTAATTAATTTATATCTCAAAAATATTTCAAAAAGCACTTATTTATTAAAAACTAGGTCATTTTATTAATAATTGATATAATTATGTACTAATTTTCGAGATGACATTGAATTGATGTCATTTTCCAATATAAATTTAATTATGACTGAATTAAATTTACAAGCTTTAGCGAAAACTGATAAATTCATTATTAATCAAAAAATGGATATGATTGAAATCGCGTACGGCGATGATGATCGAAATCAATATAGTGTTAGGGACGGTGCTGGTGTAAAACTTTTCTGCGCTGTCGAAAATAGCAGTTTTTGCGCTCGACATTGTTGCGGAAAGCGAAGACCTTACACTATGATAATCAGCGACATTTCTGGTAAGGAAGTTATTCACCTTTACAGACCATTAAAATGTCAAAGCTGTTGTTTTCCTTGTTGTTTGCAACATATGGAAGTTAACGTGATTTTAACAAACTTTGTGGCGCACATTTATCAACGATGGAAATGTGGGTATCCATCATTTATAGTAGTGGATAATTACAAAGATATAGTTCTGCGTATTGAAGGCCCATTTTCGACGACAAATTGTTGTGGACACACTGTTGTGTTCAAAATATTTTCGGGCGACGGCAACTATGAAGTTGGAGAAATTACAAAGGATTTGTCTGGATTTCTTAGTGATGTTTTCTCCAACGTTGATACTTTTGGTGTAACGTTTCCTTTAAGTTTGGATGTTAATTTAAAAGCGGTTATGCTTGGCGCTTGTTTTCTTATCAATTGCATGTACTTTGATGGACCAGAAATGTAGTGTTTATAATATTTATAAAGATTTTAAATGGTTATTTTTAATATAGTTTTGAATTTGTACCAACATCCCCGTTTATCGAGCACTCTAACCGATTGAGTTGGCGAACCTTGATCAAATTCAATTACCGTTCGTTCGGAAACGCATTTATGACGTCGACCTAATCAATTTTGGTGTAAAGCGTCTCCCTACCGGACGTTATAAAGACATCTCGAGTCAAAATGGTTTTAACAGTTTATTTATTCAGTTTTTAGACGAGTTAAATCGTCATCAATAAAACCGCACAAAAGACGATAAATAAATTCGCGAACCTATAAAGATGTTTTTAAATATACGAGTTATGTAATAATAATAGAATTAACGAAAATCGATTTTGCATTATTTTTAGACAAGCTGCGATTTCCTTGTGTTTCGAATAAGAAATGGGGTAACACGGTGTTAAAAGTAAATTATTAAATCCGTTCGTTCCGTAAATCAATTTGATCTTTTTTATCGCGACCTAGTTTCGCCGTTGGGATTCTTTTATTTAATTGTTGTAATTAAAGTCCATCGATCTAAGTAATCCTCATGATTACTTTTCAGCAAAAAACAATCGTTTAAAAAGTAATTCATAATATTTTTTTATTTGTTGGATTAACGTGTCCTGTGTAAATGAAATTAATCGAAAATAGAACTTAATTATTTGTTGTGCAAGTTATGGGTGTTGTAAAAAAACCGTTTTGTTAACACGAATTATCAGTATTTGATATCGTAAAAATTGTATATATAAATGTTGAGTATTTTAGTTGAAATAGAAATGTTGTGTAATATATCGATATAAAATTTCAATTACAGCAATTAATTTATAATAAAAACGACCGTATCAACAAAAAAGACACGTATTCACACAAGTAGAACGTGCCTAAAAGGAAATTAGTCAGAAATGGTAAGCATTAAAAGCCGACGAGGTCGTCCACGTCAAGTAACTTATGCGATAAAAACCACCAGAATATTAAACATTCATCGTATATTTTAGTTTTAAAACAGCTACAAGGTCACTATACTCAAAAAAGTCGTATAATAAAACCCTGCGGAATCAACGGTGGTTATATTTATTGTTTTCTAATAAAATTGGTAGGTACTGACTAGAGGATATGATCACATATGGTAAAATATAACAACAGATTACGACCACTCTTCACCTAAGATAAAATTAATTCTCGGGTAAATAGCACACGTTCAAATTTTAATATCACACGGTATAAACTGGAGTCGTTATGTTCTAAAATTAATTTACTCTATGGGTAAACTATTCAGAACACTATTACGAAGATTGTTCTTTTTGTTGGCCACTTTTGTCTTTATCGGTGATTTCACTTTCTATGTTTTTTTGCAAAGAAATATCTTCAACAACTTCACTACCTTCTTCAACAACATTTTTTTCTTTTTCTAATTTTTCTTCAAATTTCTCTTTGCCACCTTCTTCTTCATCTACTTCTTCAACTTCTTCTTCTTCAACTTCCTCTTCTTCAATTTCTTCATCTGCAATTTCCTCTTCTTCAATTTCTTCTTCAACCTCCTCTTCGTCATCTAATTCTTCTTCTTCCACTTCAACTTCGACCTCATCTTTACTTACATTGTTTTCTTCAACAACGACGAAATTATTTTCAATAACATCATCGATTTGGTTCTCGTCATTTTGGCCAATTTCTTCGGGTTCATCAAAAGTTGATATGTGATTTACATCTAAATCTAAATCGTGTATCCTTTCTACTTCATCGTTAGCATCTTCATCGTCGGTTCCTTGTTCCTAAAAACATTACGATTTTTTTAACATTATAAAGTTAAAGCATTATTAGTTAGTCAAAACACTTACGTCTGAAACTTCGTGTTCAGCTACTGTAGCACTGCTCGCCGTTGTATATTTGGATTCTTCAGCATCTTCGACGGCTTCTTCTCCAGTTGATTCTGGTAACTCACCATTGTTAGTTTCAATATCTGCATAAATGAAAAAGAAAAATTATTCTTAATGTGCAGAACAATGAAGAATAGAGAGCAGCTTGTGGGGATTATCAACACACACTATAGTAGTACTTAAGAATTCAAAGAGTAAAATTGAAATTTTGCAATTTTGTTATTGCATAGTATTTTAGTTAATTTTACCTTGATCTTGTACATTATCCATACTGATAACAGAAAGAGTCATTTTTCCTGCAAGTACAACAGCTGGATCTGAAGTTGTATCACTTGTTGTTGATTGTGTAACTGTTGCGTAATCGGTGACTAAAATTTGTGATTGAGCAGGTAAAGCTCCTTGGAGATAAATTTCCTAAAAAAGATTGATTTAAAAGAGGTCATTAAATAACTTAAAAATGCTAAGCTTATAATGGTTCTACAGCAAGATATATACAGGCCGTTCTCTAGGTGAAGAACTAAAAAGAAAATTAACAATTAAGATTATGGAAGAAAAAGAGACATTAAGGAGAATCTTTGAATTTTTTTTTTATATTATTATTTCTTCAAAGATCCTTTATAATGATATAAAAGAAAATCGTCCATAGGATCTCTTTAATTTATGGTTAGATGATACGAACGAAGAATAAAATTGATAAACTGAGAACAAATGGGCGACGACAGTTCATGCACAGAGCGTTTTCGTGGCGATTCTTCGCCCTTACTTGAGGGGGCGCTACTTCAATTTTTGGAACCGGGTGTGACATAACCGGTTCGCCGGGTTTGGTCCATTTCTCGCCTCCTTCGCAGCTTGCCGTCGTTTCCATGCCAAGGACTTTTACGGACGCCTGTTCTTGGTCCTTGTGCACGGTTCCATTCATCAGGTTACCGTTAGCAACGTTCCGATCGGTTTTCGCCTGATAATGGAACGGTTTTAAAGAAAAAAACATTTTTTGGGAGTTACGAAGGCTCAAAGAAAAGTGAGTTTTAGGAAAGATAGGCAAAGATGCTAAGAATTCAAAAATAAGTTACAAGCCAAACAAAAATAATGTTAATTAATAGTTAGATTTTTATAAATTGGTATTGGAAAAATTATATAAATCTTTTTTTATTTGTAGGTGTAATTTCTTGGTTAATATTTTACGGGGAAGATACGCATTTTATTTTTAATTTTTTTAACAAATTTAAATCGTTTTTAATTGAGTGACCAATTTAAAATGTGTATCTTCTTTGAGCACAACAACGATAAACTCTTTATTTATGTATTGGTAACATCTTGTTACCTGATTTTTAACCTCGTTTGCTTTTCTTCGTGCTTCAATCTCCTCGTTTACCTCGTCGAGCAGTGCTGACATCGCATTTACAACTACACACAAAAGAAGTAGACTCTACTAAAAATGCATATAACGCGCCTCACAATCAAAAAAAATCAAAAATAAAAAACCATCAAATCGCATTTTCCAACCCTTTACATTTAATTTAAGGGAATTCTAACAAAATAGCTATTAGACTTTTTATAGTCGTTGTAAAATCAAAAAAATCAATAAAAAAAGGAAACTAGTTGTAATAAAAAAACTATTTTCGTGGAATAAAAATGGTTTGGGAGGAAAGAGAAAAAAAACATGCAGAAGCTAAGCTTGTTTTTTTTTTGAGGGTTTGCAGTGCTGTGCAGGAGGGATGAAAACCTGGTCACACCTGGAGGACCAAAGGGACGCGGGACATTTGATGGACGACGCGTTCCATCGCTCTTTCCGTTTCCTGAAGGCGATTCCTTAGCTGGTCCAAATCTGTTATCGGCCGCCGACATCCACCATTACATTCAGCTTAGGTGTGGATGGAATAGGCAGAAAGAAACGAAAAATTGTTAATTAATATGTGGAGCGTTGCGGGCATCCCTCCTGCTAAACACTACCAGTGATTTTATTTTGTCGAAGATTAAGAACTTATTTCTCAATTAATCAGTTCTTAAACTTCTTCAAAAATGTTAAAAACAAAAATAAGTAAAAGAAGAAACAACCACATGTAGTTTTAATGATACTGTGTAAATGAGTTAAAAAATTTCCTTTTGAAGTAATCAAATAAAATAGAAAAGGATGTAATCAAAAGTAATAACAGATAGAAAGAAAGAGAGTTAGTTGGGTTCAAATGCAACTTACTTGCGTCACGTTCTTTCCATCCTTAATAAGCACCAAAAAGAAAAGAGTATAATAGCTATATTGTATGTTTCTTTATATCAAAGTGTTTTAACGTGAATCAAAAGAGTACTTATTTTAATAACCCCCAATTAAGAAATAAATCCTAAACTTACCAATCCTTCCGGTTGGATCCCGCGATAATCTTGGTTTAAATTTGCATCGTTCATTCTCAAAAACTTCTCTTCTAAATCTGGGATCAGGATCGACTGGTGGATAAAGATTTCCACGAACACCAGTATTTTCACGTTTAAATATCAACTAAAAATTAAAAATATTCAAAATAATTCTAATTAATTTCAAATTATTTACCTTCATTAACGTGTAAGTGAAGAAAATAACAATACCAATGGTATAAATTGGCATCAAAACTCCCATTGTGCTTCCACCTTTCTGAGACGGTGGAACAACATGTCCTGGACCACCCATTGTGGGGCGCATGCCTGGTACAGGACCCGGCTAAAAAAGATGGTTTTGAAAAAAAAATTTAACAACGATGTTTTCTCCTAAAATGATATAACGGGTTAATAATATCTTCACTATTAAGATGTTATTAAATTTTCTAAAAATACATATTTTCTACTTGAACGATTTTCGATTTGGGGGAAATATTTCCAATCTAAACTTTCGGTTAAAAATAGGTTCATTCAGGATTTTAGAATTTAGGATTTACGCAAGATCGCTTTAAATCTTTTTCAAGTAGTAAAGATTGTAAAATGTTTGATCTAAAGATTTGTATATAAAAGTTAAAAAAAAAACTGTTTATGAAAGGAAAATAGAATACTTATAATAATAATAAAGTTTAAAGACGTTTTAATAAATTAAAATTAATAAGAAGATGCTTTAAAACGGATTGATTACTTCATTATGGTTAAAATTATTATGTTGAAAACATGAACTTTTGGCATCTAATTAAATATTTAGTTTACCAGACGGCGACAACTGAAAATAGAATTACATTCAGCTAAAGACTATTTTTGTGAACGCGAAATTTGTTGAAGCTGGTTTGTTCTATAATTTCGGTTGAGATTTAGGCGTAAATTAATCGTTTTTAGTCCAAAAATAATTCGAATTGCTCTCAAATTAGAGAAATTAAATTATCAAACAGCGATGTTTCATTTAACCCACATACGGTTAATCAAAATGGAACAATAGATACATGTACAATAGATGATTTCCCAATAGATAAATAATTGCGTATTGTGTCTATGGTAAATTAATTCCCCATTGATTTATTTAATAATAAATTTAATAATAAATTGTTGAATACTGTGTTATATTATTTAAAACATTTTAACTTATAAAAAAATGTTTGACTCACACATAGAGAGATTTTTTGGCACAAAATCTTATTTTCATCCGACCTTAACGGATCTAACAGAGTAAATCTCTACCTTTGCCAAGTTCATCGGTGCGACTGTTACGCGTTAAAATAGATAGATTCAAGCAAAGTTATCGAAATTTAAACGTGCGAACATCCAAAGCAAATATTTAGCGGGCATATAACGCACGCTGACCTATTTAGGGTGACTCGCTAATGTTATTGCAGTTTACTCCCGATTCGAAGGTCTAACTTTAAAATCCTGTTTCTTTGATCAATAATCGTTAAGATTTCACTACATAAAATTAGAATATTTTTAATAAAAACTTTCAAGTATTGAAACAATTTTGGAATCAATTTCGTGTTGCTAGTGAGGTTACTATGTAGTTTAGTTGCTTTGGGGTTGGATTCGTTTGCTTTGGCAAAAACTTTGAAGTATTGAAACGATTTTGGAATCAGTATAGCAAGGAGATTCTACCTTCTCTTTTTACAAAAAGTCTCTAAAAGTCATTTCTACAAAAATGACAAAACAGCTGGGATCACGAACGAAGGAGATGATTATTTTGTAATCGTATTGCTAGTTGGGTTACTATGTAATTTAGTTGGTTGGGGTTGGAATTCGTTTGCTTTGACGATGGGTTACTGTGCTGTTGCTTGCTGATTTTTTCATTTAATTGTTTTTATATCTTTGAGGTTGGGATACATTTTGGAAGTTTACTTGCTTTGTAGTCGAGTTATTTTACGATTGACTTGCTTTGGAATTAGGATGAGTTACTTTATGAGAGAGATGCTTCGTTGACTTGTTTTGGCAACAAACTACTTTGTAATTGAATTGCTTTACGGTTGAGCTGTCTTTTTCATATACTTCCTTTGTAGCTGAGTTTCTTAACGGTTAACTTGTTTTTGGGTTGGATTGGCTTGCTTTGAAATTAGGTTACTTCATATTCAAGTTCTTTAGATGTTGGATTACTTTGTAATTAAGTTGTTGTGGGGTTCGCTTGCTTTGATGATTCAGAAATGTAATACAGAACTTTATATGAGTTCGCTTTGTTCTTATTTTAAATGAAATATATTATGTGTGTTATTAAAAATAAATTTGACCTTATTTTAATTAAAGTTATTAAAGATCAAAGGCTGACATTTCGTCATAAATTTACATAAGGACCTCTTTACTTCCTTTTATACATATTGTTTGAACGTTTGTAGTTGCACCCTTTTTTTTTAGTTTGCGTTCTCGAAACTCTCTGATGTTCTTGAGTGACGGGTCGGAAAAGTTTTTCTTTCTAGTCGACGCGTTACGTAACACACAAAAAGGAATGACGAGGAAAAGGATGTCGGGATTATTAGACAACTGACTGCAAACGGTCACACTCACCCTTCCTTCCACGGTCCTGATATGTTTCCTCTGCATTTGTGCGCTTCCCTGCGGCTTTGGAATTGCACTACCCCGTTCTCTAAAAGCTGGGTGAATTATTTCCGGTCGCATATTCGGTGGTCGTTCTTGTTTTATATCTACAAGAAAATACAATTAATAAAAATATATTTCTTAATCATTTTTACGTATAACATCTTTAATTTTGTGTTATTTTTGTTATTCACAATTTTTTTAAAACATTTTTTAGTTAGTAGAATTAAAATTAACATTTTTTTTTGCCAAACAGTTTTTTTCGCTTACTATCTGTGTAATTGGTGTTAACTTTATGGCCAACACCAAGTCGCCAAGGGGACACTCCAAAATGATACTTGAGACATAAAGAACCGTTTAATGAGCGGACTTCGTTTAAAATCTGCTTGATGGTCCTGCCGAAACGGATTTGTTCCTGCAGGACCCCGGAGATGTCGATGCCGCAGGTCTCCAAAACCTCTTTTCGACACCGATTCACGATTTCTTTGCCGGACAGTGGACCTTTCGATTGATCGATTATGCTGCTGCATAACTCCGACATCAGTTCTATAGTATTTACGTCTGTTTCGGAGAAGACGTAACAGCAACCTAAACGTAAATTAATACAGGAAAATGGAAAGGTTTAAAACGTCTAAAGGAATAAAAATAAAATAACTTATAGAGGTACTAACTTGAGTTGAGTTAATAGTGTAGATAAGGATTATTTATTTTACGATCCCTGGGTGATAAAATTCTTTATGTGTGGATTTTGAGAACATATATTTAACTCTTTGCCAACCCGTATATGTATTTATAAAGTTGCAAACTGCTCAAAATATCCCCTCCCATTCAACTCTACCTTAATATTCAAAAAGAAATTAAAACATACCTTCTGCTTTATCTCTGGCATTAGGTTTAATGGCTTGATTAGCATTTCCTACCAACATCGGATAAAAAACTTTCGGCCATAAAACGGCAAAGCATCCCACAACGATAACGACCACGAGCATGGATTTCTTCGGGGTGATATCGTCGGTTACCGTCTGGTAAGCTCTTCGGGGGTGAGAAGCTCTCGGAGCTTCGGCGGTCGTAGGTCCATCCATTGTTATATAGTTTATTTAATCGTTGTATTTTATTTTTTTTTTTTCGAAATTTTTAAAAATTAAAACGTAAACACACACACGCACGCGACTACTACTTCTTGCTACTACATCGGTTCGGACTATAATAAATGTTTCTGTTGGCGACGTGGCAGGACGCCCAGTCCTGCGTCCCGAAATAATATCGACGCCGACGTCGAGGACAAATTGGCGGCTGCGCAGGATATTTTATATGTTAGTGCAAAATTTTATGTTATTAATCAACCTATTTGAACATAAATGTTAAATTATATACAATGTAACAAAAAATATTTAAAAAAATATGCCATATTTATAGTGGGGGATAGAAAGTATGTGTTAGCAAGTAGATAGGTGTTGCTTAAGGTAAAAAAGATGTTAACAGCTAAATTGATGAAGGAGTTGGACCAAGAGAAGATTTAGATGGAGCTAATATTTCCAATAAATTTCTCAACTTGTAGTAACTTGGCCATGAAACAGATCTTTAAAGATAAAGTCCTTAGTGTTGAAACCCTTATTTAATGATGTCCACAATTTTATTTAACTAATAAATTTATCGTTTTAATACACATCTTTCTTTTTTACACAGATTTAAGAACGTTGATATTTCCCTTTTTTCCAAGACGTTGGGAAGAAAACTGGGAAATTTTCAACAATACATAATATAATAACATATCATCAGGAGATTTAGTAGGTATGAATTTTGAGTTACATGTATTCTTTTAGTTTTAATGGGATCTTCATACTGCCTATAAGAAGAAAGATGTTCTAACTACCCCATCTCTTTGGTGGTCTTCCATGTCGACATTTTCCTTGTGATTTTCATTCCAGTATGATGTGGGCTATCCTATTCATGTCCATTCTTTTTATGTGTTCATAGCAATCCCAAGCAATAGGAGCATATGACTCTCAACATGTCTTGAATTGTTTCTTACATGATCTTGAAGTGTTTTGTCAGCTGTAACTCTCAGCAATTTCATAGCTATTCTTTTCATAATACTTTTTCTTATGCTGGTATCTTCTCTTGTCTCAATCCCATAGGTTAACACTAGTAGTACTATTCTTCCATATAATGTCTTATAAGCTTCCTAAGATTGCAGTCCCTTTATTAATCTGGCTCTGGAGATCCTTTATTAAGTTCTGATGATTAGCTATGTTTAAGCCAAGTTAGTTAAATTGCATCACTTGCTCTATAAGTAGAAGAAACAAACTTCACTCACTCCAAGAACAAATTAAAAACACTAAATTGAAATAGTTGGTTATATTGAGTCACAACTCTAATAATAAAATTAAACTTACAATGGATATATTTTAAACTATAAAAGGATAAGTTTGCTAAAGGATATTGGGTTGAGGTAATAAACTGATATAAATTTATAAATAATACAACCCAAAAACCCTATTAGCATATCACTTTTTAATAAAAAAAAATCGATTATCAATACTTACAACTTGGAAATATAACACATAAATCATCCAACATCTTTTTTACTTTAAGTATTACTTCGGTCACATTTTGATTAAATGAGATAAAGAAACATGTAATTTTAATACTTAAATATCAAAAAAAAAAAAAACTTTTGTAAATTAAATTAAGATAGAGACTTAGAATGTGGAAATTAAAAAAAAATACTTTTGCCTATTAATAATAATAATAGCGACATAACATTTAGATAGCTAAACCGTACACAGATACGATGCAAAACATGGTTTTATTCTCCCAACGTACAGTGCAGCTTCCGTCTGTGTTGTTGTCCCAATAACAAGAACTCGCCGTATGCAATCCAGCCCCATTTTTCTGCATTATAGTGCAAGTGACAATGTATTTGTAAGGTTTCATTAGTTTAGTTAATGCTGATGTGCATGCTTCAACTACAGCCGTGGTCCAATTATTTACTTTGGTTTGCTGATACGCGTTACCCCCAATAACCGTTTCGATGGCATCTTTTATAATTTTACTTACATCGTCAACAACGAACTGTCCCTCTTCTTGTACGTCTTGCTCGATATTCAGCGTTTCCATTGGTTCTACAAATAAGTGAAAAAACATGTACTTATAAAAGTTGTTTACTTATAATTATATTTTTTACAGTTTTTTTTAAATAATCCTCGAAAAATAGGTGATAACCTAGAACATTCTAGGTAAAGGTGACAGTTAGGTGACAGTTGAATGTCAAAACGGGAAGTGAATGTCAAAAAAGAGTTTAAGTGGAAGGGGTGATTATTTTGAATTAATTTATTTGATTTCCCAAATTAATTTATTAATTATTTTTGGGTTATTCAATATTTAAGTTATTTTTTGTTGGAAATTCATTAATTTTTTTAATAATTAAATATAAATTTGTTAAATTAATTTTCGGAAATGATTAGTGCGCATGCGTACATTCACCGACCAATGAAAAAAAACACGTTTTACTTCAATACACAACACGAGAAGCACAACTCCACTTCTTCTCCGACAAGAATTTGAACGGTTTATTTTCACTCAAACTCTATTGAATAATCGACGTTGCATCCATATTTACACGAAACAACTTTCCCAAATTTACTTTTTCGTCAATTTTACCAAAAATCCTACTTACAAAATAAATACTTTATTATCAACAGAAATATCTTGTGATACAGGTATGGGGAACCTTTAACAAATCAAGAAAAGATGTTTAATCATTTTCATCTAATTTAGCTAAATCAAATATTAACAATGAAGGACGTTATCGACGTTATGGAGCTTCAACGAGAGAAGACTAGAAAAGTCCAACCGCTTGATTATAGAAAGTTGGATTTTGCTGGTGGTTTTACCCCGGCAAGATTTATTTTCGAATGTGGGATGAAACTCCAGGGGCAGCCACTTACTCTTGCCACAGCTGCTATTTTAATGCACCGGTTTTTTAAGGAGGTTGACCAAAGCAATTATGACCCGTTTGTAAGTAACCTTTTATTAAAATTATTTATCTCTACTCAATGTGTTATACAAAATAAGTTGACCTAATTTTTAAATATTTATCAACAAAGTTAAGCAAAAAAGTGCAATTAAATTAATTGATGATTATTGTAGTTCTTGTAATTTTGCCTTATCAAATAACCTTTGATCACTCAATTAAGAAAGAACAAGGAAGTGATTACAATTTTGGTATTGATTTCAAATAAATGTTATTAAATATTTGATAGGTATATGATTTGATTAATTAAATTTTTGGTTTAATCATTTTTGTTGTGTAAGAATTCATTTAATATATTACCAATTATTCTTACCTAATCTAATTCTATGATTCATTTATAACACCTATTTTTGTATTTAATAGTTAATAGCTGCTTCAACACTTTACCTGGCTGGAAAAGTTAAAGATGATCCTTTAAAAATCAGAGATATAATCAATGTAACCCACAACACCTTACACCGTGGAAATGGCCCCCTGGAAATTGGAGATGAATACTGGAATATGCGAGATGCAATAGTTCAAGCTGAACTCTTAATAATGAGAATTTTAAAGTTTGAAGTTTCAATAACCCATCCCCATAAATACATGTTACATTATTTGAAATCAATGGAAGGGTGGATAGGTAAAGAGCAATGGAATGCTGTCCCAATCGCGAAAACTTCCGCAGCTTTCCTTCAAGATTTCCATCACGACCCGGCCATTTTAGATTATGGCCCTCAACATGTTGCGATTGCATGTATTTCTTTGGCTTTGCAATGTTATGGTGTACGTTTACCTTTAATAGAAGATATTGATGATGAACAATGGTATTCAGTTTTCGTTAAGGATTTGCAAAAAGATAAACATTGGGAAATTATGGAAAAAGTTATGGAGGTTTATAACAAGGAACCTCCAACATCTTAAATTGATTAAGATTCAGTGCGACTTTTTTTATGTTCTTGTTTTTGTATCTCACTTTTTTAAAAAAGTATTATGATTCATTTATTTTCATTGAGGAAATGTATTAATTGGTTACATTGTAAATGCGGAATTCTTTCTGTAAAATTTTGTTGAAATACATATTTTACAGCAAAAATTAATTCTTTTATTATCTACTAAAACACTACATGAATTTTTAAGCTATTATTGCTTTACAATATGTTTCAAACAATATATATTGTTATGACAATAAAATTTAGTCTTCTGTCAGCAGTATTTGGTCTTCAAATATCAATATAGACTACAATGTGTTAATTAATTATCGTACCCGACGTCATCATTGCAAGTATGCAACCAATATCACAGTACTGGTTTTGCAATACGCAAATCGCGATGTTGGTTGCATACTTGCAATGATGACGTCGGGTACGATAATTAATTAACACACTGTACATACTGATATCAACCAGCGATAACAAGACTTCTGTAAGCACTATCCAATCTTCTGACAGGTGGAATAGTCTTCTAGAAACAATATCTAGTCCTAAACAGTCTTCTGCAAACAGTATCTAGTTTTCTACCAGCAATATATAGTCTTCTACAATATCATACTATCTATTCTAAATAATATCTAGTCTTCTGGTAATAATGTTTAGTGGTCTGTCAGCAGTGTCTAATCCACAGCCAGATGCTGTTCAGATGGAGATCAACAATGTTTTGTCTTTAATAGAAGTATTTAGTCTTCTGATAGCAGTAAACAGTCTTCTGCAAACAGTATCTAGTTTTCTGTCGGCAATAAATAGTCTTCTACTGGCAATATTTTGTTGCTAGTACACTAAATACAAAATGTTGTACAAAATTGGAAAAATAATTTGCCTTATATCTTTAAATATATCTATTAAAAGTATATTAATCTCTACCACATTTATGAATTCAACGCTATCCAGCTTGGAATACGAATCTAAATCTATGACCATATGACTAGAAAATCTAAATCCTTAAAATTATTTATTATTGTGACTACTAAGTTTAATCCGCGATACAGTCTTTTTTCGCATAGAAAAGATGAACCTGAAAATAGACAAATTAAAGGCTAATTTTGTTATAATCACATACCAGGAAATAGATTCACATAATTTCGCTTATGTAACACTTCTTCTTAAAAAGTTAAAAACACAGGAAAAAAAACCTTTTGTGGTTTTTCTTGTGAAGCAATTACTCTTTATGTGTTAATTCTTCACGTTTGACGTTCATCTTAGAGTATATAAAGAGAGTAAAAAAGATGTTTAGTTTTAGGTTGAGTTCAGATTCAAAATGAATTTCAAGTTGTTATTGTTCTTCCTGTTTATGTTCATAAACGTTTCAATGGTTTTTACCCAAGGAAAACCTGGAGTATGTCGAAAACCAGCTAGAGGCGAAATTGGAACGTGTGCTTTTCAATGTGGTTCTGATCAACAATGTGCTGGAAATAAGAAATGTTGCCGTAATGGATGTGGAGGAACAAATTGTGTAAACCCTATGTAAAATTAACAAAATGTTTAATGTAAAATGTTTTGTTAATTATATCATCATATAATGTGAAATAGATTTGCATGGATATGTAATATTTTATTTTTAAAATGTTTCATTAAGATTCTACATAAAAAAACTGTATTTGTTCACTTTAAACAATTTCTTTATCTGATCTAAAACATAGAAAATACGACGCAATTACATTTGTTGTTCTAATTTTTCAAATTTAAACATTCTTCTCATTGTATATAAAGACAGCAAGAAATGTGATGGTTTAGTTTACATTTCAAAAATGAATTTCAAATTGTTATTGTTCTTCCTATTTATTTTTATTGAAGTTTCAATGGTTTTTACCCAAGAAAAATATGGCGAATGCCCTAAAATACAAAAAGGCGATATTGGAATATGTGGTATTCTATGTTCTTCTGATAAGGAATGTGATGCAAATAAAAAATGTTGCCGTACTGCATGTGGAGGAGCAAGCTGTGTAAACCCTATTTAAGAGTCTTCATCAAACTGTATATTATATCAATACTATTATTAAATACAATAGTATGTTGAATCTGTAAATTTTGATATAATGTAAAAATAAAAAATTGTTTTAAATTGAATATTTTTATTTACAAATAATACTACATACGTAATATTTAATTAAATACTTATTCTCTTCCAGTAGTCCAATTTCTTGGCCTTTCCTTCATTAGAGTCCAATCCATTTTGGCAACTTGAACTCCACCATGCATACGAACGATATTTTCAGGAACAAGCTCCCAACCTCTTTCATGTAAATCTTTTCTTACAATAGCTAAAAATGCTAAACCGGCAGCCGCAGAAAATCCAGCAACAGCACTTCTTCGCCAAGCCCCAACGAGTCCTCCAGAAACAGCTCCTCCGAGTCCCCAATTCCAAATATCATCCTTCTTTCTTTGCTGTGCCGCCAAATTTGAAGTTATAACGAAAGTCGAAGCTATTCCGACAAGTGGTAAGGTGATAAATGCATATCTACCAGCAACTTGGGTATAGGATTTGTGTTTTTCAAAGCAAAGAACGTCCGCTGTTGATAGAAAAATTCCCGTAAAGAATGCGGGTTTAGCTACTAACCATAACTTTTTAAAGAGATCTTCTCCATCGGGTGTATCAAAGTAACGGTATCCTCGTTCTGGTGGTTCTGGACCAAATACTTCAAGCCGTTTATACATCATTTTTGATTAATTAAAATTATGTAAGGTTGACAAGTTGGGAGATTTTGACAAATGTCAAAATATAGGTTAAGTTTGTATTTTAATTATATAAAGATAATAAATAAATGCAACATTAATTAAAACGATTATTAAATTAGAATTCGATGTAATTACAAATTTTTAATAATTAATTTAGTTAATTAATTTGGTAAACTTATTCTTTTCATTCCTGTGAAGTTAGTTACTGATAAATAAAAAAGTTCCTATACTTCAAGGATAAAATTGAATGATTTATGCCGATTTACACAATAAATTTCATTTTAACTTTTTAAAAACGTTTATACATGGAATTATAGAAATATAATTATAAATAGTACAAGTAAAAGAAAAGTGAAAATTAATCAGTAGTTTATCTAGTGTTTTTTATCTTTCAATGAGTCATATCGGGATGTTCCGCGGCGACTGACAAGTCAACCCAACCTAAAATGGCGACTGACGGGGAAGAAGTAATAAGTGATCAGGAAAAGGTGCGGATTGTTTCCGATTTTATCCTACATTCACCCCCCGGCGAGTTCAACGAGGTCTTCAACGATGTACGAAAGTTATTGAATAATGATGACCTGCTGAAAGAAGGCGCGAGTAAGGCTTTCGCCCAATACAACAAGGAACAGTTAACTCCGGTTAAAATCGACAACGCCGACCACTTGGTGCTTATTACCGAATACAACGATTTAGGGAATAATAGATTCTTCGACCCACGCAGTAAGCAGTCTTTTAGATACGACCATTTGAGGAAAGATGCCTCCGATTACCAACCATACACTCCAGACACAACCTCAGAACCTTGGAGAGCTGCTCTCGATACAGAATTTATTGCATACACCAGGGACCATTATAAGGATGGAGTTTGCAGTGTAGTGGGACGCCAATCTAACGGAGCAACTACACTTTACGCTTGTATAGAAGATCATCAATTCCAACCGAAGAATTTTTGGAACGGTAGATGGAGATCACAATGGACTGTAACTTTAAATGGGACAATGGCTGAAGTAAGAGGTATATTAAAAGTTCAGGTTCATTATTACGAAGAAGGTAATGTACAGCTTGTAAGTTCCAAAGAGATCAAAGAATCAGTACCAATGACTAGTGAGTCACAGATGGCAAAAGAAATTGTCGGGATTATAAAAGAAGCTGAGAATACTTATCAGACTGCTATTTCTGAAAATTATCAAACCATGTCAGATACCACTTTTAAAGCATTGAGGAGATTACTACCTGTAACACGTACCAAAATTGATTGGAATAAAATGGTATCTTATAGTATTGGAAAAGAGCTGAAGACGCAATGATGTGAGGAGTCTTAAAATAATATTAATAATAATAATATTGGGTTATTCGAGCCTTCCTTGTTATCGCTTAGAAGAGTTGTGTAAATACGCCAAGGTCTTGTTAAGTTTAAACTTTGAATGTAAAATACGACCTACAGAAACAATTTATTTTCAGTATTATATTATATGAGACAACTTTTAAATGGTAAGCTTGTGTAAGATCAACTATTGATTGATTTGTATAGCCTAACTTCAAATTTCGTATTTAGATTAAGATTAAAGAAAAGAATGAAATTAATTAATTCAAAATGAAAACTATTTTACATTCATTGGTTAATTGGCAGTACAGGGATAGAGAAAAATATTAGGTTTTCGTTAAGTAGAATACCCCCTTTTTCTTACTTTTAATTATTTACATTCTTTAATGGAATTTTGTATAACTATTATTAATTAAAGTCAATTAATATATTTGTAATATTTCCTATATCTATCCCTGTTCATGTGCAATAAAAGGCACAAGGTAACAATTTTTATTTTGCTTAATTTTTATTTCTTTTTAGTTATTGGCTTTTATTTGTATTCCTTTCCTATCCTGTAAAATAAACAAAAAAATAATTAAATAAAAAATCCTAAACTATTATTAATAAAATTGTATTTATGTAATTTCTCCTTATGCATTACATTTATTTACAACAAAACTTTATCCATTTTTTTTTTGTTATATGTAAGTTTCTTTTTTTCTATTGGCATCCGCTGTCCTTATATAATAAATAATTTATATCTTGTTAGAGTCAAAACGTTGTATGAGTTATTTTTAAATAAAAAATCTACAGAATAAATATAAATGTGTATATTTGCACACTTGAAAATATCGCTTATCTATTACTCACTTTTGTGGAAAGTATGAGGAATTAATAATTTAAACTTTTTGAGATTATAAATCTACTGGAGTGGCTTAGTCAACTTTCTTACTTTTTTATATGGTGGTGATAAGCACTTCCGGCTAGTAGTTTGAATAAAAAACGTTTACATCTATTTCAAAAGCAAGTTTTGGATCTATTAAGAATCGATTTTATGATAGAGATTGACCTTCACTTGTGTATCCCAGGCAGCCCAGTCGTTGCAATTGGAGCAGCAAATTTGTCTTAAACAAAGCAAATACTTACTTTGTCCCACATAAAATGCAACATGTTAATTTAATTTGACATTACAGTAAAACCTCGATAACGGTCAATACGGGGAACGCAGATAACAAATAAAACTAGACTAACACTAGACCTAGAAACATTCTGTTTAGCTGTTCCTCTCCCCAGAGATGGAGGTTTTCATCTCTGGGTGGATCGATTTAAAAGATTACAAGCAAACTGCGCTTCGAGCATAGTTTATTGTTGTTATTCTAGGTCTATAAAGATACATCAAATTGTATCATATAGTCAAATCTGATCAATATAGATTGATGGATGTGTCCAGAAGCTAACAAATCTGGTTACTGAAATCTTACAGTCCACATTTGTCACCCTTGTCCTAATAATATCAGGTGCTATCATTAATTAGAGGGTATGAGACGAGAAGTTGGTAGAGTATGGGTTTCAAAACTTGAAATATTTAAATTTGACGTTTCATGTTTTAACTTAAATTAATGATGTATAGATGGCGATATATTCAATAAAAAAATAAAAATAATTTATAATTATTTAATCAATTTCTATTCTATAAATAATTAAAACATCCCATTTTAATTTATTATCGAGAACTTTATTTAATTTTCAAAAACAACCCAATCTTTAATATTTATGAATTCAAATTAAATTTTTTTCCAAAATATAAACAGAGCAACGTGTTTTTGTTAATAAAAACAATTTTATTTCAAATAATTTAAAAAAATTATTGCATTCCGTTACTTTCTAACTGTAAACAGTTAAAAGACCTGCTTATGATACAACCATAACGGTGCATTAACCTCCGGAGCTAAATAATTCAAGAAATGGGTGTAACTATCTACCATTTTCCATGGAGTGCACCTTCGAGGGCCGCGTTATTAACCGCCAAAACATTAGGAATCGATGTGGATGTGCAAATTGTTGATTTGGTAGCGAAAGAACAATTAAAATCCGACTTCTTAAAGGTGAGTTTTTTAAGGTTAGAATTATTTTGGTTTTGTCGGTTGGCAACTATGTTGAAACAACCTTTACGTCATATTTTTGGCGGAATATTTGAAAAGCTCAAATTTTCTTATTAGATAAATCCCCAACATTGCGTACCCACTTTAGTTGATGGCGATTTTATTTTATGGGAAAGTCGCGCTATTTCAGCGTATTTAGTTAATTCTTATGGAAAGGATGATAGTTTGTATCCTAAAGACATAAAAAAACGTGCTGTTGTCGATCAACGTTTACAATTTGATTGTGGAACATTATATCCAAGAATAAGGGCGATATGTGTACGTTATTATTTTAAAATAAATGAAATAAATTTTGCATTTAGATTTTTGTAGTTTCCTATATTGTTTTTGGGTGAAATTGAAGTTCCTGATGAACTTAAAACAACCTTAGATGAAGCTATAGGTTTTTTGGATGTTTTTTTGGATGGAAATAATTTCGTCGCTGGGAATTCTCTTACTATAGCTGATATTGCATTGGTTGCTTCGCTTTCAAGTATTGTGGTATGCGAATTGTATATATTAATCTATTTTTTAGTTGATATAACGATTTTTCTAGGCTGTTGGATGGGATGTTTCTGCTTATGGTAATGTTTCTACTTGGCTGGCTAAATGCTCTTTGGAAATTCCTCATTACTCCGAAATCAATCAAAAAGGAGCTGATTTATTTGGAAAGGCGGTGAAGAGTAAAATGGCACCGGGACAAATTTAAATAAAAAATAATTAATTGTTTAAATAAAAATAATTTTTCTATTCGACAAGAGAGGGCACTCAATTATTTTTTTTTAATCAATTTTATTTCGATTTAATTTTTTTAAATCTGTTTAACTTAATTTATTTTTTAAACAATTTCTGTTTATAACAATTAAAAATTTTATTTATTTTTATATGAAATCGAATTTGAAATTGATAAATACGATTTTGGATTAGTTTCCATGGTAACGGTGTTTGGATAATGTAAACTCAGAAATGTCAGTGTTAAAAGTAAAACTTTCAAGTGAATTATCTTCGATTAAAAGAGCTAAATGAACAGATATAAAATAACAGGAAGGATTGGGCAAGGTGCGCATGGATATGTAATGAAAGGTATTGATAGAACTACGCATAAAGATGTAGCATTAAAGAAGCTTATTATTAGAACACTTGAAGAGGGTATTCCAAAAAATATTATGCGAGAAATCATGGCTTTAAGTGTTCTTAAATCAGAATATGTAAGATTTTCTTATTTAATTTTTTTCACTTATAATTAATTTTGAGTCATATATTTTATTTAATTTATTGATCATTGATGGGAATAGAAAAGAAAAAGGAGGAAACGATGAAAAACTTACCGGTAATGTATGTGAAATTCGTTAGATTATGTTTAATAGAAGATCTGACAAGATAATTGTATTAATTTCATAATTTGTTAGGTTATGTCGCCACAGTTTGTTGTATTTCAAATAATTCTGGTTTTTGTCACAAGATGGCACTGTTTAACATCTCTAATTTTTTTGAATTTTTCATTCATTTTCGGTAATGTTTGGCATTTCCACAAATTTATTTATCATACATTAATTATTACATTGTCATTTTACAGAAAACTTAATATAAATCATTTTTTTTAAGATTGTGGAGTTATTAAATGTAATTCCTCATGGCATGGGATTAGTTCTTGCAATGGAATACCTTCCGTCAAGTTTAATGCATATCTTAAAAGATAAAACGTTACGATTAACGATCCCTTTAGTAAAGGCATACACAAAGATGCTCTTGTTAGGCGTCAGTTTTATGCATGAAAATAGTATTATGCACCGGGTAAGCGCTCCGAGTTGGTCCGTTCTCAAAATTAATCCTCGAACATTTTGAAGGACCTCAAGCCGGCAAACCTTCTCATTTCGAAGGATGGAGTCCTGAAAATTGCCGATTTAGGTCTTGCGAGGATATACGCAAAAAACCAGAGTGATAGACAATATTCTCATCAAGTAGCTACCAGATGGTATAGAGCACCGGAATTGTTATATGGATCGAGAAATTACAACATGGGAGTTGATGTATGGGCCATTGGTTGCATTGTTGCTGAAATGTTGATTAGAAAACCTTTATTTCCGGTATAAACAATTAAAATTGAAAAATGAAATTAATTAAATCCCATAATTTTTTCTTTGAGTAGGGCGAAACTGATATAGAGCAATTAGCAATTGTATTGCATACCTTAGGAACTCCAACTATTGAAACTTGGCCTGGATTAAAAAATTTACCGGATTATAATAAAATTGCATTTGCTAAAACAGCTGGGTTAAGTTGGAAAGAGATTCTTCCGCGTTTTGATTGGTATATTGTAAATTTTGTGAAAGGATTTCTTCAATATGACTCTAACAAGAGACTTAGTGCTAAACAGGTAAATTTTTTTATTTTTATTAGAATTAATTTTGAGTTAATTTTGTCTTTTAGGCTTTAAATCATACGTTTTTTATTATTTCTCCTTTGTGCTGTAATCTGGATGACATGCCTAAGCCACAAGATATAAAATCTGAAATTGTCCTCGATAGTGATAGTGATATTTATAGTGATTTTGAAAAACTTATTAGTGGTTTTTAATAATTTTATTTTATAATCGAATAAAAACAATCATATCAAGTAAGTAAAACACCTTTCTTTTTATTCCTACTCATTTTATTAAATATTTTGTAAATCTAGGAAATCTACAAAGTTGCCTTTTTTGAATTTCGACCCGATGAAGATCCACCAACACGATCCTCTACAAAGAAAATAATTAATCATTTCATTTTGACATCTTAAAAGTTTTTACTCTCATTCATATTGGTACATTTAAGTTGGACTTCGTGTAAATCTTTTAATTGTTGCCCAGTGTGTTTTAATTGAAATAATTTTTCAACCGATGTAAAAATTTCCTCCGAGCTTACAGCGCATTTATCATCGTTGTTTGATGAAAGAAATTTATCTAAATTAATCTTTTCTTCTCTGTAATCTTTCAACATGGATTTGTAGTGTTTTATTAGGTCTAAATCTGAATCTGGCCCATATTTAACTTCTCTAAAATAATAAATTAATAAAATCATTTGTTAAATTTTGAATTTCGAATTAATTACCTTCCAATTAAGTATAATAAATATTTTTCGTACGCATCATTATCTGAGCTATACCCGTGTTGTTTTAAAAAATGCGAAAACTTCGCCATAATCTTCACAATAAACTCCCCTTCTGCTTGATATTCCGTAGCATTTTCATGCAACCTTTCCAAAAACACCTGTCTTTTCTCGTTGTAATTTCCTTCCAGTTCTATATCACGAATTTGTTGTTCCGTTTTTCGTGTAAGATATAAAACGTGCATATGTTTAGAAAAATGACATGAACATTTTTTGCAGTAATAATGCGCGTTCATTGCAGCGCAATACATTAATTCTGGGGAGCCGATTATATCTCCAGGAATGTTAGTTAAAGAGCAAGGATCGTGACATTTTTGTTTATAATAATGTTGTTTTTTATTATTTTCCTAAAAATTTTATTTTGAGTATTAGGGTTATAATTTGTGTCGACACGAAACATATGTCGAAACAGAAATAACAGATAAAACGTGCACACGCTAGTGGTTATTGGTTACAATTACGAACACGTTATTGGTGTTTTACAGTTTTTCAATGCCCTTGAACTACTAATGGAAAAAAGGGGTAGGAGTTGTCGAACACCTGTGTTTTCTGAAAGCTTTTTGGTTTATCGCGTGATTCATAGTGAAATATTGCTTAAAGTTGAAGTAGTTTTCAAGCTAATGTGAAAATCTAAGAAGAAAAACTCAAAACGATTTGAACTGATTTTATTTTTAAAAGCGCTATTTCTCTAATTTTGCTATTTTCTACATCTACAGATACTAAAATGTGCAAAACTTTATTTATAAACGTACTGAATAAAATTCACAACACTGAGCACTTGTACAAACAGTGATGGGTTGTTTTAACTCGTTCAATTGAAGACAAATCTTGGGCACAAATAAATTCTCCTCGATTTTCTCTTTCAATACACAATTCTCCAAAAATTGACTTTTCTTATGAATTGCAGCAACGTTCTCGTTTATCAAATCGATTACATCCGCCAATGGTCTTGATAATTGAACGATCCATCTGTGCGCTTCTTTGTTCTTCGTTAAATTTCTAGCTTGGTTGGCGATTTTTTTCGCATCCGCAACAATGTGTGTGAACATTGCTAAGCTTCGACTCTTTAACAAGTGGCGTGGCGGAGCGATACCGTCGCCAGGTGAACGGGGTGTGCGTGAGAACCACGCCGTGTGAACATAAACGGAGCGGTGCCAAGAACCTATAGAAACACGAGCGAATTGGTGGCCCCAGAGTTTAATTGATTTTTAGTTTTGATAGGCGTTTCTTTTAGTAACCCTTCAGTTCGTAAGGAGCGAGTAATAAAACTTTTTTAATGAGGTTGCATTGATGGATAGAGTAACCTAGGTCGTAGTCTTTTATTGGGGGGGATTTAGTGGAATAGGTCTTTGAAAAACGAATTGAATAAAATCAATTTTAATGACTTATAAACCGGAGTTATTTATTATTATTATCATAATTATTTATTTTTAATGCCTTTATAATTATTGAAGTAATAATTTGAAAATTCAGTGAACATGAAAATAGGTTTCTACATACTGCTGGAAGTATACTGGATACTGTCATGGATGCACTACATGACACTACATGCTACTAGTAGCAAACTAGATATTGTTAATGAAAGACTAGACACTGCTAATATATGACATCCTACTACTCGTTGTTGATTACATACTGCTACAGAAGCCTACATTCTGATGGATTAAGTGAGGATCACCTTTAGAAGTAAGATCCTTCTTAGTGAAGACTAGACACTATTGATAGAAGACCAATTGTTGAAATATTAAGAAGCTAAGATTGTTCTCTTAATTTATCTTACGATATAATCTGAATTAACAATTGCATAAATATTTGTGTGTTTTAGCCATTTAGGTGCGATGGTTCAGGATATTTTAGATTTAAACATACACACGACACTACATAGGTATAGTTGGTAATCACATTGGAATTGGATTAGCTGATGATGGTGCAAATGGCGCCCCAGTGGATATCGATCAGTGTCATCATAAAAGCGTAATAGAGCACATAAAAATCTAAAGTGTAATTAACAATGAAAGGTTTTATGTCCTACCAAACACCATATTCACATTTGGATCAATTAATTTTCAAGAATTGTGAGTAATAATTTCCGGATTATGCAAATTACTACTATTTTTATCACGTTATTTCCAGGCAATTTCAAGTATTCATGAATTAGTGGAACTACAAGTTACTTAGAATATTTTAATTATGGTAAATTACTTTAAAATTATTTCGAGTTCTTTCTATTCATTGAAATAGAATTTAAGTTTTTTTCATTTTTTGTTCTACTCAACCTAATTTCTTTTATTTTTCTAGGGAATAAAAAGATCCTGAAAACCGAAGAGAGCATTCAATGAAAAATTCCGAGGATCGCCTTCGCAGGCTCGACCGCCGGAATTTATCATTATCAAGTAGCCCCTGCGGTGTCTCCGACTACATGATCGGACCATGACCGGAGCGTACGCATTCGGGTTGAGAAACGACTACAGCTACCAACCCCACCACTTTGCGCTCCCCATTCAACCGACCTCTCGTTGCTACTCTCTCGCCACCACTCTCTCCTGCTACCCTCTCGTACGCTCTCAGAGGGCACAAGAGTACGAGTACGTACTAGCTACCAGAAAATCCAAACAGTGGGAAATACAAATATTATTCAACATTAATATATTATGACATAGAAGTTTTAATAATATTCTTGAAATTGTATGAATAATTAATCAATTCAAAATGGTTAACACATAGAAGTCTTGGATCATACATATTTTATCATACATATGTAGTGGATGTTAGAAATCAACCTGAATGTATCTCCGTACACGTTAAGATGGATTGGATTCGACGATGAGATTATAGTTTATGATAATGCGTAATAAGGAGTGATACGTTTGGACAAAACCTCATGGGGATGGATCCAACTTATTGGGGTTAGTGCACCCTTATGGTATTGAATGGTAATGTAGAGTTTTAGTATGATTTATAGGTGACATATCATTTCTTAATATTTTTGGTATCACTGTAACAAATTTCTATCTCGCTCCCAATTTAATAGTAGGGTAGCGCGCGCATCGTGCTCCCGCATGGTAGACGACGGGGATGGTGTCGGCGTCGCCGGCGCCAGTTCGCGTGTGGACGCCGCGCGTTTAGTGGTCTAGATGGTGAACACGCTGACGGTTATGACTGTTTGAATGGGCATGGGACAAGTATGGTCAGTGCCCCGAGACCATGGTGCTTCTGCTACTGGTGGACTGCGCTCAGCGTCTTCTCAACAGGTGAGTACGTCACCATGCCGTCGTTAACGTCGACCATCGATTGCGGTCGAAACGCACGGCATCCGCGGAATCGATAGCTGGGAGCCGGTTGAAGCGTCGCGACAACCACGTCTCGGACCTTTAAGCAGATGAAAGTTTTTTTGTGACCGAAAGGGATAATTCATCACCAGTTTTGGGTCACATCGATTTTATTCGAAGTTATCTCACGTGGAAATCATATGATTGAATACAAATTTAAAAGTTTTTGACGAATTGGAAGTAATTTTTTATTTTTGATACATCCAACGCATTCTCAAAATCATTTTAATAATTTTAAACATTTTATTACTAATGTAATAGAATTTGTAATTGTAGACTAAGTAAACATAGACTAATTGAACAATTTTGTTTACAACTAAACAGAACAAACTGATTCAGCACAAACAAGAACGTTACTAATGACCAACCTTAATTAACAAATATAACTGAATTGAGTTTAAAATTTAATAAACTTACGGATGTGTAACTTTTCCATTTAATTTTTATATTTCTCTCAAATTAATTAAGTATAAAAACTACGTTAACATTTTGGTGGAGGAGCCGGGTCGGTTGTACTATAAACTCAAGATTACATAGTGCATTTAAGATGCATCCACGGTAGCGAACTGTACGATTCCTGAATGGTAATGTGAATCAGAGTTTACGGTCTTTTATGGCTCACAACTTTCTCGGATATAGCACTGTATAAGATATATGTACTCAACGTTATTCGAGTACTAGTATGTTTATTAAAAAATATTATATAAGACTCTCGTAGTGTTCTCAAACATTCCATTGCATATATTATATATTATTTTTGCTTAAAATTGTTCAATCAGTAAAGTGTTGAAGATAACATTGAAGATGATTCTGATGTGTGAAAAATTTCCAACCTGTTTAATCCAAGCTTTATAATTTTTGATATCTTCTTAAAATTCTTTGAAATACTCTGAAAATGTTAATGAATCTTAAAAATTCTTTAAAATTTTTGGGATATGATTCGAAATCTTTGAAAATCCGTGATTATCAAGAGAAACATTTTCAGAATTCCTGAAAATTAGAAATCTTAAACATATCTTGGAAATTCTCCAAGAAAGCATGGATATTTATCGAAAATAATAGTCTGGAAAACTTAGAATATCTCAAAATCTTAAGTAAATTTTAAAAAATTTTCTGGGAATGTTTGAGAACACTACGAGAGGCCTTGAAAGAGAGGTTGCATCTCAAATAAATCTTTTACAACCCGCACAAACTCGAGAAGTCTTCAAATTACAGAAAGAAACGTATGGAAGTAGACTTTGGAATGGAAGGAAACCTTTGTGATTATATTTCGAGAATCCTTAGAAAGTTGGATGAATCTCCAGAAAATTGCAAAAACGCCTAATCACTTTTTGGAAATCTTTAAAAAGCTCAGAATATGCTGAAAACTATGGAGAATATAATAGAACATTTTGAAATACTCTGACAATCTTGGAAATTCAGATATAGTCACAAAAAATCCCAAATATCTCAGATATTCTTTGAAAATCTTTATAAATCGAAGTGCTTGGAAATCCCTAAAATTCTAAGGAAATGTGTAAGTGAATGTTTATGTTTTTTAATTCCATTCATTTCGTCCTTAATTATTTTATTAACAATCACCATAAACTCGTCTCTTTCAGGTTTCCATTTAAAGAAATTGTCCTCGGCATGATACAGAGCAGTATATTGTTTACAGCTGATCTTGCCGAGCTTTTGATCACATTCGTTGTGAATATCTGGGTGCTGTTCTTCGTATTCCACAAATTTGCCAACCATAGCCGAAACATTTATATCAGTGCGTAATTGCACTTGAAGAAGTCAGTTTGCGTTGATTTTGCTTGTTTATGTAATGGATTTATGAAGCTTTTAGGCATTTCCCTCGTGATTGAGGTTTAAGGTTCCGCACTAAATTCGCAACCTCAAATGTATCCTTGGCCCATAGACAGTCGGGATTCTAGAAGGGTTCTGGGTGTTCTAAAGTCTTCGTCGGTTCTAAATACCATTAGCGTCTTTCTGCAGATTACATGTAAGACATTTTAATTTATTTAGTTTTGACTTGATTTAATAAATACTAGATGTGTTAGGAATATTCAGATGAGGGAAAAACTATTTCATGGATGTAGCTTAACCTAGCCCTAAAGATACAACCGTTTAGAAGATTGGTACTCCTTCTCACTTTCCATGATCCATATTTAATGCATCTAAAGAGCAGGAAAATAAACGAGTCAAAATATTGAAAATTTCTAATTGATCTAAAAACTAAATAGATATTTTTCATTACTCTTGACCGTTTGGGATTCAGTATAAATTACAATACATTGAATAGTTTTGGAGTATACTCCAGGAGTACTTAGTTCTGAGTGATAGTTACCGTAGATTGTATTTAGCAACCAACAATGGTCGTTCAATATTGGTTCATTATATCGCAACAATAGCAATCACAATAGAAGCGCACAGGGATATTTTATTATACCTGCCGGACAAGGGGTATAATGGCGAATCGGTCATTGCAAAAATAACGTTGTGTTGTTGGAGTTCCATTTATCACGTACCGCTATTCAAAGGCTGGCTTCTCGCGCTTGACTAATTTCGGCGAGTAATTAAATTTTCATCAAAACATCGGTTACAGCTGTACGTACGCTGTACGAATCTCGAGTGGCTTCCCGAACACCTCTACCTCTACCCGGTGCAGCCAACGGTGAGTTTCGCGTGTTATCTCTTCCGCATCAGCGATAAGGTAGGAAAACTTCCGGGACCTCGTTAACTTTTAATTGCAAATCGTTTATTTCGGCGTATCTCTGTTTGTAACTCCTATTAAAAGAGAAACTAACGCTGAATTCGTTTTTGTGCGCTTGACAGGAGTTCCCACTTTGTAGTGTAGTTAATGAGAACGGAACAAAAATAACTATATTTCAAATTCTTGATAAAGTGAAACTTTATACTTTTATAAAAAGCGTTTGTTACGATTATTCAAATAAAGTCCTACTATTTGGTTATCCAATATCGAAGGGTAAAGCTCTTGAATTCGATTCGTTTTATATGGTAATGAACTTGATATGTAATGTTAGGAAGAAAAAAAATGGAAATGAGTGACACTGATTGAGATAAAAATATATTTATTTTTTTATGATGGTTTGATGTTGAGGTTGGTAACAAAATGTAGTATTAATTATGAACACAGAATAATGGAGATACACCCATAATGTGTAAGTGTACATACAGTTTTACAAACACATTCGTGTACACCGAGCGACCGTTCATTTCAAGCTTGCCTATTAGTAGTAAATTTGAATTTTTGCTGCCGGCACAACGCAATGGTTTCAATTGAAATATATTGTGGCACTACCGTTGAATGGGGTACATCGTTTAGCTTTTTCCCTGACTATTATATCCGTCAGCCTCCATTTAAAGCTATAAAGTATCGATTTGCAGACGAATGCTTTTTAAAATTCTACCTCACGCAAAAAACTTTTTAACTAAGTAAATAAACGACCAACCTAAATGATTGGAATGTTTGGTATAAATTAAAAAAAAATTAAAAGTAATAAAAAAATTTGAAATTGGGTTGATAAAATCTAATTGTAGAGGTGATTTTCGCATAAATCCGAGAGTCGCATCGCGTCCAGTACATCGTGATTTCTGTCAAAAACATCGGACGTTTAATATCCAGAACAGTTGGTGCGTCGTCAACGTTCACCTTCTGTGCGCTAGATTTAAACCCCATTAATCATCGCATTCGCGGTCGAACGTCATACATCATCACACCCATATAATATGTATATTTACCTTTGCTAAACTGAATGGCTTATCGACCTTTTTTCAGTTAAACGAAAGACGGTGGTGATGGGAGTAGGGATCTAGTGAAACCGGCGTCGTAGTTCGAACGTAATTTCCTTTAGACGTCGACCCAAGAAGATGAAAAACTTTCATATTTTATGAGTTTAATATAAGCGGAAATTGCGACTTGGGTGTATGTCGTTTGTCCTCAACCGCAACTCTTTTATTGGAGATGTTTCCTTAAGTGCACTTCCGTAAGTTTCATGGAGTGATATATTTTTTCTTCCAGTTCAATTTTATCGTTATGAAATTTTTTAATTTTAAAAATCGATAATTTATTTCGTTGCATTTTCGCAATACAAGATATCCTACTTTTCTATAAAACGTATACGTTTCACGTTCTGTTTTATTATCGTTATTCGAGACACGTTCTCGTTGTAACTTGGCACTTACTTTCCAGTTAGAAACCCATCTGCGTACTGAATATTATCGGTTTATAGTTAGTCGAGTGCCAGACTATGGAATACACACGGGACAATAGCGTAAAGTTTTGGTCCATTAACATTTTATAGTTGAGGATTTCAGTTGCTTAGCCTTCACGTAATAATTACAATACGTTACGTTGCGTCGGTTAAGCTTCCGACAACTTTGTTGAAGTCCACCAAGTTCACTAGTACGGAAACAAGTCGTTACTGTCAAATAGATATCTCTATTAACTATTCAGGACGTCCGATCTTCCTTCTATTCTAATTTTACATAATATTAAATAACATAGCTTAATTCTTCTAATTTTAAACTGCAAATGGAAATTTGATTGTTAAATAGATTTGTGTTGACGTCGTAGATGCTTTATTATGTTCTAATGTAACTCAAAGAGCCTTTATTAGCCACGTTGTTTGACAAAAGGTCGTTTCATTACAAGCTGATTTCATTCAATCTATTCCTGTGTTCTAATTTTACTCAAAGAGCTTCAAAATTTAATAAGCAATGTTTTCGTTGTTGTTTTTAATTTAATCTAAATTGAGGATTGTAAATTATACTCGAATAGTACATTCTAAATGTTAACTCTTTTAAGCTGTTAAAGTATAAGACACTTGATTTTTGTTAATTTAATGGATACAAATTGAGCATAATTGTTTATCTGACTTATCTAGTTGTTGTCAATAACGTGCTTTATTCCTGTC